CAAAAACATTTATGTGTTCGATGTATATACACATTACTTGTAGTCAATACACTCAAAACCATGCCAATTAATTACTCCCGAACTGATTTTCAAAGCACATTACGCTTCAAAACCCTAATAACTTCACATCTTTGACCGCCCATAGCTTCTCCTAGAGAAGCCCTTAGCAGATACGAAAGGTAGATTTGGAATCATCTCATCAATACGCATCTAATGATATGCATATCATTTCGGTTTGCCTCTGCGACATGGTATCCTTCCCTTGTGAGAAAAACTTCAAAATAGCTTCAGAAGCGAATGAGAAGTAACGGATGTGTGTTACTAGTTATTGGTTTTATGCTCTACAATTTATATTCGACTCGGAATTCCTGGCTGTGAGACGGAGAAATTGTTAGCGATGTTCCGTGATTTATTATTTCGAAGGTATCCGTGAGAGGAGAATTATAACAGAGGAAATCTAAGTAAAATCGTATCAACAAAATGGAACGACGAGGAGGAGTTCAAAGAACAACTTCTTTCATGAAAATGCCTATAAGCTCGTCGATGTGCAAAATATTTGTTACTAGATTTGCTCACTTCAAAATCATCCTCAAAAATTACAATAACGAGTTTTTATCTACCTTGGTCGTTGAACTGTTTATGATCAAGCATGACTACAGGCTGGTAGAGAAAAGCAACCAAATTGTAACATTTTTGAGTTTGGTTTGCCGAAAATGAAAGCTTCTATTGATTATGGTCTATGATTTAACCTTCCGAATAAAAAAAAATTCGTGCTGATCGTATATATCATGTCTTTATAAGTTGTTACAATCGAAGTTTTTCATCAACTATTTGATCTTGTTCTGAGCATTTGTCTACATACATAAAACTTTGTAATATTTGACAGAAAGTATGATTGAACGACACAGCCATATCAATTGCGGAAATGTAAAAAATTTTATCCAAATTTACATAGAGGGAGGAACCCCGCAAACTATAGTGAGCATCTTGTAAACTGTTCTTGTATAGTCCAGTATGGTCCGCTTTTTTCAAGCGAGGCAAGACAGAAAACTCTTCTCTATGGAGAGTCGTGGTGTCGTTGAATGCTCCAACTATTCTGAAGCTTGTAACCCTGAAATTACCAAAAATCTACGAAGCTGAACTAGGCTTTAACAGAATAAAAATATACTTCTTTTTGAGCACTAACAAAGTGCTTGCATGATTTTTGAGTTCGTGGGGATCGCTGTCAAAGTTATTACGATCTGTTCTCGGGGAGAGAACGACCTTGTAAAGCGTGGAATAGCTTCGACAGCTGATAACGAGTTGATAAGCTCGTAAAACCTCTACCGTGAAGTAAATATCGTTTTTTACTCTTCTGCTATATACCAAAAACTCTCGCATAAGCTGCTGAGTCTATTCCTGCTTTACAAAGACTACTACTGGGAGAGCAATATCTGACACTGTGAAGCGCAGTTCAAGACCCGTCTACCCAAACAAATAGTTTTGTGTTGGCTGGCAACGGGCCAGCAGGTCGCGCCTTGACCTTATCCGGTATTATTGGAGGCTATGGCCATCACCACCCGTTGCGTCACCGCGTTCACCAAGCGCTTTTGAATTCGTTATCGATTCCGAACACGCGATTTTGAATGTTCAGATAACAAAGGCGCCGTGACACATCCATTTTTTACCTTATAGTAGTAGTCAGGCCTTGGTGAAAATAGGTTTTGTTTTCCGCGAAAACTTTTGTCGGTGCATATCTTCGGTCTTTTCTCATGCTGTTTGCCTCCAGTAATCCAAAAGCTACTCTGAGCTGTTCCGTCACAATCAAAATATGAATGTGGCTTGCAGTTTCAGGCAGATCAAGTCCATGCTCATTTCCGTTGCGTCTTCTATGCAGTTGTCAGCGCCCAAGTTCTAGACTGCTTCACGACTCTAAAAACTTCTTTGCCCCGCGTCTCAAACATGTCTAGTGGCACAATTCCCAACTCTCAGACGTCACTGGGTCGCTAACACCGTAAAAATGAGTGAAAAGACATGTTGGTTTTTTGGCGTGAATTGAGGTGTGGCGTAATCACGGAGGCGCGAATTTGATTTACGGTGCGTTTCGCGGTATCACGAACTAAGTTTGACCTTTTATAATCTAGTCCATAGGTGCGATAGGGGGAGCAGGTTCCTCTCCAGGTGAAGGGGTTTTGGCTATTTCCGATCTAGAAAAGTGAAGAGGGTAACTGAGTTTTAAGATGAATGCTGACGCAGCTTGCATGCCTAATAGTAGCGGGAGTGAAAAGAAGGAAAATAAGCGCTATAGAGGTGTAAAATGAAAATTTTCTCAATGCTCAGGTCATCGAAGGTCATCAAATAGAGACTTTTTTTGACTTGGGAAGGCTTTGTGTTTCATAAGTCGGCATATCATACGAAAGCTTGAGGCATATAGAATCGACGTAGACCGTCTCTTTTTTTCCAACTCTCTTGTGAATATACATATAAGAAATCAGATCTAGCTTCAGCATCAATTAATTTTATGCAATCACTTTGCGCTTCACTTCTGAGAGAAAGAGGGGAGCTAGAAAAAAAGAGACGGTCTACGTTCACTGGCAAGGCCTTGCTCTATGATACTGTTAGAAAATTAGGCACCTTCATTCATTCTTCACGCAGAAATTTCTTTACAAAAACACACATGTTTTTAGCTAAAATGCCTTGTATCTCTAGATGAAGGGGAGCTAGAGAAAAAGAGACGGTCTACGTCGAATCCATTTTTCGTGGGCTTTCTAATGGTATACAGGTTGTTGGGTGAAAAAATTTGTGGCTTTTCAAAAATGAGGTGGAGATATTCAATACTAACCTGCTCCACCCTGCTCCGGCTTTCTATGGGTAGCCGGAGCAAGAGTTTTTCGGATTGGGAAAGCTTTATTCACCAAAACTTTGTATACCATTCGATAGCTAAGAACACGAGGAATCGACGTAGACCGTCTCTTTTTTCCTAGCTTCTCTGAGAAGCGAGATATGAGCAATTTTACCCAGCTACAATATCAGTCAATTCTGAGTAATTATTTTTTCAGACCAAAAAGTTTTTTTCGAAGTTTATATATGATTCGAAAGCCTGAGAAACGAGTAATCTGAATGCCCTTTTATTTGTAATTATTATCTCTAGTGAAAGGAGATATAGTACAATTCTTGTCAGTAAACATGCATCCATCACTGGCTAGTCCAGATTTTCTACTCATGCTCAACTCTTTCTGTGACAGTGTGTACTCATTGATACAATGTTAATTATTCAAAGAATCAGTCATCCTATCAATTTTTGATTATGTTTCGTTACTAACGCCACTTTGAGTGCGCTGAAGGTCTCAAGCATGCGTTTTTTCAACAAAACGCTGCTACTTCGATACTCTCTTGTAGTCGTGATGTCTGAAAAGAAGAGAGCTGGCTTCCCTTTCCGAACACAAAATGCCGTTGTAACAGCTGTTTGATTATGCCGTTATGCCTTGATTCTAGTCTCAACCTCAGGTGAAAGGGGTCAACCAGATGCCGGCCCTAAAGTGAAGGGGGTCAGAGAAATTTCTCTACCTATCGCATCTATGATCTAGTCTAGTGGTAGTAAATGAGAATTCAGCAATTGCGAAAGTGCGGTCTTCCTGATGTACATTTCAGATTTGGATTGAGCAATAATTCAGAGGTGTACGTGTCTGCTGTCAATGTTTAGCGTTAGCTTTTGCCCACTTACCATTTCCCACTAAGCTTTCTTCCCTATCTTACGATTTCACTTTACAATTTCAATTTGCAGTTTATCACTTTTTTATCCTTTCCAATTTTTTCTTCATTCTTTCTGACTGTTGTCTCAAGTTTTTAGATTATTTTTTGGATTCGGCTACTCAAATAGTCCAGGTGTACAACTATGTTCTATATATTCTGACGTTAGGTGCAGAAGTAAGGGTGAGCATATTTTCATTGGTTCCAAAGGGCTTACCAGCAAATTTTGTTCATATAGTGGAGAATGCTGAAGCTTGCGCACGGTAGTTCCAACTTTTCTGTATCGAGCGTGGATTACGATCGGCCAGTAAAGCCAAAAAGGGAGGCTCAGAAGAGAAAGGTACCTTTCATATTTCACAATTTCTCTTTCTCTTTATTGGTTAGGAAGGTTTGAGAAGTGTTATTTGCTAACACTCCAGCTTGATTTCACACTTCAACTTGATTCGACAATGCAGTGAAAAGATAGTAAGAGTTATGCGCATGCTTTAAGTTTGGTTTGGTATCAGCTACAGTTTTCTTTCACCATGAGATTATCAAGATAGCAGTCGTAGACGAAAGTTACAGCATAAGCGGCTGAACAGCTCCGATATGCACTTAATTTGCCGTTTTTGTAATAGGGACCTCTTGTGTTGTTCAGCTAAACCTTGAACGATTCTGGTTGATCCTCATAAGTTGGGGTCGAGCTTGTTGCGCAACACTTCCGCTGCATACTTCTATCTCTTAGATGAATCAGACCAAATGCCATCTTTTGCTTTTTGTTGGCTGCACATCGATTATCAATTAAACGCAATCTTTCTGCATAGCATCGTTTAATCTTTTTCGACAGTGGCGGCTGCATTTTCCCCAGTTATTCTTGGCCATAATGAGACCATATAATTCGTTATGGTTCCCAACAACCTTCGCGGTATGTTGGGGCTTATCAATCAATGAAACATAAGAAGCTTTTGGTGCTTTACAGAATGTCCATTTCGACGACGAGCCAGTCAGTACGAAAGCTGAACCATCTACGATGTCCACTGCGACATTCATTCGTCAGAAAGGGATGCAGTGGAAATCACTGGCGCATACCTTGTGAGTCTTGTAGGCGTTGATCCCTTTATGATCGTGATAAGCTTGAGTGATAAAATCTTATGAAGAGTCTGTTACTAACAATAAGAACAAAGCAAAGGACGTCCACGTGGAAATGAACTTTTGGAGTTGTAATCAAAAACTAAGTCATACTTTTTCCATCTTAATCTCTGTTCAATCGAAATCCATAAGACAAAAAGAGGAGCAGAGATCTCTCAACGATCCTCTCAAATTTCTGCATTTAGTTTTCAATGAGTCATGCTTTTTAGCTGGATTTTCCGGCGTACACAAGAATGAGCTAGCGCGAAAAGAGTAGCTAAAAAAAGCTGTTTTGGCTTGTAATGATTTTTCATTCTTCGTCTTTGCTTGCCGTTTCAGTATAATAGTCGAACAAGATCATATACAGTGTAGTGTAAAGCATTCAAGTAATCCTGATGACTTCGACTTTGCGACCACGTAAGCCTCATAAGAGAATATAGCATTCACCAGCTAACGTATACATGCAAAAAATTTTTGAAATGGAAAGAGAAAGCAAAGAAAATGCAGTTGTCGGAAGTGCGTATGCCATGCGTGCGGTCGCCACCATTGTCACAATTTTATGAGCGACGTACACCTATCTGTGTAATGAAAGATCATATCGTAGCTCTCAGGGCTTTGCATCCATATCTGAGTTATAGTTTGCTCTAATTACGGTGCAGTATTAGTGGTAGAGAGTTTTTTAGTGGATGTGATGAAGATTTCACGAAAGATGATGCGATGCTTATGAACGAACTGCTCAACCTTTGCAGCTTTTGGGCTGACAGCGAACCTGGATTCGAGAGTTTGTTGCCTTTTTGCCTTTCTAACATCATTGCTTATGTTTCTCAGTGGATCTTTCTTCAATTTTTTTTGATGTGCATGATTATGAAGACTTTTCAAGGCACTGACGAACACAGCGATAGCGCCGAAGAGTCGGACAGTGACGATGATTTAGAATGTTTGAAACGTCTAGCAATGTTCACTTCCTCAGTATCTACTGATCGTCCGACTTCTGGTCCATGCAGGTTCTTACTGATATCGCAAACTCTGTGTCCGGTTATTAGGTAAAACTTTTAGTTCTTCGAGCTCTGGTGTGAGCAGTCTTCGATTTGGCAGCATTCTCCGTCTCAACAGTCATTCACGCGATTGTGCAGTTTCCGAAAGGTAGGTGCTTTATTGTCATTTTGAGTATTCGGACGGGAACTTATAGTGACACAATTAGCCGAATTTCATCACCTTCCTATCATATCTCGGGAGACCTTGACTGCCAAAGTCAACTATGTACGAGTACATCAGATCACTTCGAAAATGCTTTTAGAGGAGTTGTGGTGAGTTTTCCTGTGTAGATTTGGTTTTTATTTTTCGGGGACCTTTTCCAAAAGCTCTTATTTACATTCTTAGGATGACAATGAAGTCAGCCAAAGTTCCGACTACATTCCAGTCTCCGCTTCAAATGATTTCTGGTCACAAGTAGAGTTCTAGTTTTGCTTTTTTGTGCTATGCTAGCAAATGTCTATTATTTTATTATTCTCTTCCTTGTATCTAGACATTCAAAGTGGATTTTCTTTGCAGTGTAAGCATGTGCTTATGTGTATAACTTCTATAGTGCCGTACGGCGGACTTCTCACGGAAGCGAACCGGGCACAAATAGGCTCTTCTCTGCAGATACCCTCTGCATCCCAAGCGCTTCACAGGCGGTAAAACCGCGTTCGTGCCTCTTGCTTCGTGAGAAAGTTGCCGTCTTCCTGCAGTAGACCTTGCTCTTTGGTCTGTTCTGTACTATCTCGGCTTTTAGATCCTCGCAGTTTTTTTCTGTCAAACTGTTCAATGGTTTGGTGCATGCTTTATGCATTTTTTTGCATTTTTCTTAGCGGTGTAACCGTGATACGATAAACTTGTATGAATACCGTGTGCTATGCTTCCTTTCTGTGGTATGAACCCTAGTTTGCGAATAAGGTCATTGCTTACATTCTTCTCACAGACTATTGCATAGAAATGAAGCGGCGCAAAGACCGTGGCGGCGATGGAAACGGAGTCATGGATCGAGAACGGGAGAACGGAGGTATATTGAATACCTACAAATGGGATTGGCAGCAGTAGATTTATGCAATACTTAATGTACGAGCATGCAGGATTTTGCGAGATAATCGGACTTCATACGAAACTTACAGAACAGTACTCATTCGCAGGGCGGTTGTTGGGGGGGGGGGGGGGAGATCTCTTGGCCCATAAGCTACTACAGTCAATGATGGCCAAGAAAGCGAGGCGGAAGTATAGGCGATTCATAGCACGCAAAGACTGCGGATATATCAGCATCTCTCTGCTCGAGCGCTCTTACGTTTCTCTTACCATCTGCTGTCTCTCTTATGCTCGAACAATCTTGACCAGACGCAAAGGCGCTCCGTCTTTGCGTGTCATAAAACGTGTATAGATAGAAGCATGATTTAAATGGAATAAAGCATAACTTGGACATCATTGAAATACTTTGGGGAGTGAAAATAAACTGCAGGGTATTTCCGATTTCTGCGAATCGTGGTAATAGTACCACCAGGGTTCAGAGTGCTTCACTTCTTGTACAGCTGTTAGTGAGACGCGAGAAATCTAGCAATGACAGGTGTAAAAAACACTCAAGCGATAAATAGTCTCCATTCTACAAAATAGTTCGAGGATGCAGCTTCAGTGCTCGTGCGGATATGCGCCGACGCATGACATTGATAGATAGAAAAGCGTTATTGAAGGCGTCCATCTTCCATATTAATTTGCGAAGGTCATACACTTATGTATGTTTGAACCATTTCAGATAGCTGGTAACCGTTATTGCGACGTAAATTGCTATGTTGTCTTAGAATATCCGTCTACTTCGCCCAAATTCTTTCACATTTCTCCACTTCTCGAACACGTCCCGCGCTAGCGTGCTGCGCTTTTTAGGCTAGCGTGGATGTGGGAGAGATCAAAGAAATCTGAAGAGAGACTAAAGAAACCTTAGCGCTTTTGGGTTTCTGGGGCGCTTTTGGGCGAAATCTGACGAGTGTCTCAGAGGGATGGGAACGGATCGTAATCCTTCACTCAAGTGGTGCATATCTTACCTCGTCACTCTTCTCCTTCCACCTTCATCATCTGCAGAATCTTAATATGCTTACGCTGCTCTGTAATTTGATAACCATTACTCATTATTGAAAATTTGCGTGGTGTTTCAACCACTTAAACTCACTGAAAGCGAAGTGGCAAACAGTTTGCGAATGCGATAAGCCTTAAAGGCAGTGTCCAGGCTAAACCTAACCCCCTCCGATTAGTGTCGATCCTGAATGTAGGCCCCAGAAAAGGGGCATCTGCGTTGGTCCGGGTGAATTTTGGAGAGTTTGAAGTTCGGAACTGTAATCAGGGCCACGGAAAGGCCCCAGAATGACGAAAACATGGGGGGCCAAATTCTGGGTGGACGCTGCCTTTAAGAAAATCGGTTCGATGCTACAGTACGCAGTATAGCGAGGAGGCTAACTAATAAATAAAAGTTCCACCTCTGATTCAGATGTCACTTGGGAACACATCGAGGACGCCATATTGCATCCATCATCGGCAACGTTCAACTGGCAAAAAGCTTTGTTGGGTTACTTACGAAACCGGAAAGATGATGTACGCAAAATATACCCGCAATTAACGCTTTCGACCATTTACTTCGTTTTAGCCGAGCGCACGTTCCGAAATTCAACATCGTGTGAATTTCAATGTTCTCTCACAATTGATGGTATCCTACAATGCCACGACTTCATTGAAAGACCGTTTGACTTTCGACTCTCTGGTTTTGCTTGAGAATTCCTATGAAATCAACTTAAGGCAATGTGTATGAGTCTTATCTGTAAATCATATTGAAATCGGAGCTTTAGCATACTTTCTCCTTTGGTATGGGGTGAAAAATCGGCTGAGATCTACAAGACTCGGGGACAGTTTGGAGTGACATTGAATCGTACCACACCGGAAGAGGTAAGAGGTGGCGGGCGTGTTTTCTACGTAACAGAAATAATTCCAGATCCTCGGTTCCTTGGATGGATTGCGAATGTGGAAGACAGTGTTAAGTCACACTCGACCTCAGCGAGAAGCAGATGGTGAAGGCGGGTCCGCTCTGTATGATGTACGGTTCCTTTTGAGACTATTTCTTAGTCTGATGTATGCAGGATCCGAGGTAACTACTGCTAGGCTTACATTACTTTTTACTTTATTCCTAGAAATTTTACAAGTAGGAACACTCCTCTTTTTACGTCACGCAGTTTTATTGTACTTTTTTTTCAAATAAGCCATTTACAGCTCAAATATCGGGCATTCGTTGAGCAAAATGGTCTATCGTTAGCGTTTTCGTGTACGTCCTCAAAAAATCTCATGGTTCGCAAACTTGCTTATTGCGTGCTGCAAAGATTTCTCTCGCTAATGCAGGTATGCCAACGGTAAATTCCTGATCAGTGTCAGGCAACATTTCATCCAGGAACTGGACGTGGAAACTGCTGACGATCGATACAAGTTTCTATATATCTATCTTCTACGGATTTTCAAACAAAGTATTGAAAGCGATGCTCCGCGACTGCCTCATCGTGAGTTTTTGACTTTCTATTCATGGAAGTTTTTTGAAAATTCAACTCATAGATATCGCATGAAATTCTCTTAGTTTCAGAAATTTTTGAACATACATTTTTCCAGTCATTTCACATTTTTTTGCTCGTGTGTCGAAGCTGATTTTACATCCGGAATCGCCAGCCTTCACTGCTGTCCTTTCCTTCCTTAGTTTGAAGCCAGTAATCGATCTGAACAATGTAAGTTGGGTTTAGCGGTTGGTAGAAATTTTATGTCTCGTCTCTCACAGGTGCCAGAACTTTACAAGCTGCTTTTGAGTACCTCGACTGAGCACTATAAACAAGAACGAGAATGGATACTTACGCTCATTTCGGAAGGTCTTTTAGAACCCATGGATTACAATATCTTGCAGAACCGGTAACAATCACTATAACAATACTGCTTGTTTTAATCTCCAAAACCCAGATCTGGGGTCAAGCTACTGCTATCTTTGTTCACGACATGCATGGTTGACATGGTCACTCGCCGTTTGATTCTCAATGCTTTAAAAGCTGCTGTGCAAATGCGGTCCGCTGCGCACGATCTCTTCAGCAGGATGAACCTGCATTCCTGGATCGCTTCTGTCATTGACGTGGGTACTATTAAAGAAGAATTTCAAGAAGACTCATGCATGTACTCAGAAATGCTGGTTTCAAATTCCTTTTCAAGGTAGGGTGGGCGGCGCAATTTTGTTGGGGCCTGGCACCGCGCCCTCCGAAAACTTTTTGATAAATCAACGTTCTTGACACCTCTAAATTAAATCGATTTTTGAAAAATTTTAGGAATCGTTTTTTTCTTTGACAAGCAAAAAAATTGCGATTAACCGGCTTAAAAGATCTTCTGTTCCATTCTCCCACAACGAGAGGTAGGGGAAGGAGAGATAAAATTTGGGATAGCGTTCCAAATTATGACAAAGATTGTATAGTATGATTGTCGAACCCCGACTGCTCCTCATTTTGATTTCTTGTTGTTTTTTACTAAATTTGAACTCGATTCTCATTAACCTCTTTTTAAGAATCGACTACTCAGTAACTGGGAACAGTGCTACTTGGGTCAAATCTATTCTATTCTTATCGCGAACGAGCGTAAACATCAACGGCAGCTTCCATTGGATTCAGCAGAGTACAAAAATAAAATAGCGTTGGCTAGTGTGAGAGTCACTGCTCAAAAGGTAAATTTTAAGTTCATCCGAAGATCAGCTTATCATTTTTGCGGTCACACCATTGGGTACATCAAAAGGTTGTTCACGTACAAAAATCTCAGGTTCTATCAGTTTTGGACTCAATTAAAAACAATTCGTCCGCAGTGGAGAACATTCATTCCATAAAAGCAACGATGAATGCTAAATGGCGACCAAAAAAGAAAAGGGAGGTTGCCGCGAAAGATGTCGAAGAGTGAAGTAGGCACATTTATGGATCAAAGAGTCCGCTTTGTTATGCGATGTTGTTAATGTTATTGTTACTTGAACTGTGAATTTTTCTTGTCATTGATGCATTTGATTGTTGAAATAAATTGAGTTGAACAAACTATGACTGATTTTGTATTCATTCACCCTACCTTCGAACACTAATTACCAGTGGTAGAAGAATATACGCAGTATAGCAGCGGCACTTCTTATCAGCTTCGTAGTAAATGTAACTTCGAGTTTCAAGCAGAATCTTATGAGTTGAAGAAGGTTGAGAAGAATGAGCTTTTGATGGCTTATGTAACATTTTTCAACTATATCGTTAATTAGATGCACATTTGACGAGCGTATGTCAAAAAAAAGAATGCAGTATGAGGGTGGATTTACTATCAGGGCGTCCATGATTTTTTTGACGTTTCTCCCACAATAACTAGTATTATCCTTGTTTTTGCTGCCATTCGACAGAACAGAGCAAGCTTTACAGAATGGTACACTAAAAGTTGCTCAAATGTTTTACATAAATTTCGCCGAAATTTAAGAAGATCTATGTAGCCGAAGAGTCGAGAAAAAATTGCACCTCCTCTTAAAAAATTTCTAGAAAGTTCCTACTTGTTCAGGCATGTACCCGCCTCATTTTATCTGAAGTCTTCCTAATTTTGTACGGCTAGAAATGGAGAAAAAATTAATTCTCGTGTGTTTGTCAAAGCTGCGCTGGTCAGATCCCACACAACTCATTGTATAGTATGAACCTTTGTGAGTGAAAGTATGAGTTCTGGGCCCTTTATAAGCAGTAGTTCTTAAGAAATATTAAGTTTAAAGCAAAAACACCAAAAAAGACAACTTTTTCATATTGGGTCTTTTTCGGTGTATGTATGTTGCTCAATTTACGAAGATCAGATTGATGCAAAAGTACGCATCATATTTGAAAATCATAACTTTTTGCTCTCTCAACGGATTTGCACAAAACCTTAGTTTGCTAGATAGAGCAAACCCTTTTCTTTGTGATAGTGCCTTATTTTGCTTTCTAATAAGTGGTAGCTTTTGAGGTGGAAGCAGGAGAATAAAATTACTTCACGGTTATTTTAAGTTAGACCTAAATATCTGAAACTTGCGGATAAAATTGCAGCGAGCAGCATAGCAAGACTTTGATCTACAGTTTCCAACAGTGCAAAGCTTGTGTTAAAAGAGTCTTTATGTGAAAAGTCATGATTTTTAGGTAAGCAAAACCAGTAAATTTGATTTTTTGGTTTTTTCGAAAATCATAACTGCTCACAAAGATGCTCATTTGATACAAGCTTTGCTGTTCGAAGGAGGCGATCAAAAGACTTACTATACTGCCCGCTGGATGTTTTATCGCCAGTTTCAGATTTTTAGCAACGTAACTCAAAATGACCGAAGTTGAATGATTTTATTCCCCTAGTTCCATTTCAAAAGGCACCCCTTACTAAAGAGCGGCAAAGCCACTATCACGAAGAAAAGGGCTTCCTCTATCTAGCAAAATTAAGTATGTGCAAGTCGGTTGAGAGAGCAAGAAGTCATGATTTTTCAAAATAATGCGACAGATGTTGAGTTAGTATGTAATTAAGCCTTCCGAGGTTAGTAGGTCTTTATTAGTGGCGGCCTAACGTTTCGAACAAGTCGTCTTCTTCAGAGGCCTAAAGTGGTAGGAGATTTTGATTATGTGTCTAACCCACCAAAATCCTCCACCAGTCCCCGACCAGCCTCGATTTTGCCCCAGAATATCACAAGAAAAAGTCCCAAACGTGAAAGACGAACTGACCTCCTCCACCGTCGGCGCGCGGATGTTAGGGCGGCCGTCCTTCGATGCCACTAGTATGAATAATGGAATACACTGTATATCATACCCTATAATAAAGCGCAGGGGGGACCATCGCACGTCAACAACCAGCAAGGATGTTTGCCCAGATCTTTGTCTTAACTTTTGCACTTTCGCTCGCTTCCATACTGTTTACCGTTACGATTCGACCCAGTCGCGTAAGTGCAACCTAATGACGTCATCGTATTTTGCGCTAACTTGGCTTTCTCGATGATGTTTGCTATGAAATCAAGCTACTGAACACAATACCATGAAACTCCACCTCACTCGACTTCTCAGTTCACATCAAGCGTAATTGTAAGGTCTGATGCTTTTCGTAAGTCTTTAATTTTATTCATTGGACATCTCAAGACTGTGTGAACTTTCCAAATTGTTACGAGTCTAATTGTCTTGAAACTACGCTGGATGCAAAAAGCTCACTTGGCAACTAAATCGTAGGTTCAGAAGACTGCAACTTAGAATTCCTGATTTTTCTCAAAAGACCGAAAGTTTCAGAAATACTATGAAGAACGTAACTGCGATCGTAATAGAATTTTAGAGCTACATGCTGTCTGTTTGCTGTCAGTATAAAAAAGATGAAAAGAAAGGGCTTCACTAACCATCAACTCAACCCTTGCTAACCTCAGGCACATGTAGTTTTTGGCGCAATTTTGTCAAAACATTGCACAGCCCCAGAATCACATAAACACTGAAGATTTGCTTGGATGAATAGCTGAATCTGGAGTTTAACTTTAAAAATAGCTCTCTTTATAGAATCAAGTCAGTAGCCTATCAAGATGAGTTGGAAATTGGGGTGGACTGTGGAGTTGGGTGGAAAAGCATAGATATTGAACAATTTGAATAGCCCATATAAAACGCTAACGGGAGACATTAAGATTCTTGAATTGGAAAGAATTTGTGCACGCTTCCAACAGAGCCTATTCTGTGAAGAGGAAGGGATGCTGTTTGATTTGAAAAATTCTATATTATAAGTTGGAATGTTGGTTAGAGTCGCAGCGATGTTCGACAGTGTTCCCGGGCCCTTTCGTGACCGGGAACGTCGCTTATCTCGCCCCAGGTTTTCATACGAGCCCAAAAGATTTAATGGAGAGTGAAGTGTTGTGAAGTGTTGGGGCAGTTCGCAGGACAATCGATGAGGAGGGGAGGGCCCCGGCTCAAAACAGTCGACAGATTGTACATAGTTGAAAAAAGGTTGCCGAGCCCAACATAACTACCATTAGCAAACCGCTTGAGGGCGAGGGCGCAGCGCATCATGTCAATTTTGGCCTGATTCGGGGGGACAGACTGTAAAGGTGTAAGTTCGCATTTTTTCAACGGCACCTCTGAGGCAAGACTTGAAACGACTAACAGGGGAAGGATAGTTGGATGCCGCGGCCATTCCTAATGATTTGTATACCAAAAAATGCGCCTTCAAATGCAGATTCTGAATCTGTGCTCGAAATCTGCGAAACGATCTTTTGAAGAAAGTTATGAACTTTTTTCCTTGAAAATTTCGCCTACTTTTGGATAGTAAAAATCCAGATTTGACCTAGCCTACCGTTTGATGCTACTGAAGAAAATTTTAGACGTAGTAATATTTATTTAGACTATCTGGATCATACTCAGCATTTGGAAAGGAGAGAAACTTTTTTTATTGTTGATTTTGACCCTCCGCAAGAACGCAATTTTTTTAATGAAAAAAAATCATAACTCCATTCAGATTATCGTTTCGCAGATATGAAAGACAGTCTACGAACCAGCATTCAAAAGCGCATTTTTTGGTATACAAATCATTATGAATGGCTACGGCATCCAAGTATCCTTCCCCTGTAAGTAAGATCTGAAGGAAGTGAGAGTGCGAGAAAAGAGTGGTAGTTTGGAAAGTTTCATGAGGGAAGCTTTTGGGTGAAAAGGTATTGAGGGAAAGTGGAATGCATTTTGGCTCGAAGAACTCAAGGAGGGCAGCAAAGCGCAAGTTTGCAAAGTATAATACATACATAACTGGGAAGCTGGGAGAAAACGGTAAAAAATCTATTGGCACTTTTGTTAGTACTTATGAAACCACATAAAGCAGGATTTGGAAAGGAGAGAAACTTTTTTTATTGTTGATTTTGACCCTCCGCAAGAACGCAATTTTTTTAATGAAAAAAAATCATAACTCCATTCAGATTATCGTTTCGCAGATATGAAAGACAGTCTACGAACCAGCATTCAAAAGCGCATTTTTTGGTATACAAATCATTATGAATGGCTACGGCATCCAAGTATCCTTCCCCTGTAAGTAAGATCTGAAGGAAGTGAGAGTGCGAGAAAAGAGTGGTAGTTTGGAAAGTTTCATGAGGGAAGCTTTTGGGTGAAAAGGTATTGAGGGAAAGTGGAATGCATTTTGGCTCGAAGAACTCAAGGAGGGCAGCAAAGCGCAAGTTTGCAAAGTATAATACATACATAACTGGGAAGCTGGGAGAAAACGGTAAAAAATCTATTGGCACTTTTGTTAGTACTTATGAAACCACATAAAGCAGGAAACTTCTGACATATCTTTGTTAATCTCTGGGTTCGTTGTCTGCGCAAGAAAAGGTTTCCAGTTCTAACTTTGAAGTCACATCCCACTTCACACACACAACCAGTCCGAAGCGCCGCTTTGCGGCGCTTCGGACTGGTACCATATATGGACTAATCACTAGTGGCCTTCAACTCGCATAACGTCACAAAAGCCATAAAGTCATTTGTAATTGACATACACTCATTTCGGCTGTTCATGCATGGGGTTTCTCGCGTAAATCCAGAATGCCTCTGGATTAACGCGAGAAAAAAAATGCGACAGAACTTTTGCATCAACCCAATAAATATCAGAGACTCTAATCTTCTTAGATTTCGGCTTCGAACTTTATGTAGAGCGATGAGCAAATGTTTGGGTGCTGTCTTGTAGAGCTTGCTTTGCTCTGTCGTATAATACCGCAAAACCCAAATATTTGAAAAAGAAGGAGAATATGAGTTATTGCAGGAGAAAGTAAAAACGTTAAAAATTGTGGTACACCTTTATAACATCGCGTTTTTTTCTGGGAAGGGGTCAAGGAAGGAGCGTGCCTGGCAGAAAATTTGAACCCAAATATTTGAAAAGTATGTATACACTGTTTGATCGTTAATATCTCTTTTCCCAAGAAGTCTCTTGCCTTGTTTCAGGTACCATTTTGTAGAGCTGGTCAACTTAGATTTGCAGTATAGAACGAATCACCCATCTCTCTTCATTACTGTAGGATTACGGTAGAAACTTGAAACATATGGTGTCAATGTGGAAAAAGCTGCCGTTTCAAAATTTTTCAAAAATATGTGAAAACTTGTGTAATAGGGTTTTTGTGGACGCTGAGTTCAATACTCAACTATTCACAAGTTTACGAAGCTTTCTAAACGGTGCAACCGCACTTTTTAGGAACATTGAAAAAATGGCCGCTACCTCTTACCTGGCATAACTCTTCAATGAAGCATCACAATTAGTTGGGAACTTTACAGTTAGAATCAGCAACTCCAATTAGCCTAGTGTAAAAGTTTTCAGGCTGTTTTTTTGTCTCCTTTCTGAGGCAAAATATGGCCTTCATGGCCCAAAACCCTCTTTCAAATTTCTACCGTAATCCTACAGTAAAGGAGAAAGATGGACGATTCGCTCTATACTGTAAATCTAAGATGAAGCCAGTTCTACAAAGTGGTACCTGAAGCAAGGCAAAAGACTTCTTGAGAAAAGAGATATTAACGATCAAACAGTGTATACATACTTTACGGACACCCTGTATAATCAACGACCAAAAGTTTTCTATATATCTTTGAAAAAAAATTCGAAAAAAAATTCATTCTTTCCGCTGGCATTACTGTATTATTGCCTATAAACCACAATGATGTATAATGGTGAATATATTAGGTTGTAAAGAAAGTTTCCGGGCACTTGCAAAATTTTTTTTAAACTGCTGTAACTTCAAGCAGGCCGCTCCTTTTTGAGAGCTGCAGATTCTGCTGTAAAGGCAGTGTCTACAAGATGCTCGTTTTGCTGGGTCCTCTTAGCACTTCACTCCGGCCCACCAGCATGCGCTAGAAAAAAAGGTCGACTTAAAATTTGGCCTTTTGTGCAGGAATTCTTCAGGCACGAAGAGGGCTGAAGAGCTCATATCCTTTTGTAGTAGAACTCTACTGGAACTGTTTATAAACTGTGTTACAATTTTGGAGCACAGCCTGTAAATTTTTTTTTCGAATTTGCACCCTAAAATGCCTTTCTTGAGTGAATGAGTTTGAAATTTTCCCTCTTTCCACCGAATGCATTAAGTCTTTGATTGTTGCAAATATTGTTGGGGTAATGTCTCGCACATCTTTGGGGCCCATCGTCGAGGCGTGACGATCTTCACAAAATCGAGCCCAGCTGCGAAAACAGGTAAGGCAAGTTTGAGGGCTTGTGAATCTTGTGCGCGTATTGTCAAATCCGAGCACAGCTGCATGAAGTGAACAGCATCCTTATTCAGCCTGAGTAACTCTTAAATGTTTTTTGGTTTACCGCGAAAAAATGGCAGCAAAAAGACTGGAAAAATTTTATCGTTGCACAGACTTCTTGTTTTGGTGTGTAGGTCAAATACGGTTTGACATCCATGAAAACTGATGCGAGTCTGGAAAGCTTAAGCTTTCTTCTACAGAAATGCAAAAATATCTACCGCTAAAATTCAACCGATTCCGAAAAAAATAAGGCCGAAAATGAAAGAGTGAAGCCTAGATTCTTTTTTGTTGAACGAAGCACTCACGCGCCGTTTATCACACATTTCTATTGATTCCGTAAAGTGGATTTTGCAGGACACTCTGGTAATTTTGCTTTTCATTTGCAAGCGGCATGGACATATTTGATTAGACGTGATAAACATTTATTGCACTTTACCACATCTAAGCACACCACATCATCTCCCCAATGAAAAGAAACGTTGGAAATCTAGTTCTGCACGTTTTTGTAATTTTCTGTTACGAAAAACGCCAGACTACGTTTGCGATACACAAAGTTCCACAAGTTGAGAAAATCCAAGATTTTTTTACAAGAAAAACTGATCAGTTTGATGCATCGATGCGAAAAATTTGAAAGAACCCACGCAATATGCTTTCTTTCATGTGGGTTACGTTTTTCAACACTTATTTTTTTTCACTGCAAAAAATTGCGAAACTTGCGTTTTTATGGCAATGCACTGCACAGTCTTGCGATATAGAGCAAAAGTCCCGTAATAAACGAAAATATTTCGTTTCAAAATTTTTTGAAAATTATATGCTGACAACCATTATACAGCACAAGGCGCTGCACTTGTTTCTGAATACTTCCGTTGTTTGGCTGAGGTACGGAATGAAGCAAAGAGAGGGAATTTAACACTTGGTTGTCTTTTGAAATACGAATTTGCAACAACTCCAAGAGCTCCAAAAAAACGAAAACTTATATGGAAAATTTGAAGAAAAGAGCTTTCGAATGATTACCATTGTCATTGTTCTTGGACGTTTCTCCTTCAAAATTAGCAATCCAAGGAGGAAATTTAAAAACAGGTAGAACTTTTGAAACAAAACATTAATTTTCCTGATATTTTTCATTGAGCATTGACTCTTGAAATATCGGTGACCAAATTCACTGAAGTTGCTTATCATACTTGTGAATCCCACTACTTTCTTCTGCATGTATTTGAATCACCTCTTGGATGTAGATAGATACTTGTACTCTGTTATGTATCATTTCAGTAAAAGTAATGCGATACACCGTGCTCGATAGCAGTTTATTACTTTGGCGAAAACGTATGATTAGGCGATTTGGCGAGGTAAGTCTGATCACAATGGTGGAGTTTCACCGTCGTCTCATGAAAGATTGATAGCTAGCACCATGGATAGAGGTACTCCTTGCGACACATACTCATAAATTATTATAGAAATTATACAGTCCACTGTGTACTATACTACATTGTGGCACACTACTTATAAATTATTGAAAGAGGTAACATTCAATAGTTTGGAAAATTTGATTGGAAAATCAACACATTGTGCAACAATTCGTCAATACGGATCGATAGTTTTCATGGGGCTTTGTCATTTTTGAAGCCTGTCCTCGTCAAAGCGATTCGTGGTTTGTGCTTGAGGCATGGTGAGTTTCCTAATTCAAGACGATAATATAAGTTCCTGGAGCAGATTACATACCTTCGTTAAGCCGAAACATCTCGGGATTTTCGTAGATACTGTAGACACATCTCAAGCGATTCCGATCGTTTTCCTTTGTGAAAGTGTTCGAATAGATTTTGGGATCATAGTACGGCAATGGTCCTGGATTGGAAACGTGTCAAAGGTATTATAAAGACTTTGACGCTTTCTATTATAAAGCACTCAAAAAAGATATTCCATCTTTCATGCAGATTTCTTAGAAAATTGATCTTACCTCCATAAGGTGCAGGTTCGCAATCGCAAGCTTTGGATTTCCACATATTTCCCCAATCTGGTTGCCATGAATACATATGCTGTACAGCATCGAAATTATCTAGCATGCCTTAAAAATTTGGTCATAGACTAGACATCTCAATGTAGTGCGACTGCGATGGAGACAACAATTGAGCGAGCAAAAATTGCCTAGCCATATTCAGAGTTTGCGCTGTATGACCATTTCTTACGCGCAAGTGTTGTTGGTACGCAGTGACACACATTGACTTTTAGACCTTTACCTATACCACTCGTATTTTTCAGAAAAAAAGACCAGTCGCTCAATTCACGTGACATCACCGGGGCGTGACCATTTCAATCCAAGGGCCCCATCAGACTCAGCTCGGCAGGCGCAATTTCTGATATATAGAAGTGCCCGTTTGGACACATAGAAGGTCAGATTCCTTAAATCGGTCTACATTTTTGCTTACGGTAGGTTGCGCAGTGAGTGCAATGAACAAGCACACTGAGTCACCTACCGTAAGCAAAAATCTGAAACGATTCATGGAAATCTGGCTTACTATTGTGTCCAAGTGGACATTTATACATCGGAAGATGCGCCCCGCCGTGCTGAGTCGAATGGTGGCTTTAGATGCAGAATTCGTCCACTCTGAAGCGAGATATGGCCACGCGACGGTGATGTCACATGAATCGGGCAACTGTGCGTCTTTTTTTTTCAAAAATTACTAGCTATCGAGGCTAACCATTCAGTACTATTTTGGAATGTCATAATCACCTTTGCAACTGAGCGATCTCTCCGAGCCTGCAGGCACACCAAAATATCTGCAAAACCATTTGAAAGCTTTGATTCTACGAGACTCGCCTGGTCCACCTTAAACATTGATTGAAATTTGCAATAAAGTTTTAGAGCTTGATAAAGAGATCGAACTCTACCTGGTTCCTCAGGATCCTCTCCTCCACACTCGTTGTTGATGACAAGGCTAGTAGGACCAAATATAGCACCGCTGAATCCAGCTCTCCTGTTTTTGTCCGACTGACGCCAGTTACCTTGACGTTAAACCAACATTTGATCACAACTTCAAAATCCAAGAAGTTCTGATGAGAATATAATTACCTACTACAATGCTGTGCATTGAAGGCTTCGATGGCTGTGGAGTCATGTAAAACCAGAGGCTGGCTAACATCGCTAGCGGAGGATCCATTTTGGTGATTACCTATGCTTTCTTCCATTAGACAAATTCTTTATCTTTATTACCTTGATTGATACGCGTTATAACTAACACTGAGGTAAACATCCAAAAAAGATGAACCTGAGCAGTATGAGTATCTGCTGAAGGAAAATATAAAGTGGAGAACAACAAAAAACAAATAGAAAAGCTAAGCTAAAAAAAATTTGTGAAATGCTTGGGAAAAAAATTGGGAATGCTCGCGCGATGGGATGTATGGCTGCTTCTTTGTAGTTGGTGCCCATATATGCAGGCATTTTCCAGGTATACAAACTGATTTCGCCAATTTTGCACCCCCCTCATTTTCTTGCCCCTTCAATTTCGAGGTGCATGTGTGCCTCGGGCGGTCAAATTAGGAGGACGCGGCAAACGTTTTCTTGAATGGGTGATTTTGGCGTTTGGTCTTCAGAGAAATATCGTCAAAAGATATTCGTATTTTTCCTGATCACAGAGCGTTAGTATTTATGCATCTTTCGAATTTCACTGTTTGTATGTGAACCATAGTCATAGACATAGGGATATCGAAATATGAAGTTTGATAAAAACAATAGAAAGAATAAGGAGTTTCTGCTTGTTTGAATGCTGTTGAAAATGATGAAGTTGTTCCGTGTACATGATTTGCAAGGTCAAAATAAAGCTTTTTATTTCTCTTACCAGGTTCGGATTATTTAGCAGATCCACCTCAATTCCTTTTGATAGCAAAAATTGTTGAAAGAGTCCATAGTTATAGTTCCAAGAGAGCTGTAAGTGAAGTTTGCTGCCCATTACCATTCTCTGAGTAAAAGACCTATTACCTGTAGGGCTCCTCTACCAAAGTAGCACCCTCTGTGATATGTAACGTTTGTGTGTTTCTCCGTTGTAGTGTTGCAGGGATACCAAAAGGTTGATATTGGATCTGCTTTGCAGTACTGCCCTTCTACGGTGCATCTACAAAGTTTCGATTCTGCCAGATTTGCGCGTGGAATCTACTGTTACCTTTTCCCATCCACAACTTGGAAACCAGGGAAAGCAGGTAGCAGGAATGAGCTGTTTGGTCCACCTTCGAACCAATTGTAAAAGCCGCCACGGTAGAAACACTCGCCCGCTTCCTCGAGCGACAAACTTGAGCTGGATTACGTTTATTTACGAAAAGTTGGATGAAAGTGACTGGCATGTGTTGTATACCCGTAAGTCGACTACCCAATTTTACAACGCTTCTTTATAGATAATCACCCCTAGCAGCGGCGGTCGCAGGATTCCGGTCCAGGGGGGGGGGGGGGGAGAACGACAAAAATTTTTTTAAATGAAGCTGTCTGGTGTTAGCCACGTACTCCGAGAAATTTTTTGGAGATCTCGAAATTTCTGTGGCCGCATAACCCCCAAAGTCTAGATAAAGGGGGCGTGTCTGTCGCCAGAATTTTCAAAAATTTTAAAAAATATTCCAATTAGTTACAGGAATAAATTAGCCATTGCACATTTCTATATCGTATGTAAGTATTATAAATTTGAAAAATTTTGCGATCCATTCTTGGATAGTCCTTATTTTGATAGACCTTTTTGTGTTTGCACACTCAAAAAAGCGCAATTTCAATGAACGAGACTTTTTTCATTTTGCGACCTTCCTCGTTTAATTTTCAGTGTTGATTTTAAATTGTTCTGCTCTACCGCAGATTGCAAAGGTAGTGCAATCACACAAAGCGACTGTTCGAATGAGGACGTTATAGATGAGGAACGGACATCTATCTGCTTTAGCGCCGCTTTTGTCCATTCGTTTCCATCAGATAAATTTGTAATATTTGCATTTCCTCGAAGAATTTCTGATTATATTTCTTTGACTCCCTTTAGTCAACGCAAAATTTCGATATTGACACTGACTATGGGAAGTGCATACCATTCTGTATAAATCAGAAAAGAAATTAGAATTTTAACTCAAACGCCAGCTTTTTGAGGTGTACAATCAAGATTTATATTAACAAGTTTTCAAAGGAGGCACAGCCTTACGCAAACCATCATTGAAAGTAATCTCGCAAAAAAAATTCGTGGAGGAAAAGTAGAGTATTCAACAACTACAATCAAGCGCTCCAAGCTATGTCTTGAAATTTGTAAAGTAATTGTTTTGCACGATTAAGGAACCATGAGATCGTAAATATGATGCCCGAAGAAAGCTTAGAAGCACTCGCGATAACATCGCAAAGATTTCATAGTTCTAAAGAGAGGAAATAAATTGGGATAGAATATGACTTAAGCCTCTCGTCGGTCACTGCTCTATGGGTTTCATGAGAGAAAGAAAATGAACAGAAGTTTGGCACAACCTAATATGTTATAGTAGGGTAGGTTAGAAATAAGAAAATGCAGATTGGCATGACTCTTAGTTTATATAACATACTAATGCTGCTTTACCACTTCATAGCGATTCTGAAGGCTCGTGAATTAATCAGATAAACATTTCCTGCGTTTTTCTCGAGACAAACAAATTAAAACTCACTTGTACAGTGAGAGGTCATTCTCGCCCGTTTCCTGAAGAGCGTGAGCAAAGAAGGCAGCGACGTCGCGACGTTGATGCTCCCAAGCTTCGTACTCCTAAAATCTGTAAGTATAGTAGTTCTATAGAGGTGACTGTCTGTCACGCATCCTAACCTTGTTCAAAGTCTCTCCTCCAAACTCAGGAAAATATCGTGCGGCGAGAATAAACGATTTGTATGAGTATGGGAGGCATTCGTGAGGTCCCAATCCGAGGTTTGCTTTTGGGAATAAATCCTGTACAAGAGACGGAAATCCCAGGTGCTCATCAATTTTTTTTTCAGTCATTACTGACCTCAAACATTTCCTTGGTGAACCATTCTTCTATAGGAGATTTCTTCAGATTCAAGGGATCTCTTGGACTTTCGCAATCTTCATCCGGTGGTTTCGCGAATACCAGATGAGGAGGACAGAAATCAAGAGTAGTAGCTAGAAGAGATTTTTTGGTTGCATTTTCTATCATCTAGAACTTACCAAAGGTCTTAGCTATTAAAAGCAAAGAGAGCAAGAGGGATGCGTGCATCGTGAAGACAACAGAGTTTCGCAAACAAGCGCATGGCTTTCAATGCACTGAACAAAGGATGTCGGGCTTAGAGCGAGAAGTCAGCTGAAGGTGCGTAAGATGAAAAGCTCTTCGAAAATGGCGAAGGTGCGTAAAGCTAGAAGCTCTTCGAAAATATCGACTGGCGAATGCAGAGCGAAACGTCTGGATTTAGGTACTAGTAGAAGAAAATTGGTTACCAGTGCATCGGGTTTTCAGAACTAAACTCCCGTATCGATGGTTGCGCGCGCTTCGATAAAAATCGCATACATACACATACTTCATATGACACACATTACGAAGTATCGCGCAGAACGGAAACAAACGATCTGTAGTACCTATGTGTGTATGGGTCATTCTTAAAATCGTGACGATGAATTGACTGTGGCCTTTGCGTACACAGAAGCATAAAATACATAAGAAGGCATGATCTCAGAGCTCACCTTACAAGGGAAGCATGTTCAGTCGAATTGGCCCTTTTAGATGTGACGCAAGCCATATTGAAGAGCATAAAATGCTGATTCCAAATCTGTCTTCCTTATCTGCAGAACATTTACGGACGAGGAGTTATGAGCATTTATTGGGACTAAAGTTGAGTATGCAGGTAAGACAAAAATAGCCGTAATGTATTTAATACTTTTTCTGCTCTTCAATGGAGTGGTGATAATCATCAGAGCACTTTATTCAAAAATTACTCTGAAATAGAAAGCATATCACACTTGGTCGCATTATTTGAGGGCTAGTAAGATTTTAGCAACTGGCAGAGAAGCCATTCGAGTAAAGGTAAAAACCAGGGTCAAGCAAGGGGTGTGGCACACGATCGCTGGTTACGACCCCCCCCCCCCCACCCCCGCTGAACTATATACCTAAGATAGCATTACCAGAGTTGAGAAAGAGGTCAGGCACAAGTCTTTCGAAACCCCCCCCCCCCCATGAAAGCCCTCAAACGACCCCTTCTTCCTCCTCTGGACCTCAAAGTGTGGCATTCTGGAGGACACCATCTTTTTCTAGAGAGTTTTCAGATTTCTGAGAGCTGTACGCCCGATTTTCTGTGACTGCACTTTACAATCACACGTAATTTGACGGCTGATTTTGATCTAGATGGGCATATTGAAAGGGCCATAATTTTCTTATGGGTGGGGCGTTCGGCTCCAAATTACCAATGTAGTAAGAAGCTATGTGCTCAATACTCATACCAGCAATGGAGCGCTTTCTGGATTGAAGGCAAGTTAAGGGGGTGTGCCGCACCCCATTAGCTATATTAAAAAAAACATTTTTAGCGGACAGTATTTATATGAATCGATAGCCTAAATCTTGTAGATTCCATAGGACTGTTTGGAGCCTGATTTGTCTTCTTAGCTCTAAGTAATATTTGGTGAAAACACAGTGATCAAAAGCGAAAAATGGGAAAAACGAGATTTTGGTTGGCTTCTAATTCCACAGTTTGCAGGTGTTCTGAAGCGGGATTCCTGAGGTGGACAAAGAAGGAGTAGTGCTTTGTCTTGAGTGCAAAAACGGATAGCTAGTTCACCTTTGAAACAAAGTTAACCATGTTGGAATTTGACCATTTCATTTAGGTAGCCTAGTATCTTGAATCTTCAGAATTCGCTCACACTTTACAGGGGTTAATTGACATGCTAATTATGGATATGATACGAATAACATGTTATCACTATTATCAGATTACCCAACTACGACCCCCTCCCCTTTTGACTCCTCAATACGACCCCCAGGTGTGGCGTGCCGCACCCCACGCTTGACCCTGGTAAAAACCAAAAAATGCGGTTGTTGGAAGTGCGTGCGTGCGCGCGGTCCCATCATCGTCGCGATTTTTCGAATGCCCTATACAGTCTCTGGCTGAACATGAATTGATATTTACATCTTTCTCAGTTTTTTGATTTGTATCATAAAAATTTTCAGCATTCAAATGCTATCTATGTACGTCTCAGTATCACATATAACAAATTTCGGAAAACCGCATATTTTGTAGAGAATTTTTTGTGAAAAAATAACAATTCGGTACGTTTCTTCTTCCAATCCGACGTTCACTAACTTCTAGGAATTACTTCAACTGAAAGATGAGAGACTGGAAATAATAGAATTTTCATTCCTTATTATGTGGACCAACAAAGCTGAGGTAGAAGTGCATTTATAATGGTCTTAGACTTCAGAACATACTGTTACTTTACTTTTTAAAGCTAATTCAAGCATTTCTCTCATCTATAGGAGACTATCACAAACCAAAAATCTTCTTGTATTCGTAAAGAATCTCCGCACATAAGTTAGATTAGATTACAAGAGGGGTACTAGTTGGATTGTAAAGTAATCGAAGCAATGAAGAGTGTGATAAGCTTCTAGTTAAAGCAAATAAAAACAGCAGCCTAGTTACAGCTTCAAAACAATACTGAAGTGCAGAAGGCAATAAACCAATAGCAAGTAAATCCATGTTTCAATTACATATCAGGCTCCAAGCCAAGCCATCGTTGAGCAAAGTATAGCTATACGTTCTGTTATACAAGTCATTTGTCACAAGACACTGGTTTGCTCTCCCGTAGCAAAAGTTCCAATCTTTGGCGCATCGGGCACCTGAAATGAATGATCGCATAAAGTCGAAAAAGTATCTCTTTCTTGTCCGAATTTCGATTTATTCGTCAAGCATAATATCTGCACCAGATATCAAAAGTACATGGCATTATTTTTTTGTGGCTAGAAAGAAAAGTAAGAATGGGTCAAAAATAAGAAAATGTCCCTTTTTTTCGGGCTCTCATGTTGATTTTCAAACGCAACGAACAGCGCTTGGAGAAAGCTGAGGACTTGCTATACTCACAATGTTTCCAGCATAGGATTACTTATGTCAGCATAGTCTAGAATTCCTTTGGAGCATACCAGTTTTCATTTTTTAGAACTTCTATCATGAAATACGGCAGAAATACACATAAATGTCTGAAGTGGTAAGTAGCTTACCTGAGCAAGTTAGAGGCTTTAGGATGACTGAACAAAAATCGGTTTAAACTTTAGCAATAGAGCAGAAATATTAGGGTGTCTCCTAATTTTTACCGTTTTTATTACAAACGCCGCCTTTTTGTATCTTTCCTTCATCTGATGTGGCTTGAGTAATCATTCGACAGGGCAAAGCAAGCTCTACAAGATGGCTATCAAAGCTCTGCCTAAATCGTATCCCACGTGAAGTTCCAAGCTGGAATCTGACAGTAGTCAAAAACGAACTTTTCTGACAAAAATCGTATCTCCGTTCCAAAGCGTCTACAAAATACTCCATTTATTTTAGCATATGCTTGACATATCGCACATTCGATTGCACACTTTCCGAATGTTTTCCATGGCTACAAATAAAGAAAAAAATGAATGAGGTGAAATGGTAAACTCCGCCCCTAGACGTTCTGAGCTCTTCCCTCGCATGTATCATATGTCTCATATATACAGAAGTACGATCATGTATTTGTATCCTTTGTAGGTGCCCCAGTTCTCATGAAATGCTGATGTTCAGGGTCAAGGTAAAAAAAATTATGAGATACCCTTATACACATGAATGTCTAATGTGATAAGTAACTTACCTGATAAGATAGAGGCTTTAGGGTTACTGAACAAAAATCGTTTCTGGGTTATGAGTTTCAAATCTTTCTCCCATATTTTTCGTGCATCTAATTGCAATCGTTCAAGTGTCAATTTCTAGAGCTTGCTTTGCTTTATCGAATGATTCGTTTCATGCATCTCTATATACTCTGCCGCGGCAGAATAAGTAACGACCATTACTTTTGCACTAATCTAAGAGAAGTGCCAAAATGCGTCTTATGTATGTGTACTAGACGCTCCCTCATTTCGCATATGTTAAAAATTGCGCTGGCTGTAGCACGGAAGCTCCCGACTAAGCTCGGTCCGTTTGCCTTCCCACGATCACCTTACTCGTCCATGCACTCGTTACGCAATTGTAACAAATGTTGATTTTGCCAGAATGGAATATGCGCATGTTTTGACTATCGAAACATAATGAGCTTTTTTCACGGAATAGGCTTTGTAGAAAACAAGCTTGATACTAATTCAAACTAGCTTGCTCTCATAACTTAGCTTTTACAAGTTCTGGCTGAACTCGTGCTCGTGCAGATAACGCAACCGTTTTGCTTATCACAGCAATAATTGGTAATTGGGGAGCTATACGACTGCTGATAATGACGTAATCTCATCTGAAAAGACATAGTATAGAAACAATGGAAATAAGTTTTTAGAAGGGTACAGAGATTTTGAACTTTGTAGAAGTGTAGATAGCACTTTTTGCGAAGAAATTGCAAATTGACATCTCCAATTTGTAAGATAAATCGGTGGCTAGCGCGTAAACAATGAAGCAAGAGAAAATATAATAGTTTGGGATTTTGGATTGCTTATGCAATTTGAAGTTGACTTTTCTTTTGTGTGTACAATAACTCATTTCGTCGTGAGCATGTTCATTCCTTTTTAGTGTCGCAATTGAAAACTGATAATAATAGCAAACAGTCGCGAGCGAAGGTAGCGGTGACAGTCACATTAAGAGAGTTTGAGGGAAGTAGACTGAAATCGTAACTTCGAAATCGAGTTTTTTTATTACACGTACCATTGATTATCTGCTGTCATCTGTTATATTTCCAAATAAAAATTTCGAATGTACTAAAGAGATGTGGCGTCTGCAGTAACACCAGTCTTTGATTTATCCTGCCGTTGGAAAGATTCATTGAGTCTGCACCAAAACAATGTAATTTTTTGTGACTCTTGCCTTTCTGAATGTGGCACAGTCCTTTTTGATATCATAAAGGCTATGATGTTAACGAAACAGCCATTTCTGTTGAATTCTGTTATCGTATTTGGCTACGGTAATTTCAATCATAAAAGGGAAAAACAACAACAAAATGTCATGGATTCGGATGTAACGTGGTCAAGATCACGAAAATACCTTCACCTTGTTTGGTAAGCTTTTTTTAATTTTGGAAAGATCGTGGTATGATCTTTTACCCTGACACAATTGAGTATGATATTTGTATCCCCAATAGACAATTGGTTGTCGGCTTATATCAAGTTTGAGATTTTCTCAAAAAATGACTGAGAAGTCAAGTTGTCCACACATTAATGGAGAGAATTCTAAAGAGCTAGCAAATGCACCTGTATTAGGTTGAACATTTTTGTAACACTTTTTCTGTTCAATTGACTAAATTTAAAAGTTTATGAAAAACTCATGCTGCATATGTACTCAAAATGTAAAGGGTCCATCTACCGGTGATTGCTGCCACCTACCGGCAAGATCGTCGACTACAGCTTTTTGTCAACTGACGATCGCAGAGCACTACCCGCTAAGATCAAGCAGTATAGGTTAGTTGAGTCTATAAAATCCTCCAATAATCATAATGCAGCTGTAAATCCCTGCAAAAGCCACTGTTTCGGTAGCGCAAGCATTTCATGCCAGAAACTATGACTTATCTCCTGAAGCAAACTCCGCTCCGTCACGACAAAGCGAAGTATGCACTGAGAGCGGAGAAACAGACGAATCCGAGCAAGAAGTACGATCCGGTTCAGATAACGTGCTCGCGTAGCCAAACGTGGCACTTTTACAGCCTTGTTAGAGCATAAAACAAGTAGCAGCACTGAGTTTCAGCTTGATAGCTCATTCAGGAACATCTGTGCCATTACTGCTAAGGTCGACCGAGTAGTGCCTGACATTAATGGCTCGTTTGAATGATTAATCTCTGTGATAAATTTTCTCGTAGTGACACCGCACTGCAATTCTGGAAATCCACTCTTGATTCTGAATTCTCATCCCGCAAGTGACAGCTCTGTACCTTCACGAGTCTTCCATAAGCTATAATACTTTTTGGATCGAAAAACTGAAAGCAGCCGGACATTCTCCCGTTCCGAGCAGTGCAAAATTAGCATTTTCCAGGCAACTAGCTTGATATCTTCTTCTATTCATTTTTAATGAAAATTACCTATCAAAGGCTTTGGGTATCTGTTGAATAAAAATCCACTTCAGGGTTTTCAAGTCAACACTGATACTTTCAGAACTAGAGCAGATATAAGATCGCAGTTTCATAACTGAAGCTTTAAACGCTTGTATCAGGAGTAGGAGTTCCTCTAAGGGAGGAGGTCGGTAAATATGAATTCCATTGTTTTTTGTTTTTTATTGTTCGCCAATGCAGAAATACAGCAAGAATACGTAGATGAATGTATATTTTATGATAAAATTACAAGTAATTGGGAACTTTGGAGGGATTTCTGCGGTGAAGTTCTAGTTGCTGGCTTTACAAATCGCTCTTTCAGAGTTCAGGTCACGATTCCCATAATTGCTCAAGGGCTATCTTTTGCAGTTTGCTGTGCTCTATCAAATGCTGCCTCACTTGCTATTTGTTCGGGTTCACAAAGTCGCTGTAGCCTAAGAAACAACAGTCTTCCGAGTCCTATTTGATACCCATACTCACAATGAGCCTTACGATTGTATAAATTATAGTGGCCTCTACTAATATCTTTTTCGCTTCTTCCATTTTCTCCTGAATCATTCTTATCAGCTTATTAGCTTAATTACACTGCGTTATCACCAACAAAGAAGGAGTTGCAGCATGTCCTAAGCGGTTCTTATCACACCTCATTGTTACAGTGTCTTGTCGCAGCTCCCGGCTTCATTGTTGGGTACAGTAACCAGTTGTTTTCAGATGCACTTGGGGGTATACCTGGCTCTGGTAGCCACCGCTTGCTACGCACTAGATCGCAATGTCGGCTACCTCATGTCCAGAGATCTCAATGCAGTAAGCGGATTTTTTTCATGTTGTTATGAGCTCTAAATACGTCTTGTAGGCTGCTAATGGACAGCTAAGGTGCTATGTAGGTATAGTCACTAACTATAACAACACCTCGATTGGAACGGAAGTAAGAGCCATTGGAAGGGATTGATTGAAAACTTCTAATTTTGTCTTGAAATTAGGTATTCTGCGATGGTTCCTGCGGATCTATATCAACGCAGGCTGGAGGATACAATTTCACTACGTACAACTGCTTCCCGACAAGCTTCTGCGAGTGAGAACCAATTGTCACATAACAATCCTCAAGCAAAAAATTGTATTTTTAGCATGGCAAATTTGACAAACACTTGTGCCACGATTTACGTGGATCGAGATTTGTCAGGCTGTTGCTGTAACACGGATAACTGCAATGTACAAGGTACCAACATTAACACCACCATTCCGGTGGCACCACCTGAGGAGCCGATTGCCTGCTATTCGGGAATCTCCATCAACAACGTTACCACAGCTGGTTCTGGGTAAGTTTTGTGCGTGAAAAACAGTTTGTGCTCACTGAATCGTGTGATTCCGAAAAAGGATGAAACTGAAGACTTCGAAAAGTTTCCATTCATGACACTTTATTAGGTTATGGTTCTCAACAATCTGAAAAATGCAGATGATCTTTTCAGCAATTATTATTCAAAAGTATCTCAAGGATGTGCTCGCATGAATCAACGCAGCAAGCATAACCTGAAGTTCTCTTTTTATATATTCTAACCAATCTTATAGAGTTTGCTGCAAGCTAAACAGTAAAGTTGGGATTGTTGGTTTTGGAATGGGTTAACGTATTCTCAAACTTCAGATTATCTTCTGAGTCAGTTACGTCATGCTACCTCGAATAGAGTACTATCGTTCCAAGAGTATATGCTCAAGAACACTTAATAAGTCCGAAATCTTACTTAATCTGAGATTCACCGCAAACACCAAAAAATCTGCTTGTACATTTTGGAAACACATACAGCCACCCAACTGCTGGGGCAACTTTTGATACCCTTTAGGCTGAAATCTTCGAACACGTTTTGCTTTGAAAACAAGCACGCTGGTAGCGCGGAAATTAGTGTGAATCTCTCTCGATCAGCAAAGTTCTTCTTTGAATTACATTACTAAGGGACATACAGCTCTGGAATTGAATGAGCTACTTCGTTTCAGTTGGATCGCATGCCAAGGTAACTGCATTTCGATCTCCGTTTTTACTCGAATGAATGGAAATCCTTTGGTTGGTACGATTTACTCCTGTGATCCGACATCCGTCTGCACTGCTTTGGGTGAGTAGCAGAAACCTTCATGGATTTTACTAGAGCCGCTAAACGTTGTTATCAATTCAGGTATCGAGAATCGTTGTCATCCGATTGAGCCAGGAGTCGTGGGTGCTTGTTGTTGTACCACAGACGCCTGTATCAATCCTACTGTTAATCCACCTAAGGTAAAGGCATTCCCCAGGGTTTATGTGTTTACAAAAGTTATTGTACAGGAACCTTTTGGACCATTGGGTTGCTATGTCGGTCTCTACTCTAAGAAACAGAATATCTCCGCTGGAATGGAGGTAGGTGACAATTCAATAATGTGATACCAACAGTTCAGTGAAAAAATTTGGCTAGACATCAGTGAAAGCAAGGTTAAAAGGGCTAAACCACTTTGTCGGATGTAAGGTGTGCACGGGTGTGCACATCCGCACCACCGTGCTACTGCTGTTTCCACACAGGACCGCCGTCGCGTGTGAAAATTTGCCGCATGCGCACGCTTTCGAATGAGTCCTGCAGTGCATCCAGTGGCTACTGGATACTGTAGTGCAAAAACGGCCGTCTCCACATTGCACATTGTGTTGCCAATTACCGCAATGTTCAGGTTTTCTGCGACGGACAATGCGCTACTCTCTCTTCCACCGTTGCCGGATCCGACATAGCTGTGTTTGCCTGTGTACCAAAGGCGACTTGCCAGTGAGTAAATTTTTTTGTCCAGAAAATTATGAACTAAGAAAAAAGTCATTTGCAGGGCTCTACAGCTGTACAACGACTGTCAAACAATCACTGCCGATCGCAGTATCACAGGTTGTTGCTGTGATAACATCAACAACTGCAATGCAGCCAATTACTCTCTGGGAACACCCCGACCACGTTGGGAGGGAGACTTCCCAATTGCGTGTTGGTCCGGGATTCGTGTGAATCAAAATTGGATCACGCCAGGAGGGTAAGGCATTGCTGTTGGATTCCTACTACTATGACAGAATTGCAAAAATTTTTGAATTTTTCAAGATGGACAGCATGCTCGGGAGATTGTGCTTCGGTCAGGATTGACACAATGATTTTAAATGCATCCTACAGCGCTGAAATTTTCACTTGTGACCCTGCTTCAGTCTGCAACCAGCTCGGTATATCCTAGGCTCACTCCAGTTTTAAGGATTGTTGAAATTAACCCCTTAGGTATGGTAAACAACTGCACTTCCGTGGAGCCAGGAGTTAGCGGGTGCTGCTGCTCCTACGATGCCTGCCTTGACCCTACCAGACACCCAAACAAGGTCCATTTCAGGTTGCCTTCCTAGAAAAAACCAGAAAATGACCTCCTACCTATTACAGTACCCTGGCAACCCTCTCAAGTGCTATGCTGGATTCCAAACGACATACAACGGAGGCATGAATGTCGGGTCAGAGGTAATGACATGAAATAACGCCTCGTTGCTACAGGACCTCCTTCAAATTAACTTCCAGGTTTACTGCAATGGAATGTGCGGAGCTCTCAATACTTTCGTCAACGGAGAAAATGTCACCACCTATATGTGCACGCCCAGAGCTGTTTGCAGGTAAGAGAAGTGCTCGATGGGACCACCGGGCACATTCTGAGGAATCATTCTTTACAGGCAACTGGAGTTGTACGACGAATGGAAGCGATTACCGATAGATCGTGAAGTTAAGGCTCTGTGCTGTGACAATTTCAACTACTGTAATGTTCGTGACCCATCGATCAACGTCTCCACACCTGTACGAGGCCGACCTGAGTTCCCAATCACTTGCTACAATGGTATCCAAGTCAACGGCGTCTGGATCACTAATGCTGGGTATAGGCAGAGTATTTAGTAGGCAGAGATACTGTAGAAATCAGAATTTTGTAGATGGCAATCCTGTAATGGAGATTGTGCTTCGGTTAACATCAACACCACCGCAAATGGTATGCGACACAGCCTTAGCCTATACACCTGTGATCCCACAGCTGTCTGCCGAGGATTGAGTAAGTTTTAGAGTATCTCTGAAAATTTTTCCTACGTGAGATAGTGTATAGAGTACTGACAATAGTTAAAAAAAAGCAAAAAGAAGAGTAGTAAGGTAAGAACAAAACTCAAGTGTAAACTTTCAAAATTAAGATTACTTGAAACATTTTTTTTTCAATTTTCTAATCAATTTTCTTGAACATAAAGCCCAAATTCTAGAATCTTTGTTGCGTAGAAATTTTGTATACACTTATCAAAAGCATTGTTGCATGTCCATCGAAGCAATGAATTATCGTATTTCCGACGACGAGCCTATTCCATGGTAAAATCCCGCCCTTCTCTTTATTAGTTTTTCGGCAAATATTGAAAAATTCACAGCTATAGTTACTGCGAAATCAGACTAATGAATGGCTTATATAGAGATTTTTGGCCTGATAGAAAATGCGAACCTTTTGGATTAACTTTTTGTTTGAAGTAAAAAGATGCCTAATGTCAGTGGCGGTCAGAGAAGAGCTTTTGTGGGAAGGAGTGGGGGCGACAAAATTTCAATATAAGGGGCGTTTTGCATTCCGAAATTTCTTCAGACGCTTCAGAATGCGGCCATCCACGAAATTTATAAAAAAGAGGTAAGGCTACATCAAATAAATTTGTTTTACTCTTTTAGCTCATAATGAGTGCTTTTTGGTCAACGTGTCACAATGATAGAGCCATCTTTTGCTCTATGTCACCAAAATTTGAGTGGGAAAATGTTGTTATACAATAGAGCAACCACTAACTTTATTTGATGGCCCTACGATTAACAAAGCAAACAATGGGTTTACTGGGTTCCATAGATGAACCAAGCGTTTTATTCTGCGGTAGTCAGTCTCAAAAGTCTGTGCAAAAGCTAGCTGATTTTTGACTCTGTATATTCAACGAGATTTGCTCAGACATGACCAATGCTTGCGGAAAACTCGAACCTGGAGTAGATGGATGCTGTTGTAACACGAACGGATGCATCGACCCCTCAAAGTCCCCAGCAAAGGTGATATACCTCTTTTTTTCACATACACCTCGTATAAAAGAATTCGTTGCAGACGCCAGCCAATAAGCTTCAATGTTACGTCGGACTGTATGCCGTCAAGGCGAATATCAACGTTGGAGCTGAGGTAACGGCATCATTTCACCTTCTTTTGCAAGCTACAGCAGTCGCATGATAGTGTAGGTGTACTGTAATGGAAAATGCGCATCAATGAGAGCAACGGTGAACGGAGACGATGTGACATCGTTCCACTGTGTGCCGAGCAGTGTCTGCAGATCTATGGAGCTTGACGACGACTGTACGCGACTTCCGGGCGATCGTGAAGTCAAAGCGTGCTGCTGTGATAATGCAAACAGTTGTAATGTGGGCTTGATTAACAGAACTGATGTGGGTCTTTTTCTCAGCCAAGGAGAGAAAGGTGACCCAGGTATTTGTAAAAGGTAGATTTTCTAGGTTGTGAACCCTACCGCTGTTCCAAGCCCGAATGTCGAGTACCCTATCTCATGCTGGAATGGAGTCTACGTCAACGGCACACCATTCTCGCAAGTTGGGTAAGTGAACACGTACACTGGAGTCGTCGCACGCAGACACTAGACACCGCGTCTGACTGCGATAGCTCGTGATTAGAAGAGGCGCAGACGGTAGGGGCGATGAGAGAGCGTTGAATCATGCAGACGCCGACAAATGCAGTGGCGGGCTGTCTCTGCGTGCGATGAATCGACTATACTTCTTTGCAACTGCTTTCTAACCATTATTGTTCTACAGATTCCAAAATTGCAATGGTCAGTGCGCTTCCTTGACTCTGAACACCACTTTGAACGGAAATTCGCACACAGCTTCGATCTACGGTTGTGATCCAACATCCGTATGCAGAGCACTCAGTGAGCTTTGGTTTAATCAAATACTCTGACCATGTAAGGTCAAAACAACATCGATTTTTCCCAGACATGACCAACAAATGCTCCGTATTTGAACCTGGACTCGGTGGATGCTGCTGTGACAGCGATGCCTGCATCTATCCTCCCAGGAACAGAGTAAGACTTGGTTTTTTAAAGCTGTTTCCTATTTGATAATTGTGAATTTAAGGACCCTGGAAACCCACTTCTCTGCTTTGTCGGTCTTTATGCGCCAAATGCTGGTATTAAAGTAGGAGCAGAGGTAAAAAATCACCAATTTGTTGGCAATTTTCCAGCATTGAGGAAAAAGTTCAGGTTTACTGCCCTGGTCAATGCTCAACCTTTAGTGGCAGACTGATCAATGGAGACCACGTGACGACATTCCAATGCGCACCTTTGGGCGTGTGCAAGTGCGTACATTATCGATGGGAGAAATTGCTCAGTCTCGAAAATTACCAAATTTCAGGAGTTTGGAGCTCGACAATACCTGCAGTGCTTTGCCAGGAGATCGCGACATCAAAGCATGTTGTTGCGATAGTAGCAACAGTTGTAATGCAGCAAATTATACCAACGTAAGGGTAGCAATCGCTCTAAAAAATTTCTTTGGGGGGGGGGGGGAAGAAAATTCAAATTCAGTGGTTGAAGCATTGACAAGTTTTTTTCCGAAATCTTTTGGTGCTTGTCACATCTCTTACAAGGTTGTACTGCCAAAGTTTCAAGAAAAAATACTCTAATACCCAGATACTCTTTCACAGAAAGATTCTGATTCATATATGGCTATAAATTACTCTAGCAGACCTAAGTTGAAGAGTAGTTGTTATATGATTTTTCTCATATTTATATGATTTTTCTCATATATGTATAAGCGCGTAAATAACGCCGCCGTACGAAAAAGTCTTGATTTTTGAAACAAGCAGACCATTCAAACAACAAAGAGCTCTTTTTTTTCAGATCCAAGTTCCTACACCTGCTCCAGTGCCAGAATACCCGATATCTTGCTGGACTGGAATCTATGTAAATGGTAATCCCGTTACCAGCGCTGGGTAAGTTTGGACATTATTTGATAAAATCCAGCTCACAGTTCGCATTGGGGAAGAGGCCTATTTCCAGATTCCGAACCTGCTTCGGTGAATGCGCTTCGCTCACACTCCAGACCGCTATGGGTAATGCGACCATGTACATGTGTGATCCTACAGCGATGTGCCAGTCTTTGGGTAATGAACGTCATAATTTTACTACATTATTCTCAATATTTATTTGAAGGCATGTCCAATCAATGCGCAACCGTCGAGTCAGGATTAAGCGGCTGTTGCTGTAATACCGATGCTTGCCTTACTCCAAGAAGGGTTAATTTTTTTTGTTGAAAACAGCGACCTGAAGAATCTGGGTATCTGGATTTCTTATGTAAAAAATTGCTCGAAGATTCTAAGTAAGTTGCCTAAGCGGCGGCTCTTATGATTTGTTCGTGGTCGAGGTATTCTCTAGGCTTCAGCCCATGCCGTAGCTTTAGCCCATACCGTACTTGTCACCGTTCTCGACAGCGAGATTGGTCCACTCGAAAAGAACGGTCTGGGCGTCCAGCGTTAATCTTTCGGCCTTGACTGATTCATATGAGCTACTGCAAGAACAATGACTTAGCTAAAAACTTCCGAGCAAGATTCCATTCTACAAGACATGTACCCAGATTTGCCTGCACATCATTTTCAGAGTTCAGAGCAAAAAGAATTAGTTATTGTTTAGACTCCCGGAAATCAGCTGACCTGTTATGTTGGTATGTACGCCAAGAAAGCCAACATCAACACTGGAGCTGAGGTATGATTAACAGAACTGCATTTGCAAATACTTTTGAAAATTCCACATTTCTCATAGGTTCCTTGTAATGGCAAGTGCTCATCGCTGCGCACTACCGTGAACGGTGACGATGTCACCACCTTCCAGTGCCTCCCAACTAGTGCATGCAAGTGAGTGCGAATTCCCTATCTACTGCTTTCTCAAATCATCGTTGATTTTCCAGGTACTTGGCCCTGAACAATGGCTGCGGTACCCTCACCGGAGATCGCGACGTCACCGCTTGCTGCTGTGACTGGGAGAACGCCTGCAATCTCAAAATCAACAACAGAACCGATGTAAGTCTGGGTATACTAATTAGAAATTGGATAGACTGGTGCTAGGCCTCCCCACTAAGGTAGCCACTACGACCATCTCGAAATGCTGATTTGAAGATAATTTTATAGAAAGATTTGTTTGCGTTGATCTGCACAGATGCACGTCGAAATTCTCGTATATCTTTACAGTCTACTTTAATGCGGAAGTGGTTTAAACTAGCCTCTCCATATAGCCAAAATCTTCTTCCTAATCTGAAAAAAAACAGCTTGAAATGCTTCAGCAACAAGGTCTGGTCCACTGTAACTTGTGTAGCTAAGTATACCTGAGTTGTGGCAGGTGTATCCATACACCTGCCACAACTCAGGTATACTACCTGACACTAACCTGAAAAGATGCCCGTAGCCGGCTCTGTTCTACCATCATAATTCACGCCCGAGCGGGCGATTCGGCCGTTGTAGGATAAAACAGCGCCCGCTCAGAAATTGGGAGCTTGATAAATTTACTCGAATTTGCCATAAGCGTCTTGGGATGGTTACGACTTCTTGGAAAGACCTCTGCGATATGTGTCCTCATGATAACAGCCATGCCACCATTGACCCCTTTGATTTAGATCCCTGTTCCGACTGTTTCACCTGTGCCAGAATTCCCGATCTCATGCTGGTCCGGTGTTTATGTGAATGGAAATGCTATCAGCAATGCCGGGTAGGTTTACCATCAAATGATAATGAATTCTAAGAGATAAAAATTCATTAGAATTAAGAGAGAGTTTTTGCAAAAATTTTAAGCTGTCCGCTAGATTAACTCTTCGTCTGGCTCACATAAATACAAAGAAGACCGTTCACACTTTTTCCTGTAAAAAGATGATTGATAGTGATCAGACAGCTTCAAGCTAGATATGACGAAGTTTCGCGCAGATTCATACTTTTTTACATTAGAGGCATAAGGTAAAAAGACATGAGAAGTAAATTTTTCAGGTATCAATCGTGCAATGGAGAATGCGCTTATATCTCGCTGACCACAAACATGACAGGTGTTACTTACAATGCCGAAATATACACCTGTGATCCCACTTCCGTGTGCGGTTCAATGGGTAAGTCACGGTAATTCTGGGAAGATTTGTTGCTAAGATTTTGGCTACAGGAATGATAAACAACTGCTTGACCCTGGAACCCGGAGTACAGGGCTGCTGCTGTAACTCGGACGCATGCCTTACCCCTAAAAGGGTTAGTCAATTCAGGAAAAGCCGGTTGCGACGGCAAAGTAAAATGCTTTTTAGAAACCAGGACATCCTCTCACTTGCTATGTTGGTATGTATGCAAAGAAAGCCGGTATTAATACTGGAGGAGAGGTAACGAATGATTCTTGCTTCTTCCCCCCCCCCCTCCCTATTAATGATGTATAGGTGTGGTGCAATGGTCAATGCTCATCCTTGCGTACGACCGTGAATAGTGATGACGTCACCACCTTCCAATGTATCCCAACCACTGCATGCAAGTACGCGCTATAATCTCACAAGAACTCCCCGCTTCTCAAACCCTGATTCAGGTATTTGGGTCTCAATAACAACTGCGGTACTCTCACTGGAGATCGCGACGTTACCGCTTGCTGCTGCGACTTTGCAAACGGTTGTAACCTTGCCATAAACAATAGAACGGATGTGAGTTTGGGTAGATTAGAGCCGGGCCTCATACCACATAAATATAGTGAATTACCATCGGTAATTACCGCCATTTAGATTCCTGTTCCAACTCCTTCACCACTTCCTGAATTCCCAATCTCTTGCTGGTCAGGAGTGTATGTGAATGGCAATCCAATCACCAATATAGGGTAAGAAGCTATAAAAAGCGTTAATGAATGTTTGTGCTTGCCTGGTGAAAGATCATTTAATCTGATGGTCGAAAAGAAAAAAAAGACAAGCCATAAATTTTGCAGTAGCTCAAAAAATCATTTTTTATCGCCCATGTAAGCCGCATTGAACATGTCGTTCAACATGACCTTTCCACCATATTTACTAAAAGATTGTTCATCCAATTTCCACTTCAGACTCATACTTTTGAATCTATGAAATGCTGGGAGTTAAAAGTAAGCTTTGCAATTGAGAGTACCGTAAACAACAGAAATAACGAGTTGCTTGTGGAGCCTTTATCCTCTGTGATGAGCGGGACAGACAAGTGCAAGGGGGTGGAGTAATCGGTACCACATCGATATTTTTGAGCCATTTTCTTGCTTCTACTAGAGCGGTTACTTAGTCAGAGACACTTTACTATTGCATCGCATCAACTCTACCACTCCAGGTTCACCTGGAGGATCCCTATAGTCCCAACATCATATCACAGATTGGCTGCAAAAAACTTGTATTTGCATAAAATTAGATCTTGCAGATTCCAAACTTGCTACGGAGAATGCGCATCTATTGCACTAACCACCGGTTACGGTAATGCTACCTACAAAGCCGAGATCTACACTTGTGACCCAACCTCTGTTTGCAGCTCAATGGGTGGGTTGCTACTCTTCATTTTCCCTGATTTGTTCAAAATTTTGTATGCAGGAATGAGCAACAACTGTTTGACGATTGAGCCAGGAGTGCAAGGCTGCTGTTGTAATACCGATGCATGCCTTACCCCAAGAAGGGTAAGTACGCGATTCTATTTGAAGGTAAATTAAAATTGAATGTGATTTTAGAAACCCGGAAATGTGCTCTGGTGTTACGTTGGTCTCTACGCAAAGAAGGCAAATGTCAATGTTGGAGGAGAGGTAATTTAAAACTTTTAATCCATTTAGTAAGGCTGCAATCGCCTTTTAGGTTGCCTGCGATGGACAATGCTCTTCACTGAGTGGAATTGTTAACGGTGACATGGTAACCACATTCCAATGCGTACCCAAATCAATTTGCAAGTGAGCCGCTCAACAAGAATGATACAGTCGCTCAGAAAGAGATGTAATTTTGCTTATCTAAGGTCTTTGGCTCTGGATAACCACTGCGCTTCACTTCCCGGAGATCGTGCAGTGAAAGGATGTTGCTGCGATTTTGGAAACAGCTGTAACGTTAACCAAACTGGCATTCCCGATGTTGGTAGAGCCAAGTCTGGCAGTTCCCAGGCAATCCCGAAAGTAATCATCCCATTTTTAGATCAGCATTCCAATGCCAGCACCCAGCAGTGAGTTCCCAATTTCTTGCTGGAGTGGAATCTACGTCAATGGAAATGCCATCACCAATGCTGGGTAAGTTGAGCTACAGTCCGCGCGAGATAAATCTAAAAAGAAATTTTTGCAGATTCCAATCTTGCTACGGTGAATGTGCTAGTGTCACACTCCAAACATGGGTAAACGGTACACAGACCAATGCAACTATCTACACATGCGATCCTACCTCTGTCTGCAAGAGCCTCAGTACGTATTCACCGAAAAAGCACTCAACGTTTTGTTCATTTCAAAAGATCTATTTCAGACATGAGTAACAATTGCGCCACTGTAGAAACGGGATTGTCCGGATGCTGCTGTAACGATGATGCCTGTCTCACTCCTACCAGAGTTCGTAAGAGTCCCTTAGTCGTTTTTTTAAATCATTTTTGAGATGGGGGCCAGTTATATCAAATACAAGCATAATTGCATCTGCAGCGCAATATCTGCCTCTCAAATAACGCCGAGAGAAAGCCAAAAGCCTATAACAAAAACTATTTTATCATCGGTAACCGTACTTATTAACTTCGCTAAAATTGGAGTCAAAAATTCTCGTCCTACAAAATCTTTCAAAAAGCCTAACTAGAAAAATTGACATCCACACCCCTTTCCTCCGCTTAGGTCGCAAAAATTGAGAGTTACTTAGTCATAATATTGCCAAATAGCTTTATTTCTTTGCAAATGATAGAATAAATCTGTAATAATCTCACAATTTTTGGTTAATTTCGCCATTAAGTACCTCTTAAACTTCTCAAATGATTTTCGCTCTTGGTTGCCTTTCTCCCACTTCTTATTAGAAAAACCGGGACTGCCATTGATTATCAGGTTAAATATGCCTTGCATCAGAAACAAACATTGGTTTTTTTCAACTTCATTTGATATTCACGAGATAGGGGAAATCTTAAACTTTTCACAAGGCCTAAAACAATTCTTCTTATTGCCATATTGAAACGGTACAAGGTAATTAAGAGGAACGCTCAATGAGTAATCTTTTGAATTCCGATTGTTAAAATTGCTAAAATTCTACTAAAATTCAATACTGATTTTGCCTTTGATCTTATAACCTACTTTTTCTTTTTCTTTTTCTAAAGTCATAATGCTCGGGCGCTTCTACAAAATAAGGATATTATCAGAAAGCGAAACATTTATTATGGCCGGTGTCAATGAAGTTTTGTATTATTTCGAAATATTTAAATATTTTTCGAAAGAATTTTTCACATTTTTCGATGCAAAATCCATGCGTCAACCCAATAGTTCATTTCTATTTTGTTTGAGTATATGTGTTCATTTTTCATGATATTCGCAAAGCGAAAGTCATTTTCAGTCACCAGCCAACAATCCTCTTATGTGCTATGTTGGAGTATACGCTAAAAAGGCTGGTGTCAATGTTGGAGCTCAGGTAAGTGCAACTACCAGGGTTGAATACTCGATTTTTTGTAAAATGTCTCTTTCAGGTGCCTTGCGTGGGAATGTGCTCTACTCTCAATGGTATCGTCAATGGTGACAATGTTACCACCTTCCAATGTGTGCCAACCAGCGTGTGCAAGTGAGTAACATACTTACCCGGATACTGTAGCTAAGTGCTAATTGTATTATATTCTAGAACACTTTCCGCCTACAATGGTTGCAATTCACTGCCAGGAGATCGTGGAGTTAACGGATGCTGTTGCGATACTCCAAACTGTAACTTGGCTAGCCGACCAGACGTGAGCTGACCATAGGGATCTCATTACTCCCCTTAACCAAACCAATTTTGCAGATCATCGAACCACCACCAGCGCCAGTGTCAGAGTATCCAATTTCCTGCTGGAGCGGTATGTACGTCGACGGCACCGCCATCAGCAACGCAGGGTAAGTACAATATCTCAAAATTAGCTCTGTGAAAATATTTGGCTTTATACCCATTTCAGGTACACAACTTGCTTCGGTGACTGCGCTTCAGTGACTCTGAACACCACATTCAACAACGAAACACATTCTGCCTCTCTGTACATGTGCGATCCTACCTCAGTCTGTAGATCTCTAAGTGAGTATATTAGGCGTTAAATGGAGCTGACTCCAACCATAATGGGCTTTTACAGATATGACAAACCAATGCGCTACTGTTGAGCCAGGCCTTGGTGGATGCTGCTGTAACACAGATGCGTGCCTTAACCCACTTACCAACACTGTAAGTTCACAGTTCTATATAAACGAAACTTCAAGTGAAAATAAGCGCTCTATGCTCTTATTACCCATGCTATCGAATGCTGATACAAGCATAAATTTGTTACTATGACCAGTGGTATGGCCTAGTAGGCTTGGCCTTCGATGTAGTGTCTTGCGGTACCGACAACACTTGCGCGGGAAAAATTGCTGTAGACGCAAACAACATTTGCGCGTGGAAAATCTTAACGCTACAAAGAGAGCACATCTATTTTATTATTTGTTTATTTAGCATTTATTCAGCACATTTTTTAATAGCAAATGTTGTCTTCAGCGTAAAGACACCTCAAATTATATATGAATGTAAGGAAGTGGTTGCAAAGCGTCGAGAGCTATTATCCAGTTATCAACAGAACAATATATAAAAACCCTCCAGAATGTGATAATCACAACTCTTTACAGTACCCAGGAAATGATCTCATTTGCTACGTTGGAATCTACCATGCACCCTCGTACTATGTGGGATCAGAGGTAGGTCTGAACGTCTACAGTACTGAAAATCCAATGCTGGCATTTTCAGATGGTCTGCAATGGCAAATGTGCTTCTCTTCAAACCTCTTTCGGTGGTCAGTTACTGAAATCCTACCACTGTGCACCTACCCCAGTCTGCAAGTAAGCAAATCCATACTATACATTGCTTTTTAAACGGAATATAAACCTTTCAGGGCCTTGGCCGTTGATAACAGCTGCGGCCCCGTGTACAAGGATTCTGATGTAACTGCTTGTTGCTGTGACAGCAACAACTGCAACATAAAGGGTGATCCCATCAAAACGAACACCACGGCACCAGCGGTAGGCTATCCAAAATAGCATTAGCCTCACTAAAAATACTCATTCAGTTCTCGGGCACACCCATTGCCTGCCAGTCCGGAATTTACGTTGACGGAGTGGCCATCACTGCCGACAAGTGAGCTTTTCGAAACATTGAATTGCTGTCTGAAGTGAAAATTTTTTAGCACTTACATCGCTTGCAAGGGACAATGTGCTAAGCTTTCATACCCAACCAACGTCACTGGAGGATGCCCACATGTTCTTGATATTTACACTTGTGATCCCGTTAGTGTGTGCTCAGCACTAGGTAAGACAAAGAATCTTTAGCTCGAAAGCCCCAAAGGCAGATCTGTATCCCCGGATTTCATAGATGGACACTAATTGCGAGGTCGTAACTATGCTATTTCCCAGGCTGAAGCTCATAGGACTTAAGTGGCTGAAAAACAATTTTTAACCCCAGCTTAAACCACACTTTCCATCGTACCAGAAGACGCTGTGGACCGCTTGCGAAAGTTACGGCCTGGGCTGAAGTTTAGAGCCTTATTTCTAACCAAAAACTGATAATTTGAGCTGCAGCTTGGGCAAAGGCTTACTTAGGACCTCCCAATCACATAAGAAACCCAAATCTTAATCTCCTTTTAGGAATGGATGGTAGCTGCGTCTCCTCGATCAACGGTACGGCTGTATCGGGATGCTGCTGTGGTTACGACGGATGCGTCACACCTTCCGCCACGCCCACACCGAAGCCAGGAGCATCAGCCTCGGTCTCCTCACTTGTCGCAATCATTGTAGCTGTATATATACTTTTGCGGCAATAGTTTTGTTAGGGTCAAGATATTATTATTCTATACATATTCTATTGATATTGTTGTTTTCCACAAATGTGATAAAATATCCAAAAATTAGGACTGAAGAGAACATTAGAGCACCCCTCTGTCCATGGATGTTGCAAGTAGATTTGTCGATGGTCTATCGCCCACACCTGGTAAACCTTGCTCGAAAGAGGTCGCACCATGAAAGAGAGCGCGTCTTCAGAAGAGACTTGCTGGTGCGTTTATGCTTGCACTATGCCATAAGGTTCTGAATTACTTAGACGACATCACCCACATCTTTCAAATTGTTTCATTGTTGAAAACTATCACCTGATGACAGAAAAGCTTTGGAGAAAAATGAAAACTGCATACAATAGCTGCGCCTAATACAAGTACCTTAAAATCCCGCCAATAAGTCCGGACTTATCTATTTTTTGACACAAAAAAAAATTGATAAAAAAATCGCCCTCTGCGCTGCCAGAAGTCTAGCAGATGAATCCTCCCATCAGACCGCAGCATATCTGCTAGACTTCTGGCAGCGCAGAGGGCGATTTTTTCAATCAATTTTTTGTGTCAAAAAATAGATAAGTCCGGACTTATTGGCGGGATTTTAGGGTACCACCATCTGGCAGACAATGTAAGAGCGACTGTGTCTTATCAGAAACACTCGCGACGCAGTGCTTCTCCCTCGCGGCGTGCTCTCTGGTCATTCTCTAGCCTTGATTAGACCCCGATGCCCCGCCTTCCAGCCACCAATCCCGCTGAATCAGAGGGTAAGCTATATTCGCAACCATATAGCAAGATAACCCAGTTATGACGTTTTCAAAACCCTCTTTTCTATCTGGAGTATGTACTTCCTGTATGAATACTTCAATGATACCTCAGTACAACGTTGGGTCAGTATAGGGACGACCACGCACAGTTTGGTACCCAGGGAGACTGTGGAAGACCTCAACAAGCAGTTGTCCAAAAGGCACCTCAAGTGGTTCATTCTTGGGAAGAAATTAATTCCAAACTTTCGCTACCGTAAAGGACGACCAACATCGATAGCAAAAAAACAGATCCACTCTTTTGCAACGTCTTTCACACGTTCTACTGAGTCATTTGTTCCTGCTACCGCTCCTCCCTGCAACAAGTCACCCTTCCAACCCCTCACTTCCTCCATTTCCTTCTAGGAGAAGTGCGCACGAAGTGCCACTGCATGACTTGTTCACTTAACTTCTCTCATTGGTCTGATAACGAGAGCGGAACAAAAGAAAGGTGTATCTGGTTGTAGTTAATAGCTAATTAAGTTTGAGAAATAATTAAGGAGCACACTCGCGAGGTAGATGAAGAGCCCAGAGTGCCATCCACCACTCAATGATATTTTCGAGTGGTGTCAGTCCAAGTCATTCAAATCCTGAATATGGATCATGCTTGTACCGCCTGATAAGCAGTCACGCTTGGCTCAAAGTAGTTGGAAGTCGCAGTCACACTTTTTGCCCACCGCTTTCGCTTGGCTACTCGCTCCCTCCATGCGAACTGTTGGGCTAAGAGCTACTGTTTCTATGGCTGCTTCATTAAGAATACATAGCTGAAGTCCCTCAACCGATTTTAGCATGAATACAGATTCATGGCATAAACAAACACAAGAATAAATCATATATTTGATAAAAAAATGTGATGACAACAACAAAAAATAACAACGTACAACAACTGCTAACAACAGGAATACAGCTCAATCACAGTAACACTCAAAATCAGTTTCTCCTAGATTTGAGCGCTTTTGATTTCTTCCACCTCCGTTTGCCTTTCTTATTTTTCTTCGAACTTTCTTCTTCTTCTTCAAAGTCCTCGAGCAGAGATGCAAACTAAAAAAAAAATGAGTTTACGAATTTGCCTAAAAAATGAACTGTTTGTATTTAGATTTCAAGAATGATTAGTAAGAATAATTCAGCCAGAAGCAATGAAGACCGTTTTCTTCTGAGCATCCCTTTTTCTACACGCATCAACTCTTGTAGTTCATTAATACTGTTCTCTACGTGCTAAAACGAGTATCCCAGAGAGGGAGCACACTTCGAGATTGAGTATAGGCTGCTGGGGCGCGAACGCGGCTTTATTAGCCGCAGAGCGCATGAAGCGCAAAATTTACTATGGTAAAGATACGCGCGCGTCGCGTTTGCGCCCGCTCAACTGGAACTGTTTCTGCGCCTTCGTCATGCAGGTAGCCTTTAGCTATAGAAATTTTTCCGCAAAATCGTCATGATATGTCAAAACTGCATAAGTGGAATGCCGGTGCGATATTTATTGACATTTATGATGTTATTTACTGTTGAATTCCCTCTCGCCATCGCGAGATTTTGCTGTTTGTACTTTTGTTACAGAAATCTCAGGCGCTGTAACCTCCTATTGGCGAATCACCATAAAACATTGCAGAGATAAGAATAAAAAAGAAGATCGCTTAAAATTAGTTTATTCGAGTCAGGTTGTCACTTCTTTGAAAGCTGCACAAGAATCCGAATCGCCCCCAAGAAAAGTTTGCTGAACGTCTTTACAAAAAGTTGTGTTTTCAAGTTTTGCAATAGAAAATGGCAAAATTAACAATTGTCATTTTCCATTGACAGGAGGTAACTACAAATTAACCAACGAAAATGACAAAATAATTAATTTTGCCATTTTTCTTGACTGATTTTCGATAGTTACCTCCGAAAACGTTTCATGGGAAAGAATGAGTCATAGAACTTCTGCCTTGAAGTTTCACTACTTTTCTGCAAGGTTTTATTTTTAGCGTGTCAAGGTGACTCAAAGTAATCGAAGTTGGAGCGATCATCTCATCCGTCACGATTGTGAGAAGTTAGAATTTTCAGAGATAAAACGATGGAAGTTTTGGGACAAAATGGGACGGCCTGAAACTCTTTTTTTTTTTAATTTTTTTGACCGACGTTATTTATCATGCAATAAGTTCTCATGACCTTGATTCCTGAGCATTCCGAGTGATCGATTTGATAATTTGAGAATAGCGTAACATTTAGAGAAGCGCTTTTCGTAATTCATTATCGAGATTGTCAGAAAAAGCAGCGCTTTGGAAGCTTGCGAGGAAAGTAGGTTGGCTTCTCTCAAAAAGTTGCAGCTGCAGAATCTTTATGAGAAAGAGGGAATGAGAGAGGAAGTGAAGAGAATAGAAGAGAAAAGAAAGAGAGAGAAGGAATCATACACCTCTGAGGGAAAAGCGGGTCAACTGTGTTCAAGGAACTAACCTTTTCGCCTGCCACATCTGCATCGTTCCCACCCATTTCATCATCACTCAAATCGCTCTCAACAAACTTGTCGCTAGCACGAGTCCTGTGCGCAGAAGCCTTTTCTTCCTCCGAATCAGACTCCATCTCGATATCGTCTTCATCTTCGCTGACCTCTTCCTCTTCTTCATCATCGACATCATCCTGAAATGAGTAGTTGAGTTCGCCCCGACTAATTAGAGGTAGTGTTTGACCGTTCAAAAAATAAAAACCCAAAGACGAATAACTTGTACTGTAGAATTTTCAACTAAGAGCTCAGAAATCAGAGAAGCAGTGCAACTAAATAGGCGAACAGGCAGCGGATCGAAACGGCAAAAAAAAAACCAGACCTAGAAGCAAATTCCACGACAAAACTCTTTTTTTTTGACTATTTTGCGTTTCTTCACAGACGAGATTGTGCCGAGGTAAAGATCGGAAGCCTGTGGAATAATAATTTTACCACCTCATCGAGGTCCTCCTCCTCTTCCTCCCGCGCATCCGCCAAGTCTAGTTCATCGTCCTCTCCTGTTTCTTCTTCTGCAGGACGCTTCAGCGCTTTTTTCTTTTTCTCAGCTGTGAATTCTTTGGAATAGTCAACATCAAATTCTTCATTTGCTTCCCCAGGCTCGAAACGATCTATACATATATTTTCGAATAGTTAGGCAGTGGCCTTTCCAGATCAACACCTACCTATTATCGCGTCAAATTCAGCAGAATCAACGCTTTCAATTTCCCAATCATCCTCAGTCTTCTTCTCATCAGCTTTCTGACTGAACTTGAGCGTTGCGAATCGATGGAGATAGTGCTCATCAGCTGGCAACTCGCTCACTTTTTTGGAGATATATTCCTAAAAATGCAGATAGATAGATAATGCTTTAACAACGACAACCGCACTATTCTATATAGAGCAACTGACTTTGGAGGACACAGAAAGTTTCTTCACACCCCATGGATCGAAGTGCTTCTTGCGTAGGACTCGATCAGTAGCAGTCTTGTTCTTGAAAGGCGTGATGAAAATTGAAAAACATTCAAGATCAACCGAATGGCGCTGCTAAAACCTACTGCTCGTCCTTCTTTTGGATTTTTGAAAGCGAATCTATCCAAAAACTTCAGAAGTGTGAAATCTTCTAGTGGATCTCCTTTGTAATTTATGCATCCATCCTAATAAGTAATCAGATGATAAGTTGGGTAACTGACCGTACGTACCTGCAGAAGGGCTTGTGCAAATATTGCCACGGATGGGTGGTAGTGTTTGGAAAGAAGCAACAACTCTGCGTCTACCAAGTTTCGACAATCCACGAAGAGAGGATTTCGTAAAGAGTGATTGTATGGAGACTTAGATGAATGCGATCCTTGATAGAAATTGTAGTATAATGTACTAGCTGGCTTACCCGGCTCCGCCGTATCCGGACCAAACTTGGCACACATACACTACGGGCCCCGGCGGGTGTCACAGTCCACTTTTCGTTATCGATCGGTGTCGATTTTACCGATTTTTATCGATTTTTTTTGCAGAGTTCACCTACAGGGCTAGGAGTTGGCACAGGGGGGGAAGTGAGCATGGGGATTCCGAATACAACATTAGTTTTCAGGATCGTCCATTACTTTTATCGATTTTATCGATTTTTTTGTAAAGTTTGACCTGCGGGGCTGGGAGTTTGCACAGGGGGGTAATCGAGCATGCTGATTACGAACACAATATTAGTTTTCAGGATCGTCCATTACTTTTATCGATTTTATCGATTTTTTTTGTAAAGTTTGACCTGCGGGGCTGGGAGTTTGCACAGGGGGGGTAATCGAGCATGCAGATTACGAACACAATATTAGTTTTCAGGATCGTCCATTACTTTTTCGATTTTATCGATTTTTTGAAAATTTGAGCTAGGGGGCTGGAATTTGGCACAGGAGTGTAATCGAGCATGCTGATCACCCCCCTTGGGGGTGATCAGCATGCTCGATTACCCCCCTGTGCCAACTCCCAGCCCCCTAGCTCAAACTTTGCAAAAAAATCGATAAAATCGATAATAGTAATCGATAATCCCGAAAACCAATATTGTATTCGGAATCCCCATGCTCGATTACCCCCCTGTGCGAACTCCCAGCCCCGTAGCTCAAACTTTGCAAAAAAATCGATAAAATCGATAAAAGTAATCGATAATCCTGAAAACCAATATTGTATTCGGAATCCCCATGCTCGATTACCCCCCTGTGCCAACTCCCAGCCCCGTAGCTCAAACTTTGCAAAAAATCGATAAAATCGATAAAAGTAATCGATAATCCTGAAAACCAATATTGTATTCGGAATCCCCAAGCTCGATTACCCCCCTGTGCCAACACCCAGCCCCGTAGGTGAACTCAGCAAAAAAATCGATAAAAATCGATAAAATCGATATCGATCAATGACGAAAAGTAGCCTATGACACCCGCCGGGGCCCGTAGTGTATGTGTGCCAAGTTTGGTCCGGATCGGTTCAGAAATGGAATTTTCTATTCGGAACATACGTACATACAGACAGACAGACATACAGACAGACAAACAGACATTCAGCTTTATATATAAGATTTCAAGCGCGGAAGATCATTCACCTGTATCCCGTCGGTGAACCCAGCCGCTCTTGGGAGCAAGACTTGTGCCATTCGTGTTCGAAAATTTTGTTTCATCTTGCGTATTAGATTGTTTAGCGGTTTCATCGATCTAAAATTCGCCATGTGAACAAACTTTGTGTGCTCACAGTGGCAGTCCAAGAAGTTTTTTTGGCGGGGCGGGAGGGGGCGGGGGGGAGGAGGAGGGGGGGGGGGGAAGGAGTGAGACTTTTTTGAATAAAGAGGGTGGCATTACCATACTCTTAGGGATCGTTCAGACCGCGGCGGTACGCGTTCAAACCCGCCCGAATACGTCCCGGTCCGCCCGAATACGTCCGAACCCGCCCGAATACGTCCGAACCCGCCCGAATACGTCCAAATCCGCCCAAACCCGCCTGTATTGCCAAAGCGCAGAAGACTGCGTGCAAGTTGGCATATTGAAGCACACGTGGGATTGATCCTTGTAATATCGGAGTAGTTGCAAAAGAAGATCGGCATGTAACGGAGTTACTTGTAAGTATCTATGTTATATGCACCATGCGCGCAGTATTCCACGCGTTCTCCAATGTGCCATGCCGCATATCCGCTGCGCTTTGGCAGTTCCGGCGTTCAGGCGGGTTCGGGCGGATTTGGGCGGATTCAGACGTAATCGAGCGGGTTTGGACGGGTACCGGCGCGGTCTGAACGATCCCTTACGAGGAACCTCGGGATCCTTCCAAGGTTCCAGCGGTCCCGGCAAGCCCCCAAAATTTTACTCGGTATGATCAAAAACAAGAACATATTTGTGCGGTTTTATAATTCACAAGTACTTTCAAGAATCTTCGCTCTGACTCATATCCAATTTTTCGAGGGCCTGCATGAAATAACAGACAAACGAAAAGGACTATCGAAGCACTGCTGATTTTGAGTATGTCGCTCATATCCACAATCTGTAGTGACTGTTTAAATACTTGCTAGGGTTATTCGCGCAATCGCTTAAGGGAATTATGGTGACAGTTTCGATTATGAGTTCAAATGACCACTTCAAGTTATGTTCTAACCAGGGAAGAATCCTTGGTCGAAGTGGTCATACGGGAAGTGATGCATATAGGCGAACTATAGCTCTTCGAACGCTGATTTCAAATATGTTTTCACTATCTGCGGAGCGTTTCTGTAAGAAGAGTCATGGGCCTTTGTTGTCCCAAAAAACAGGCTTTCCTCTATCAAGGCACAGAAAGGCATTTACGTAGTGGGGCGTGGTGTAGTAGTGAATGGCTGCGGTTTACAGGTGAGTGAACAAGGTCCGAGTCCTTTTATCGCCCAACAATTTTGCATTTTTCTAGAATAATTGCTTGCCTTTGGAAATGCCACATATGGGCAGTTTATCGTAATCTCGCCACAAGTGATCAGTTTTTGAATATGGCGAACTTTGAAACACTTCTTTAGCTATAGATAAGAAGCCGTCCTTAAAAGAGGCTTAAAATTTCAACAACCAATCTCTTGCCGATTTTATTGAGAATAAGCGCATTTTGGATTACCCGTGCACGTGAATTAAAAATACTATAAATAAAGCCGTCCATATGCGGCTTTTTCAAGAAGCAATGATTTAACTAGAATGCAAAATTGCTGGGCGACAACAGGACTCGCACCTTATTCCCTCACCTGTAAACCGCAGCCATTCACCTCTACACCTCGCCGCGGCAACATAAATGCGTTGCCGCGCCTTGATTGAGAGTCCGTTTTTGAGAAAACAAAGGCGCACAACTCTTTTTACAGAAACGCTTCGCAGATAATAAAAACATATTTGAGATTAGCGTTTGAAGAGCTATCTACCGATATGCATCGCTTCTCATATGGCCATTTCGACCAACAATCCTTCCTTGGTAAATGTTGATAAATTCTTAGTGAAACCAAAAAATGCATACTGGTAAAGTTGAAGAGTATGCAAGGTACGGATGGTATCATCAATAAAAACATAAGGATCTTGAACACACGAGCAATGGTAAAGTCAAGGAAATTCTTACCTCCTCTTTCTTGATCGGTTCTACGGGCTTACCATCCACACCGATGTCAACATAATGTTCCTCGTCATCATCATCGCCTAACTTAGCATTTTGAATTGCAATGCGCTAAATCAAAGTTTGAATAAGATACGAAAAGGAAGATCTTTGTAATCAAATTCTTCAAAGTATTGCGAAAACCAACATCGATTTGTTTTTCCACAACAATTAAGCCTTTTCTAGTTTCCAAAAGCCGTGAGACCAATATGAGTATACCAGCAGTCAACGCAGGTGCTGCACACGTTGCTGCCTAAACAAGTATTCATATGAGCAAGAAATAGAGTAAAAGTAAAAGAACCTGGAGCAATCGCTTCACAAACGAGCGAACACGATAATCAGATGGATCTGCTTTCAACACTTTGAAAAGTAGTAATAATAATTGATTGTAACTTGAGGGTGGCACATCTACGAGAAGTTTTCGATACAATGCTGTGTAGAATCGGTCCGAAAGCGAATCACTACAAACAAGTTAAAAAAATTTCAAAAGCAGAATTATAAAATTGTTGATATTCACGAGAAATTCTGTGTTAATCAAAGGTTAAGATCAAGACAAAGTTTTTCAAGGAAATGTTCTTGAACAAGCAGCGCATACAATGTCGCAAAACAGGTAAGCGAATATAGATGGAAATTCACCACTGGCTTCTCAGTAAAACTAAATAGAGTACTCAACAAGTAGAAAAAGAGGTCTAACCTGATTTGATGTACTTGAAATAGCAACTTCAGAGTCTGCAGGGACACAGAATATGAGCTTGTATGCACAACTTTATAAAGCGTGTTGACATCTTCGGATAACGCATCAGCTTTTTCTGAAATTCACAATGGCAATAAGAACTCATTCAACAAGTGATGATAAATAAATCATCTACAGCACCAACGTCACAGTACCAAAGTTAGCACATTTAAGAAAAACTTTGACTTTCGATGCATAACTAACCTCGAGCAAATGGAAGCGCTCGATTAGCCGCAGATAGAAGAATGCCAATCAAACGATTATCCGGTTCTTTTCTGCTGACTAGAGTCTTGAATAATCCAAAGTAGATTGATAATAACTGCACAGCCAACGCCGAATCTTCACTACGTAAAGTGATCTGGAATTTATCACAATAAACAAGTTGTTCAATTTAACATGCTTCGCCTTCCACCTCGGAGTGCGCACATTTGAAAACTATCGTGCCATTCAAAAATCATAGAAAAAATGCATATCGCTAGTGTCACAATTCCACATCTGATAATAATCTACACTGCCTGATTTTATAGATGAAGAATGGGAAGTGAAACCCTCACCCAAACAAAACATAAGCTCAAATGTTCTGTCATACGGATCAAACTTAGGCAAATGTGGTAAGAACACCAAAACATAATGACATAAGTGATATTACCTGTGAGAGAAAAGTTGATGCATAAAGGTGCGCTTTCGGGCTGACGTTAGTCCTGAAAAACTACGAATGAACTGTCAGTTACAAGAACATCAGTTGACATGAACGCACCTATAAATCAACCTCTCAACTTCAACGACAATTACCGGCTTCATGTTTGGTTGCCGCTTGGTAAGATCTTCGAGTAGTGTTGCTACAAATGATCCTATTTGAGGCTTCGGATGTCCCATTTTATTAACCAGCATGCTTAGAAGGAACTGGAAAAGTTGAGTAAGGAAACTCAGATTACCGAAACAAACAAACCCTTTCTCCCTCTGGACGTTCTGCTAGAAGGTTGAGCGCACATCGAAGAGCACGCTTGCTGAGATCTTCAACGACTAATGAAGCCAGACTCTGCGAAGGAAGGTGTATCATGTGGAAGCCTTCTCACTTAAGCGACATACCTCCAAAGCTCTCAAGAATCGCTCGTACATAATTTTGAGTTTATGCTCGAACCTCCACAAAACTAATAAACGTTTTCTACCATGCTCGCTATTTGAACAAAACTCGCCGATCCTTTTCAAGGGCCTCTGAAATGAGGTATTCAACATTTAGTACTCTTTGGAATGGTTCCGCATTGCCTTACCCCGCTGAAGGGCACAAGTTTGCGATTCGGTGGAAGAAAGTGATTCAGGAAGATTTCCTCCAGGATTGCTGAATAATCACACATTTGAAATGCACATTATGTAGCAAAACTCACGCAGCATTTCCAAAGCTTCGCGAGTGTTCTTTCGCTCGAGTGAGCCAATCATCACTTCGCAGTATGATAGAGAGTGAACAGGTGAACTGTGCATCTGAATTGTTGCTCTTTACAAAAAAAACTAGCACTCATGATAGAGAACGACCCATCTTTTCGCCTTGCAATAAAACTTAGTACATGATGAAACAACATTGGACCCCTCTAACCCACAGAAAATCTTACTAAAACCCTGTAATTAGCGGAATACCTGGAGCTGCATGGCCGTCATTCGGTCGCTCGCTGTACCACTTTTTATGACCGTCTGAAGCCAAGATGCTTCCGATCCTCCTTGAGTGCGAACATCTTAAGACAGATGTTAAATCGCATAAAACATCACCGATCTATTAATTACAGCGGTTATATAGGTCAACATCAACATTCAGAAGGTGCTCCGCTTCTTCTTCTATACTGAGCATTGCAGCTGTTCCCAGTGTATCTTTGCTCGCATTCGTAACCAACTCATTGACCTAAAGGCACAACCTCCACGATATATCAAAGACAGCTTTGAAAGAGCACCTGCCTGATAATCAAACCACTTCTGGCCTTCACGATGTGTCACAAGCGGTTTGCTCATAGACTTAGATTTTTTGGCATTGGAACTGTTCCCAGTATCCGCTGAAGTGCTGGCAGACAACTCCTTCTTCTGTTGTGAACTCATACCCTGAAGTTCAAAGCACTAACAAGAATTATAATCAAATTTGCTAACAGTTTAGTCAACAGCATCGCCAAGGAGCACGTAACAAAAAGGTTGCACGAATGTAGGACTAACGGCGCTATTCCAGCATCCGGGCCCTAAAAATTTTTTGCATGGATTTTGCTGAAACTTGGCCCAAGGAGATTATTCGGTCCGCTGATACTGAATGTCACATTGTTTTTGTACTGTAGCGTCATTTTCTCGGGTTACGGTAAATATACGGTAGGGGGTCAAAATCTTGAAATTCGCTGTAAGTTCGCACACAGGGGTAATTCTACATGCTGATTAGAAATGTCACACTTTCTCGCCCGAAAACGTCTCCCTGCATGGTTACGGTAGGTTTACGGTAGGGCTCAACATCAACCCCAAATATATCCTTCCCCTGTGCTTTGCTTAGGCGAAAGCCGCAGCAGGGTGTCTAGCGCACGGCGATGGTCGTATGTGCAAGGCTTCACAATCGCCCGAATCGCCGTACTCCCGTTTCAGGCAGAACTATGTTTTTCACTCGTTACCGTGTACCTACCGTAATCAAAGAAAATGACGCTACGGTTCAAAACCAATGTGATATTTGGCATCAGCGGGCCGAATAATCCCGCTAGGTCAAGTTTCAGGGAAATCCGTGATTTTGACCCCCTATCGTACACCCACCGTAGCCTCAGAAAATGATCGTACAAAACCAATGTGATATTCGGCATCAGCGGGCCGAATAACCCCGCTAGGTCAAGTTTCAGGGAAATCCGTGATTTTGACCCCCTATCGTACACCCACCGTAGCCTCAGAAAATGACGATATCGTACAAAACCAATGTGATATTCGGCATCAGCGGGCCGAATAACCCCCCTGGGCCAAGTTTTAACTGAATCCACGACAAAGAAATTTTGGGGCCCGGATACGGAATAGCGCCGGACAACTATATATGCATTTTCATTTATGGAATTAGCCAATCAACTTTATTCACTGGAGATTAAACTAGCTTGACAGATCTCGAAACCAAGAGATAAGGAAAGTGAAAAGTCAATCCCTTTCACAAATCAGCGGTAAGCTATGAAAAATTGAGTTCGAAAAAAATGTTTCAATTATGGAAAAAGCGCTCCCATTCTGCCCTGACCGCCCCTCCACCTCCTCCCTTCCCAAAAAAAAAAAGAGATTAGCAACACTACTAATAGTTCGGCAATAGAGCACACAATCCCGAATACCTTTATTTCAACTCACATTTTTGAATTTATTCTTCTTTTTATGTTTGGCATTTGCTAATCCTCCATTTTCCGTCATCGTTGCAGCTAAACATAATGAAGCTGTACGAGCATACGAATCCGAGTGGAGATATACGATGTTTAACCATCAACTATGCAACACTAAACTAGTGAAAGAATTATTCTTTATAAAATTTCGTACAGAAAAAACATCATTTGAAATTACTCGGTATATGAACACGTATATCGCACCGATTATGGAGCAAAATGCACAAAATCAAAACAAACACATCCATGCAAAAGTGATGGCATAAGATCAACAAAAGAAGAGGGTAGCATCAAGATTTGAGGTATGAGCGTTGCACAATCAATGACGGGACTTGGCGAAAAACGATTCTGCAAACTGTTCGCTATGAGTCGTTAGGTTGAAGACGGGATTGATCGACTCCTGAAACTTTGCATTATTCTCATAAGAATAGGATAACATCTCAGACTACTCACTATGGCATTCTGGCTTCCACCGAAAATCCCATCGGGCTCTCGCGCAGCTGAATACGATTGCGCTATAGCAAGTCCACTCAAGACGTAACAGGTGTGATACAGATCCCTGGGCTTGTCGGGTTTATCGCGGAATCCTCCTGCTTCATCCTTAAGAGGTCAATGAAGCTACAGATAACAATTTTTTTCATAAACTGAAATGAAGTACCTGACAAGACATCATAATGTACTCTTCCAACATTCGAGCATCGAACAATCCTTCTGCGGGAAGCCGACCCTGAATATGGAAAGGGCAAGCTACATCAAAGGAACTAAGGCTCTTGGCTTGCAGGAAGGTAGATCAGATCCCGGTCGGGGGACTATACGAAGAGAGGAATCAAATCATTATCGGGAGATAACTGCTGCGCCACTCGCCTATTCTTCACTTACTAGTACTACCATACCCATTATTTTACGGTACTAACATCTCGAGAAGTTCTATCGAAGCCCCACCCAAAAAACTGCGCAATTAACTTGTTTTATTTGCAAAAATTCAAGTAATTTTTTGGATTTTACAGCAATCCAAAAAAGCTTGAGAACTTATTTGATATTTCCACTTACCTCTCTAGCCATTTCGCCTTCTATCAGTGGAAAATTTGCAGCCTGCCAAAAACTGTAACAACCATCTACGAGTTTATTTGTTCGACCCTAGAAGCACATGCTAGTATTTTCAGGGCAACAAATCTGTACAGTGTTACCTGAAATCCGCCTTCATAACGCATTTGTCGATTAGCGAGCCAGTGTATCAGCAGTTCAGAGTCCGCTAAGCGATACCTGATTTTGCCGTTGAATAGACTGGATCTTTCATAACCACTATCTTACCTATCTAGAATGACCAGTGAAGCAACAGCGCAGTACGCATAACCACCATGAGCTTCAGCATTGGGCTCACCTCCAAAGCCTCCTTCGTATGTTTGGCACCTGAATCTGCCGTTAGCTCTTATCTATAACAGTGACAGAAACGAACTTTATAATCCATTCAGCAGCACCATCTTTCAGCGCGTCAGTCATGAGTCCACAAAGAGCAGCAACAGAAAGTGCACAGTAAGTTCCCCGAATATCAGCCTCTCCACCGTCATGCATCGTAAACGATCCGTCTGGTTGCTTCATCCGATGAAGAAAACGAGATAAGTTGTCCCTAAACGGCTAAACTGAAAGGACCACTCTTTGCGGACAGGTGCCATATTTGCCTAAGATCCTATAGCGTAGTAAGAAATAGAACAATGCTGAACAAACATATTTCGATTTTTCGAGCGGCTTGACTCGACTTCCCCCCCCCCCTTTTTGCATAGACTGTCGCTTGAAACGTTAAGCTAGCCAGCAAGAAAATATAAAACGTACAAATTAATAGCCTTGAGCGCTTCCTCTGACTGAAGCGATGCCAGCGCCATCACAGCAGCATATGTTGGGGCAAGATGAGCATGCTGACCAGGCCCTCCTAAAACCACATTCATACACACAAAAACCTTTTTGTTGTCAAGAAAAAGTACACGCAACCTACTACTTAAAGCTGGGTTCATACTGGTCCGTAAGTTCCGGAACAGTTCCAGCACAGCGCTCGAATTGTGCGCTGTGCTGAAACTGTTCCCGAATTTACGGATCAGTGTGAACCCAGCCTAAAGCTCAGCCTGACTGCTGTAATAATCTTCGATAAAATGGAGTGAGTACAGAATTTTTGAATTAAGGGGCGTGACTTTCGAAAACGGATTCAAAAACTAATTTTTTTACTATGCAAATTTCTGAAACTGTAACTTCTGAAGCCACACCCCCAAGCTGTTCTACACAAATTCGACGTGGTTCCTCATAATCGAGACACTGTCCAAAATTCATAAATTGTACAAGTTTGCAAACCGAGAAAATGACCATATAGTGTCGCAAATAACAGAAATGAATGCTGTTTAAGACTATAAAGTTCATCAGAAGGCTAACCTCCAAATCCTCCATTTGGATGTTGACAAGTCTTTAGAAAGGACAGAATTTCGTTCTTCTGCAAATGTGGAGGTGGTGCACCGAGGATATTCAAGCTATGCAATCCCCAAAAGCACATCCAAGTTCGGCTGGCGTCCAGACCCTGATATGATCAATGAATGAATCCAACCAGGGTCAAGCGTGTGATGCGACTGTCGCAACGGGGGCTCGTAAAGGGGGCCTACGGTGAGGAGGGGGGGGGGGTCGTAAGAAGGGGTAGTTTGGACAAAAAACCGTACGACTGAAAGCAAATCAAATAGCAAATATTTATGTTCTTAACAATAGATTCATGGAATGCCGTGTACCAATGTATCAAATAGAAACGAGTGAACAATAATTAGAAAACATTTACAAGCGTAGAAATTCGCTTCATTTGGTGCACTTTTGAAAGATTATGACTTAGTTCTTTTTTATGGGAATCGCTATTTCTCCCGCAAAATATTGTCTCAAACGGGAATCGAACCCTGCTGGCATGACTAAAATCCGAAAAACACTTTCAGAAGCTCAAATGCTACTAAAGGCATGTATGTGTGATAAAGATGTTGGATGTACCGATTGGTGTAGATATCCTGCTTCCGAAGGCTCACTGAAGACTCACACACTCGACAAAAGCGCACATGTAGATCAACGATGACAATCAATAATTCGTAAATCTTTTTGTAATGCCCATTTATGCGGCTTTTACAATTTATATGTACTTTAGATAAGCCCTGCTACTGATGTGCGAAATCTGGTGTTATTTTATAAACTGCGGATTTTCTTATGATTTTATGTATGGTAGCAAAAAATGAGAAAAGGGGGGTCGTATCTGCACCTGATCTAAATTTCTCCGGAGCTATTGAAGCTTGTTAGCTGCAAACTTGCTGTAATACGAGGTCATCCCTCTAGTTTTTATCATAAGAATTTTAGGCTGTTTTATAACTTCTCTGGTAAGTTACAAAATTTTAAGCTCAAAAATCCCAGTTTTTGCTTTTTAGGATCGCATCTAAATTTGCGAGAGCCTAATCTAAACTTTTTCGAGCTCACTGCTCCTCAAGGGCTGAAACTTTTTCTGTGAATAGTCTGGGCACTATGCTACGAAACTTGTTCTTTGCAGCCTCTCAGTCTTTTCCTGGCCTTAGTTACGAATTTTCAAACTACCGTGCTCATGCATGTTTTTGACGTCGTTCTGGACGGCGCTAAAGCGGTTTTTTTCGCAGGAAAAACTGTGGCAGAGGTAAGAACTGAGCTTCTTAGTCGAAAACATCTTCTGTAGTTCAAGAATGTCATTTTGTTCTCCGTGTAAAGATTTGCGTCGCATACGGAAATCGAGTTTGCTGGCCTGAAGTATGCCTGAAAATTCAAAAGTAAACTTGCAGAATCTCAAACATTATTGAAGGTGTGTATATGTGCTAGAGATGCTAGGCGCACCCATTGGCCTAGAATTTCGGCTTCCGAAACCTCACTGAAGTTCTCACGCAGATGTTTTTTGAGATAAACATTCGTTTATGCAGGTTACCGCGAGAAATGTGACCAGGGGAGGTAAGGGGGATAGATGGGGGAGGGGGAGGGAGGGGGAGAGAGGAGGGGGGGGGAGAGGGGGGTCGTACGGATGGGTACCTTCAAGGGGGAGGGGTCGTAAATGAGGGTCCAGGATCGCATCAACACGCTTGACCCTGAATCCAACTGTTGTACCAAAAACAATAAGGGTGAACAGTTGAAGGTCATAAGAGCAAAATATCCAAAAATGCGGTGGAGGAAAGTCCTTAAAACACATGCACTTTACGTAACCACAACGAGAGAGCCAAAACAAATGTATAAACGATGCTCTCATGCAGAAATGGGGACAAAAGTTACAGGGTCACGATCTTCGATCCCGTCCTTCAGGAAGTATTCTGCCCGTAGGAAAAGCAGAAATCTATTGCGTTTCATGCATTTTGATAAAGACATTGCCCCTTGGCTGACAATGCGCCCAGCCCTCGTGTTTTTTACAGACTGTTTCGTTCTTTGCGCTCATTCCCCAGTTTCAGTATCTCTTAACTATGGTGACGTCTCCGACCATACCTTCGATAATCTAGAGACAGGGCGTCAAAAGTGAAGGTTGTTTGAACATCTGACGTCATAAATAGTGAAGGTTGTTTAAAGATGATCACAGAAGAGAAAATGACATTAAACAGATATAAAAAGCAAAAGAAACAGCTGAAAACCGGATAAAAAAGGCAGCAATGAGGCTTGAAATCTTTCATTTGGCGGCTCTTCGTGCAAGTTTTCGCTTTAGGACCAGCAATTCACGGGGTTTTGATTTTTGAAGCGTCCTTTGAATTTTTACCCCCGCATTGACGTTCCTGTTTCCTGGGACGTTGTCTGGAATGTTGCGCTTATTGTTCTAAGCAAAATTGCCCAAGCTGGAAAAAAATTGATGCGAAGGCACTGAAACAGAACAAGGTAAAGAAAAACGCGCTTTTTACGATTTTTGGCAAAAAATTCCACCATAATCGAAGAGGTAAAGACTGGGTGGTGGTTGTCTGCTTTATGAATAGAAGCAAGATCTATAGAATGCACGAAAAAACCGCGTGAAAAGAGTTAAACTAGGAAAAAAACAAGAGATTTTCGAAAACAGGGTTTTTGCCGGATTTCTCGACCAAATCAAAAAATGTGGTCTTGGGACGTTGTCAGCGTAAAAATAGAGATCAAGAGCTTCAAAATGATATATAGCTTGCTAAAATTGGGTCAGAAACTGCGAAGAAAAGGGTACCAGAGCCAAATGCCCCGCGCCCCGCGTTTGGGTAGCGAGGTAGCGCGCAGCGCGCGGAGACGCAGACGAGCAGCGGAGCCAGACCAGAGCAGACGGGGCATTTGGCTCTGGTCGTAGATCTCCGCGGGATCTCAACGAAACCCTGCAACATTACATATCATTCTGATCGCCATGACACGACGAGGAGAAATAACAACGTCCCAAGCTTCAAAAATCACACATTAACGAGATAGACTAGCATTTTCGTGCGCGACTCTCTGCGCAAGATTTAATCACAGTTTCTCGTCTTATTCAACTCCAATAACTTGCCTAAACTTCTGAAACGCGATTTTGTTCAAATGTGAGGTTAACTAAGAAATTTAATTCTGAATTCTGGCGAAAATCCCACAGAAAAACCCTTCTAAGGTAAAAAAGACTATGAAAACGCAAATTCTCGGTTTCGCCGAGATAAGCTAAAGATTTTAATCCCTATATTTGCTTCATTAACATTCGTTCCGATATAATCAGGATAATAACATCCGGGGCTTCGCCCCAGATGACTTCTGTTTTTTCCAGGTGAAGGTTGTGTCCTCTCATAGCCCTCAAAGTGAAGGTTACCAGAGTACGTGGCTCTATGTATCGAGGGTATGTCTCCGACTATGGAAATTGAGGCTGACGATTATAAACGCAAGTCATACTTGTATGCAGTGTTCAGGCAAATCTGGGCACAGAACTGAATGAGAGACCAACAGCAACTATCCTAGTGGCAACGCAAGACGTTCATCCCGGCCAGGAAAGATGACCCCCGCTACCATATTTGGGATGGCTTGCTCTGCTTGCATGCTACTGCTGACCCAACCGCTGCATGAGTTACCACGCAAAAGCAGCCAATGCACTCCTTCCCAAATGCAGTACCGATGATGCTTTACAGGTGGATTCCTTGGCCGATTTAACACCTTCGCTGCGGTTTGAAAGATTTCTTAGTTGGGCTCCCACTCAGTTTCCATGTGAAAACCCTATGAGCAGCATGCCCAAACATTGCCTTCAAAGAAGGACTAGTAGCAGCAAAAAGCGTGAATATGCAACATTATGACCCGAGGAAATATGAAGCCGCTCAGCGGGGCATATGTTTAGTGATATTAAGAAAAAAAACGCATATTATAGACCAGCAAAAAAGAAAAACCAATCAAACACATGAAACACTCACGGTGTATCCTTTGCCGACTTCATGCAAGCTTTTGACAATGTAATCAATATGCGCTCGGCGAAGGAGCACAGGACTTTCTTTCACATCGACATATTGTCTAACTTGTTCATTTACGAGGTCTTCGACACGTTTCTAAAATGATGATAATATTGGAATGCGCACGATTTGATACGGATCAAAAATGACAATTCGAAAACCGGGGATAATAAAAGCACTCAAAACTTACTTGCTCTGTACTAGTAAATGTGAAAAAACCATCATCATCGAATGTGTACTTCTCGAAACATGAGCGGTACGGTGGCACTACCTCCATTTAAACCTAGAAACCAAGAGGTCTACATTGTCAAAAGGATTTGCTGAGCCTGTGGAGCGACTTTATTGCTTTCTTTATGAGAAAAAGCAAAGTTGAAGTTCCGAACGAGCGTGAAGTTTTGAAAAGAGGTGTTGACCAGAGCAGCATACAACGCTGGAGCGCGAAACTGTAGACTGATGCATTGTAAACGCTATAATCAGAGTTGAGCAAGAGGTCAGGCACAAGGCTTTCGAAAACGACCCCCCCCCCTCTCTCTTCCATGGAAGCCCTCAAACGACCCTTCTTCCTCCTGACCTCCGGACCTCAGAGTGTTACATTCTGGAGGGCATCATCCTTATCTAGAGAGTTTTCAGATTTTGATGTACGCCCGACTTTCTGTGACTGCACTTTACAATCGCACGTAATTTGACGCCTTTTGATCTGAATGGTTCTATTAAAAGAACCATAGCCTTTCTAAGGGTGGGGCGTTCGGCTCCAAATTTCCACTGTAGCAAGAAGAAGCTATGAGCTCAATAGTCATAGCAGGAATGGGCAATTTCTGGATTTTGGAGGCAAGTTAATCGGGTCAGGCGCAACTCCTCAAAAGCTCAGGCCGCCTGACCTTTTGAGGGGTTGCGCCTGACCCGATTAACTTTATCACCAAAGGAGCTTTTCCACCTTAGTTTTATATGATTTGCTAGCATAAACCCGAAGATTTACTGCAGGTATTTGAACTTATCTCGACTTGTTCTGGCTTTGTGGTGATAGGTGGAGTTGAAGCACTCGAGGTGAAAAACGCGGTGACTAACATTTTGGCAGCACTTCTTAATCCATTATTTGAAAGCGATATGAAGTCCAATTTCTACCATCTTATATATAAAGCTGAATGTCTGTTTGTCTGTCTGTCTGTATGTCTGTCTGTATGTCTGTAGGGTAGAGGACTATATATAGTCCTCTACCCTACGACTCATTGGGGGAGCGAGGTAGCGCGCAGCGCGCGGAGACGCACACGAGCAGAGGAGAAAGACCAGAGTCGACGGGACATTTTGGCTCTGGCCGTTAAGGGTGCCTTCATACCGCGCCGGCAGCCGCCGCTAGCAGCCCGTAACAGCCCGCAGCAGCCGCCAGCAGCCCGTAGCAGCCCGTAGCAGCCGCCAGCAGCCGCCAGCAGCCCGTAGCAGCCGTCAGCAGCCGCCAGCAGCCCGTAGCAGCCCGTAGCCGCCGCTGGCCGCTTTTGTTATAGGAACGCAAACTCATCAGTACTTTGAGAATCTTATTGTTAGTACCCCTGCCTATTCTTTTCATTTTCCACGCTTTTCCTTCTGTTGCCACCAGTGTGTAGTTCGACTGACATAATATTTTTGTGTCAACTTGACGCCGTATAGTTCATTCTTTAAACCATAGGTCGCAGAAGTTTCTTTCCTTTGTGATTCCCTCTGACTTTGAATGCTTTTTCCTGTAAGTGTGCAATTTGTTCACTTTTTGAGTATGCTTTTGCTTCAGCCTTCTTGTTAGATATCGCATATCTAAATTGCATTCTACTATTTCGCAAGTTTGCAGAATTGATTCGTGGGTGGGTTCTTCTGACTTTGACAATCGCTGACAATCGTTAAAACAGATTGCAAAAGTGAAGTGTAGGCACCGATAGGAGGATGCAAAGTGCGGCAACAGAACAATGGAGCAAATATAATGTGTAAATCAAGTTCACATTCGCGGCAAGAGAAGAAAAAGCGTGGAAGATGAAAAGCGTAGGTAAAAGCACTTAAAGCAGCAAGATTCTGGTAATTTTTCGCTCCGGATCAAAAACGGCCAGCGGCTGCTACGGGCTGCTGGCGGCTGCTACGGGCTGCTACGGGCTGCTGGCGGCTGCTACGGGCTGCTGGCGGCTGCTACGGGCTGCTGGCGGCTGCTACGGGCTGCCAGCGGCGGCTGCCAGCGCGGTATGAAGGCACCCTAACCTCCGCGGGGTCGCAACGAAACTCTGTAACATCACATATCATTCTATCGTCGTGACACACACTGACAACATCCTAAGCTTTGAAATCACTCGTCAATTAGATAAGTCACCATTTTCGTGCGCGACTACTGCGCGAGATTTAAGCGCTGTTTCTCGTTTTTATTGAACTCCAACGCTTCCGTGAACTTCTGAGACTCAATCGTAGGCTAAACAGAGGTCAAGTTAGAAATGTACTCTTAAATTTTGGAGAAACTAGCGACCCTGCGGGTCGCTATAAGTGGATCGAAGCACATGTTTAGAAAGTTTGTGCATCTCAATGACATCTTCCTGCATTTTATTTTACTTGAACATAATTTTTTTTTCGCCGAATCATCGTATTTGCTCCAAGGTAGACTCCTTATCGGGTGGAAGCATCTGAAAGTTTTCTGGACTGATACTCTACCCTGAACTTTGAGCCTTTTTATTTTGCGGGACTCGTCAATAACTCGCTTTTCTACAAGTGTAGGTGAGGTTTTCCCATGAAAACGTCTACAAAGCAGATTTTTATGAGATATTGGAAAATCTGTGGAATAAACGCACTTCCCGAAAAAATTCCTTTCGCTTGAAACCATGGCCTCCATCAATGAGAACCTCACTCACACGCTTCGCTTTCAACAAGAACAGAATTTCCTCAACACGCGCTCCCAGAACAATTTTTTTCTACGGATTTTGCGATATAGCGAAACCAAGTCACCCCCGGTAGTGACCTCTCTGAAAAGTCAGCTGCCATCGAACAACGAGACTCTGTTACTCTTTATGTTTTCCTTACACAAAATTTTTTTTGGATAAATGCCCTGCCCTTCAATCATCGATCAAATTTTGCCATTTATGTACGAAAAAGTTACTCGCTATAATCCTTTATGGAAAGCGTTGGCTCCACCAGCCAGACCCAATCATCAAGCTCTCCTTCATACAAAATAGGAAGATCTTTCGAATGAACGCTCATCTCCACCAGCGAGACCCACTTACTTGAATGCTTTACTTTCTTTAAAGAAAAGCAAATTTTCCTAGATAGGCGCTCGTTTCCAACCGCCTTTCCTACAGGATAATAGATGCTTTACCTAGCAGAAGCTCGTTTTCACCAGCCCGCCAGTCAGACCCACTACTCAAGCGTATAACCCCAATTATTAGGGCGATCACTAAAAAATGAAGCAGCTTGATTTTTATTGAATTTCGAGATTTTTTGTTTGGATCAACAACAAGCAGGCTGCAACTAAACGTCGCATATATAAGCGACCTTCGCCTATTATTCTGGCAAAGCTTCAACGCTCCTCTCCCACAACCCTACGCGTGGCGACCTGAAGAACTCGGACAGGGTTTTTTGAACATCGCTCATTCTTACGCTGCCATACCGTAAAGTATAGAGCAGTTGATATACTATTCGAAAGAGCTCTTCATGCTCTTTCAAACAATTTATTAAAAATACAGGATAACTTTCTATTTCTGGGTAAAAAAAAGAGAAACACCTGAAAAATCGCGATTTTTTGGCGCAACAAAAACCAATAAATCAATTTTCAATCTGTATTTTCCGAAGATAGATGAAATGTGAGGTAAGCTGCATATGAATGGATAGAGCGTAAAAAGCTCTATCAGATGATACCTAGAAAACATGCAGTCACCTGCAAAGAATTGAATAACCCATATCTTTGTTCTCGAAGCTACTAATGGCTATATCTCCTGACTTTGAAAGTTGAGGCCATCAAGCAGTCGCGGGTTTAGTGACTGTCCCACCACCCACTCCAGCAGTGGTACTTTGGATGGTCTCACATGTTTCACTGCGCAGATACTGCCCAAAGTTTATAATTTGTCAAGGTGACTTGCATTGCATTGAAATGCAAACTTTGCATTTCAACCACTCTAAAAATTATTACGTATGTAAATGATTTTATATAGGTATTTTCTGAAAGAGAACAATTTATTCTAACATCTAGCAAAATGGAAAATTAAATCACTTTTCTTTTTTGAGAAATCTACATTTATTCTCTAGGTGCCCCATTTTTAGTGATCACCCTAATAAAAGCACTTTCAACAGGAGACCCAGTTACCGCTTGGGATTTTCTCAAACAGAAACACATCTTCACCAGCGGAACCCAGTTATCTAAAAGCTTTCTCTTCCACACGGAAGAGCATAACCTGAGTAAAAGCTTTCCTCCACAACGAGACCCAGTAGTTCAAGCGCTGGATTTTCCTATGTGGAAACCCATCTCCACTGGCAAAACCCAGTCACCCAAAACTTTGAATTTCCACAAGTGAACCCTTCCCTCCACCAGCGAGACCCAGTCATCCAAGCGTTGGATTTCCCCAAGTGGAAGCTCATCTCCACCAGCGAGACCCTAAGACCCGAAGCATTGAATCCCCAATTAAACGCTTTCCTCCACCGTCGAGAGCACTTACTGAAGCGTTGTTTTTCCCCAAGTGGAAGCTTATCTCCATGAGTGAGATCGTTACCCGAAGCGCCGCTTTCCTCCACCAACGAGACACAGTCATTCAAGCGCTGGATTTTCCCAGATGGAAGCTCAATTCCACCAGCGAGACCCAATCACCCAAAGCATTGAATCGGCGAGTAAACCTTTCCTCCATCATCGAGAGCACTTACTGAAGATCCTTACCCGACGCCCCGCTTTCCTCCACCGACGAGACCCAATCATTCAAGCGTTGGATTTTCCCAGATGGAAGCTCATCTCCACCAGCGAGACCAGTCACCCAAAGCATAGAATTTCGCTGAGTAAACCCCTCCACCAGCGAGACCCAAAGACCCGAAGCGTTGAGTTTCAAGCAAAGCAAAAAACCTTCACCAACGAGACCCAGACTCAAGCTTTTTTAAAGTAAACTCTCGTCTCCACCAGCGAAATCCAGCTACTTACGCTTTCCTTTCTATACAACAGGGAATATTTTCACAAATATATACTCGTCCACCAGCAATACCCATTTACTCAAGCACTTTCAGTTCTGGAAGCGAAAGCAGGATAGTCTGAGATAAAACCTCGTTCCCACCAGCGACACCCAATTACACAAAGAACATTTTTGATCAAAATTTCCGACATTATCTGCGGTGCGTAGTTGTCTAAGTGCTTTTTCTTCTGAGGCGTCGCCTGCGACAAGAGAACGCAATTTCACGCTTTTCGGAATACGACAAAAGTTAGATTTCTCAAAAGCTTGGAAAAGCAAAATTTCCACCATTCGCAGTATTTCTTAAACATGCTTCGAAAAGCATCAGGTTTTGGCTCTACCGTGAGACCCACTCAATCTGTGCAATTTAATTTTTGTGTAAGCAGAAAAAAATGGAGTTTTGCAGTTTCGCAATGGCAGTTGGCCAAGCGCGCGTCTAGGGGCGGAGCTTGAGCCAAGACGCGTGCTTGGCCCTTGGATGACCATTCCGGTCTTTCGTCAGCTGAGGGAAGGCGGCTCTGTCAGCGTCTTTCCTGAGAAGAAGAGCTATTCATGTGCAGTTCACGAGAGAGCAATTTCAGTCAATGGAATCTACGATCTTGAGGAGTTAGTGAGTTTACTTTTCCGTTTTCGTATTGGTGAAAGGAGTGAAACATCGTCTACGAACGGATTGAAAGTATTTTCTGTGGAGCCACGATATAATTTACGATTGTAGGTATATCTTAGCGAGATCATGGGTTCTGATCCCGTAATGACCCATGTTATAGTTAGGCTGCCGCGACCTAACGGTATTGCCCTCCGAACGTCCGATTTAGCGTGAGCTCGGGCATGTATATATAGGGACAAGGCTCTCGCTTCCAGTGCAGGTTAGCATATTTGGTTTGCATCTTAGGCAGAGTTAGGCTTTATAGTACTTAGCAACAGTTTGGCATTACTTCGATCTAACGAGTCTTGATTATGTTATATGACAAGCGATGTTGCAGCCTAGAGTCATAGATGTTCTGTTTAGTCGGTAAGTAATCGGCTGGGCCCTTGCACAGGTCGGTTGGGGCGATAAGTAGGTCATGCCCTCAGCTGGGCGATTCACTTTCGATCGCAGGGTAGGGAGTTCTAATTCAACCTTAGGTCCACAATAGGTTGTTTTTGCCCAAGATAGGCCGCAGCAAGCTACTCATAATTGCCTATTTCAGTAAAAATGTAGCTGATCTTGTAAGTCGACTGCAGTCATGCTAGGACTGTTTCTGGAGGGTAATTGTTGCATACATTAGCGAGTTTACGGCAAGCGCTTAGATCATAAATTTTGAGCTCTAGGCTCACGTCCTTTTCTCGGCATTGATATTTATGCACTATGGTATTGGTGGCTGGGCCTGGACGTGAGGTTTTATCGATTCCTCCGTATCTAATCGCGAACTAGTTGATACCATTTGCTGTAGCATTGCGTATATTAGATGTTAGAGGCTGAATCTTACTAACTTTTGGGCATTCATATTAGTTCTAGACATCGAGGCGTTACTACTTTCAGACGTTGAGGCACTACTAATTGAGCTGGCTCCCTGCTGAAAATAGTCAATACGCTATAACCTAAGCGTCTATTATACAACGTTCTCGAGCCAATAGTTGATCGAATTTAGTTTTGAAGTCTACGTCTAGTGGGGATGATACCAGCTCCTAGCTGAAGAGTGATGCTGGATCCTGTTCCAGAGCCTAAGACATAGGCCGGCTCCCGTGCCGAGTAGTGATTGGTGTTTGGGCCCTATTCGCGAGACTGAGCCGCGTGTCGGCTTCCGAGGCTAGTACGGGATACTGTTTTCCAAAGGCTAGTGTAGAGTTGAAGTAGTGTAGCTGAAGGAAACCGGCTCCCATGCCATGTGGTCTATGCAGGATATCGTTCCAGAGACTTGAACAGATTTATACGTCTTCAAGGGGAATTGCGTTGCGGAATCTTATCAGAAGTAAGAGTAGCACATCGACTCTCAAGCCTATTAGTGCTACTAGTGATTAATACTATTTTGAGAATAAGTTGTGACTTTCGGCCTGTTTATCTGGAAAGTGTTTCGATCTGTTCGAAGCAAGTAGTGAGTAGTAGCGACACGACTTCCATGCCCAGTCATTAGGTACAATACCTGTTTGTGCGAAGGGCGATGCTAAACTTAGGCAGATCCGTTGAAGTTAGAGTTGCATACAGCGGCTGAGATAAGGGCACTCGAATTTTACTCTCTAAATTAGGTGTGATTCAACGCCGAATCGAGAAGTAAGTCAGTATATCTTTCCGGATTGGAAATAGACATAGTGGGTTGCAGGACGCCAGCTGCCATTAGAACAGTGATGCCGTATCTGGTTTTTGAAAGCGATTTCATTGTTATATCGAGGCAGACTCCGGCGCCGCTTGCGGATGATAATTGGATACTCATAAAAGTGGACATGTCGTCTGGTAGAAGTTTGTTGTACCAACTGTTGCAGAATTGAGAACTCTGCGTAGACTTTTTCGCAGTTAAATTTGATATGCCACTTATCTACATCGATCTGCTGATTCGCGTTTGGCGGACCTTCTTCGTGGAATTGGTTAGTGTCCGACAAGCTTGCAGATTCTTTTGAAAATGTGGAGGTGACCTTTCCTTGAACCAGACGTCTTCATCTCATTGGATGTTGATCCTAGGCATGTTCCGTTTCCGTTCCTGGCCCAGTTTTGGTCTACTGAAGCAGCAGCGTTAGTTGTCTTTCGTTTGGCGATGCGATTATTTGAGTTATGGGGCATGTTTTGGGCTGGACCTTTTTATGTTCATTTTCACAAGTAATGCAGCTGTTGTGATTAAAAGGGCTTTGCTTCGACACAAAGACAGACTATTAGATCCTCAGGGAGCACAAGTTGGGTTGTTTTTCTCAGCTATGTGTGATTTTTTGGCGGACTAAGGTTAATCATCGTTCCATGGGACTAACGAATAACCGTGGAAGGTTTCTTTACACGCTTACAATCGTCTATACGCTGATTTTCGTTCAACAGTCATAAGGATTCATGCGGTATGCGAAGTCGGTCGCAGTTCGTTTGACAAAGGGAACCTTCGCTTGCCCTTAACATCAAGTAAGTTCCATACCGGTCGGTCCCGGGAGGTAAACTGCGGCCGAGGGCTTGTCGCAGTGATGAAAATGTAAGCTTTGGTCTTTGACAAGTTTTAGGTTCTAGTGCCGATGGATATCACAATGGTTAGTCAATATATCCACGTCCACTCACGTTTCCGATTCTAGGAATGTGTTATGCAGTCTCAGGGAAGGTCTCTCATACCACATAGACTAGGTTCAATAGGAAATCTTCACAATTGGCTCATGGCTTTGGAACTTCAATGGGGTCGTATTCACTAATTCTATTTCTTAACACGGGTTGTATACGCAGTGACCATCATTACCCTTATATGGACTACCTCACGATAATCAATCGCTGTGGCATCTAAGTGTCTTTTGATACACAAGCTCGGTAATTCAAATGAGACCTCATGAGGTGGGCTCATTTACGGCGCAGCCGGATGTGCAGTGACGCTTGGGGTTTGGTTGCAATTTTTCTTTCGGTATGTTCATTGTTAAGCTTCCACAGAGGAAGTCAATGTATAGCGGTTGGTTTAGTCCATCGAGTTGGTAATTTTCTTTTATTTTGGCCTTCCACATATATCCCCGACTCTACCCCGGGCTTCAATGTTCCGTATCATTCTTAGTGTTGCGAAATGCAAAACAGAGGTTTTGCCGTAGTATATCGGAGGCAAAAATGGAGTTTTGCAGTTTCGCAACGCGCTTTGGCAGTTGGCCAAGCGCGCGTCTAGGGGGCGGAGCTTGAGCCAAGACGCGTGCTTGGCCCTTGGATGACCATTCCGGTCTTTCGTCAGCTGAGGGCCCACCCGCCCACCCTTATGAGGTCGCTCAGCTGCTACGGACTCTAGTTAAGGCCCTCGAAGGACCACGGTAAGAATTTTAGGTTTTTTGCAGGTTCGCGGACCCAATGGATTAAGGTCAGCAATGGCGGATAGAAGTGGCACGCAGATGCATATCGCACGACTTCTCCAACAAGAATTGCTTCGAACTCGAGATGGGCAGAATGGCTCGACGTGATATGGGCAACGTCCACCAGTCGGTCCAATGAATGTTTACCTGCAATTACCATTGTCTCACATTTCTGGATCTGATTAGCGACTGTAGTTACAGCAGGGTGTACCAATGACTTCCACTTCTACACCTCTTTAATAGCTTTGCATATGTTGTTAGGAATCTTCTTGTCAACCCTTTGTACTATTATGAGATTCTGTGGCGATTTCTCGTTATTCTTGCATATCATTGCTTTCTTATCATGACCATTGTCTTTGAGAACTCTGACGTTTCCTTCCAGTGTTAACAAGTAGCTTGTCGGAAATTGGCGGACCTGAGTAATAGTGTTGTATATACTTTGCTCATATTTGAAGCACTCCAGCAGTTGGGAGACTTCTGTGTATTTATAGTTCTACTTAGTCGTACGTATCACTAGGTTAACTGAACAGATATATATTCTTGATAGGTTGGTTGTTTGACTGCATTGGCATCCGTTTTGTTCCTCGATCGTTTGTTTGTACGGGGAACATTCCCCATTGACTGTACGTAAAGCTGACGAACGAACCTTCACCCCTCCGTATCATTCTTAGTGTTGCGAAATGCAAAACAGAGGTTTTGCCGTAGTATATCGGAGGCAAAAACGAAACAAAAAAACGATAAATAAACGTAAACGCATAAAGGCAGAAACATAAACTGGAAATGTTGAAAATCTTTACCACCTGCAAGCAAAAGATTTGAGTAGATAAAACCTACGTAAAACGATGCGGCAACAACCTTGCACGAGGCGACTTTTCATGATAATGGCGACATAGTATACTGAACCTCGACCGGGGGGAACATTTGCCTCGTTATTTTATGGATGTTGCTCAAGGATCGCATATGATGCAATCATGTGACTTATGCGAAAAAATCGTCTTGAGACTGTTGATATGCCACTCGTGATGGTCTGTTTACAGTCTGGATTTGTCCTTATGCGACAGCTATGCGCGAAAAAAATTCGAGACGGTTTGGCACAAACGAAAACATGTCTCATATGGAAATACACAGGGGGCGTGTCCGCCTCTCGTCTGGCTTCTCCTCGTCTACCATCTGCTATCGTTTAGGGAAAGTGCACGAATTCATGCTTCCATACGTAGTGATTTGTACAAAACTTTCTCTGTAACGTGAAAAACGCTATAAAAGCGCGATATTTTGGTTTTGCTTCGATATATCTGAGTTATATTTGTTCACATTCATTCCAAGATATTTATCAAACATGCAACATTACATACCATTCCGATCGTTATGACGACTAGAAGCACTGACAAGGCAAGCCTTGAAAATCACTTTCGACGAGATTTACCAGCATTTTCGTGCCAGACTCTCTGCCCAAGAGTTAAACGCAGTTTCTTGTCCTTTAACTTCAATAGCTCTCGTGAGTTTTAGGAGACTCAGTCTTATTCTAAGACCAGGTTAGTTGAGAAATGTTGTCCTGAATTCCATGGAAATCTACACAAACCTCTAGCACAAAGAAGGCCATAAAAACGCATTTTTTCGGTTTTACCGGGATATGAGTTATTACTCACTACACTTACTTCATTCACATTGAATTTGACACAGTTGTGATCTTAACTTATGCGGATTTGTCCCGAATGACTTCTATTTTCTGGTAAGGTTGCGTTCTCTTATGTCGCTCATGAAGGTCACCAAAGCACATGGTGCGTATCAAAGGTATGTCTGGAAGTACTTCAGCAGTTTTGCGTAGCCGCAGCCGATTTTTATACGAGCGGCTATGCATAGCCGTACCCGAGCCAAATTGATGTAGGCTTCAGTACTTCTGGGCAGAAGTAGAAGGATAGTTTTCCTTGGTGCATTCTTTTAGTATTTTAGTAGTTGAGACACGTAAATTTTGACTGCCTTAGTTTACTTTTTCCTTTAGGATGTTTTGAAATAAAGATTCATGATTTCCAATTTACTGCGAACTAGCTGGTGGTCCCGGTCTCACCCGCACTCTCAATTACCTAGTTCGAAATGTTTTACTTACACTAAATTTCTTCTATCATGCGCGAAAAGCGCTTTGAGACGAACTGCCGCATCCTGCCGACTTTGAGATTAGAATGAGTTACCGCTCCTGCTTACATGCTTATTGGAAAATGATTGATCAGACACGCCAAACTTTTATCTTCCCAAGCTTAAGCAGACAAATCAATAAATCGATAAGGGCCTAGTGGACCGCCGCGAAGAGTAGCCCTAAACCACCGCCGAGGTCGATAACGTATACGTGTGCAAAGTTTCAGCTCAGTCGTTTCAACGGCTGACGTTTCTATAACGCACTAACAACCTGAAGAACATCCTCACAGACCGTGAGTTTTACACTGCTGTCGAAAAGTTTGCAACACTGTGACATTTTGCTATATCTTACTCTCTTCAAAACAGATCGAGTTCACATTTCGATATCATGTGCAGATCACACTGCTTAAAGGCAGTGGCTCGGCAAATTTCAACCTAGTCAAATTTGTGCTTACCCGGGGGATTTCAATACGCTGATCCCGAAAATCCACTTTTGAAAGTTTGAAAACGGCGAAAATTCGCGTTTTCAATGCCCTTCCCTTTGATATTGGACGAGTGAAGCAAGGCCGATGACCCTAAATCGTGGCGACCCAATGGTTATAGCGTTGCGGCGGGCAGCCTCCCAATAGTGAGAAGGAAATTGTCAACTCGTCCAGATGCGTGTAAGATTGGCCTGCGCGTGTAAGTTCGAGAGCGATTTTCTCGGCAGGGAAAGCATGCTGTGCAACCGGGGTTGCACTGTTTTCATAGTTGGGCGTTAAGGGACCTACCGCGTTAAAATCCCGAGTTGTTGGATTTTGCCGATCCACTGCCTTTAACACCCTGTCAAGAAGCCTTGCAGTTTCATGCAGACAAAAGGGAGCTCTGGGGAAAATGGCGAGCACGGCGACATCTAAGTTGGTCGAAACTTGCAGCCACTTTCTGCTAAACTTTTTCAGAGAACTCGTCATCTTCCAGCATATAGGGTATATACAAATGCACCTATAAGCCTCGAGATTTGCAGTGTAACCAGTATTCATCAAATTCCAAAAAGGAAGCTTTACGGAGCCAATTTTCTTGAACGCCAAATGACCGCAAAATTTGGATAAATCGTAAGACTGTCAAGAGTTAATCGGGTTGATCCGTGCTGGTAAGTTGTACCATCTGGACGTTTAGTGGAGGTCTGCGAATGTGACACAAAAGCACTACCTGGTATGCTTTAGAATATCATCACCTTAACTCAGTTATGGCGCACTTTTCAGCTCAGAAATTGGGCTCAGTGACTAGAGAATTCTCAAACTTCATGAAAACACTGCGTTTACAAAGATGAGCTAGGTTCGAACGGGGCAGGGGAACGAAAGCCGCCAGTTTGAGCCGCCTTTCGCGGCCAACTGGTCCTTTCGCAGTGTTGTTGCATGTCGTTCCAGGACCAGCAGTCCGCGGAGGCGGCTCAAACTGGCGGCTTTCGTTCCCTACCCGTTCTCAGACACTCGCTGCGGCGACGCGCGCGCTTTGTGCGTGCGGCCCCTCATGTTGCCGGGGGACGGTCAGGAGGTACGATCGGCGCGAATTTTTCGCGAAACGACGCCGCAACGTAATTCAGCCCTTACAACAGCAGCGCTCCTGGAGCGGTCTTACTTATAGCATTAAATCATGTATCTGTCCCCATCCTCACCGCTCTGTTTTTGCCGCCGGGAATCTCTATTGGCGGAGAGTCTTGGAGGCCCCAAGATTTGAACGCGGCCTCTGCGGAAGAGCGGCCGCCGCGCGCGGCGTACCTCCTGACGTGCAGCCCATGTCGCCCGCCGCTGGCCGTCAAATGGCGCGCGCGCCGCGAGTAGATGGGACGCGCGTGGCGAGTAAATGGAACGCGCGTCGCGAGTAAATGGAACGCGCGCCGCTAATACATGGCATACCGCTCGCAGTCTGCTACTTCTCTAGGATGGTTTTTCTTGCTCTTTTTCGTGCTGTAATGTGTCTTTTAGTGTAATTGAGCAGTCTGTGTGATTTGAGTAATCATTTTATTCGTTAGTAGATAAATCTTATTACAAATATAGCTATGTCATCACTAGGCGATCACAGCATATAAGAGACCATAAAGCAGATAATAACAAAAACAACAACCAAACATGGAAAAGATGGACGCTTTGGGAGCATAATAACATGATAAAGATTAGCGACGGTTGAAGAAATAACACCAACAAGTAGTTATTGCCAAGAAGCAAAAAAAAAAAAAACTAAACAAAGACATCAAAAACTTTTGTACAAAAGGAACAACGACAAAGCGAAACTAATAGAAAGAAATAACAGTACTTTTCCTTTTCCTATCTTCTTCTGCGCTTGGGTGGTGGATTGCTTGGCGGATTGAGTGACGGATTAGGTGGCGGCAAGGGAGGTGACGCGTTGGGCGGGAGGTTCTCGTCCGGTTCTTCCAATAGTTAACTTCCGTATCTGCTGCACTCGGGAACTGCTTCGATCATTCCATCGACTTCTCGCTTGCCTCGTCGCTAAAGAAAGCATCGACAGTTAAACGGATAGAATAGGTTCAAAGAAGTTCAAAAGCATACCTGATTGGAAATCCACTTGCCGGCTTCGTATTTGTAGGAGCGAACGTCGCGCCTAAACATATACGTTGAATGTAAATGCGAATAATGTATAAATACCAAAACTTACAATGCAAGTTGAAGTGCTTTGAATATCTGCGGACGCCATTCTGCACGTTCGTTCCTCAAATCCTCCAAATTCGCTCTATGTTCCTCTTCGTTCGCTCCAAGGTTCTTGTAGAAACTAAAATGTTGCTATTTTTTTTTGTCAATGAAGTCAACTACATAATCACACTTACGTGGAGTTATCGAGACCTTGATCAAGCCATACTTTGAGTTCATCTTGCCCGTAACCGAGCATGTCCTCTGCCATATCTGAAGTGTTCATTCCCATAAAAATAACAGACAAAAGAATTTCCCACCTTGCAAAATGTTTGCTACAGGTTCCGGTAAACTTTTCAATTTGTCGTCTCTTCCGTTCCTGCTATGAAGTCGAACGGAGTACTCTTTTATTTTTTCTGGCGGATCCGTTATCTGAAAATGTGATTTGAACATCGCAATGCATAATTCAACAGATTTAGAGACTCACGCGCGTTAGAAGATGACGGTAAAAAAAAACATAACTGCTGGTAAGGTGGATCCTTTGCGCGTGGCTCCCATCGCGCGCCCAATATCCCGAGGTTTTTCTGAAACCAGATTTTGAGTGGAATCGCTTCAATAATCATCGCCTTGACAAATGGCGGTTCCACATCGAGATTCCATGACCTGGTGCAATTGAGGATTGAAACAGGTGTTTGTATAGTTGGCGCCGTTGTCCTTTCAGTCACATTAAAGGCAGTGTCCGGGCAAAAACTCGATTTTGAGATATTGTGCTTATATGGGCCTATTCGCCATGCTGAATCCGAAAATTCACATTGGAAAGTCATTGCTAGCGTTCAAAACTTATCGTCAGTCTGTTGGCTATACTCCATAAGAAATTTATGTCCTGTCCGACGAGTTGGATTAGGCTCCCGTACGTGGGTGTTGCTTTCGCTGCCATCTCCGATCAAACGAACTCCTGCAAAACATGCCATGCAGCAGCAGTAAAGTTGCGTTTAGAGAACTTACATAATAGGTGGCTTCATTAAACTTTCCTTCTCTAATGTTCTTCAAAATAACTTTCGCGGCCTTATCCAGGTTCAGTACTCCTCTTTCGATGCAATCGTGCAGTGTCGCGGGGAGAGGGGGAGACTGTTGCCTTTGACTGCGGGTCTCTTCCACGTAGAACTCGCGGAGTTCGTACACATTTCCTAAATAGTTAGAAATCAGGTGTGCGGCATAATTTGCAGCTTTCCCCTAACTTGTGGAACTTCTTGTTCCACCCCAAAAAATGCGTCCTGTGAAGCAGCTACAACATCTTCTACAACAGGCGCTCTAAAATATTTCAATCAATGAAGCACAAACGGCATATAATGCAAAGACTTACTGAACGACACGTGGCGATGTTAAGTCAAGCAATGTCCGCGGCTTGGCGTGGACCCGCCTTGGTAGAACGCGCGCTTTCGTGGGTGCATAAGGAGAGCTCATTATACTAAAACTGTATAAATCAGCATGTTAGAAGGCAGTTTTGATGAGATAACAAAAGGCGAGAAGTATGCAAGATCAATACTTTGCCAATCCACATTCACGATTAACGTATGAAATCTTCGTTATATCAGTTCAGAATATTATTTCCTTACAAATCCTCAAGATTCAAACCCACTCTCCCGCACAGATTGAGACCGAAAACTGACCCTATCTGTTTGATGAGGTCCATAATTGAATAAACTTGTTGCAATCCTCAATATTCGTGATAGACGTGTTCTTTGGAAGCCTACACATGGTGGTACAACAAATCCGAGCTCGCTCACAATGTCATTAGCAAGTGATGTTTTCAACGTTAGCAAAATCTGAAGTTGAAATTCATGAACTTATATTGTATAATCAGGTCTGAGACCTACCGCAAGGATTGCAAATACGAACATTACTTTGTTTGAGGTCCTAGCGATCACTTTTTATGACAAAGAAATTCATGACTTACATTATTGCGAACAAGTGCATTGTACTCTTTTGAAGTCACAATAATTATGGATGCTCAACGGTCAACAGGCTAATTACATAGGAGCAAACACTAGATTTTCTGATAAATGACTTAATAAGTGGTAAGTTGCTTATTAATTTACAATAAGCATTAGTATCCACTTCAATGAATTAATGTACTTTGTGTTATTTCTGCATTACTACAATAAGGTAAAGCGAATTCTTCAGCTATTATTAAGCCTTCCCTGGAATCGTGGGAACCACCAACCAATCATTGTTTTGAGAAATATGTGTAATTAAAAAGGCTGGACTTTGAGGATTACTAGATGGTGTTTAGAAAATGCTTTATAGGCATTTTCTAAGGGGCTTATGAGTACTCTGTGAGGAGGGAAAGTATCCAGATTTACGCGTCATTGAGCTGCTGCAAATATCTTTCTCACATCGTCTACTAAACAGCAAGATCTGTCAGTGCATGAGTGTATATTAGCTTGCCAAAAATGCAAAAACATCACAAAGTTTGGACATTCTTTTATGCTTATAGAAGACAGTCGAAAGCATCAATCACATATGGAGCAAAAATTTCTTCAGTAAAATTATTATGCTAGAAATATATAAATGAGTTTAGCTCAAAGCAATACCTATTACATAGCTCTGCAACATATAAAGATCTCTGAAAGGGAATGTTATTGGCAGGGGAAGAGATTATCGATGACGAGAAAAAACAAATCACAGAAATAAGGATTAGTGTACGTATGTGTCTTGTGAAAGCACCTCTAGCAGCAGTTTAGTGCACTATCGCGTCTGACGATGAGCATTAGGAAAAGACCCTCATCGAGTCGCCAACCCGGGTTCTGCAAGCGGGGCACTCGACAATCTTCGACTCAGCATGGCAAGTGTCGCAGATGACCATATGGCGACACGGTAGGAAGAGCACGCATGGCTAAAATCCAAAAAATAGAGAACATCTGTTTTGTTAGAAAAAGGCAGACGAACCTTGCTGGCTAGGCAGATACAGCACTCCGCGCAGATTTTCTCCCTCAACTGCGAGATCTGACGACGAAGCTGTTCGCTTTCGTTCACCGCGCACTCCTTCTCCGCCTCCAACCGCCGTCGTTGTTCTTCCAGTCGAGGGAACGTTGCCAGCTGAAAGTGTCGAAACAGAGCATATCCGCCAGAACTGAGAACTCTTAGACTTCTAATTTTTATGGGTTTCATAAAATCCTTCTTGATGTTTGAATAAATTCCCCGAAAAAAATTAAATCAGCTCAGTGTCAAGATCGGAGCTTATTGTTAGTTGCACTCTAGACATAAGCAACTTTCGAAGCTGATCTATGAGCATAGAGTAAACCTTTGTAAACAGTGCATTCGAACATCACCCTACTTCTGACATGACGATAAATTCAAGAAAGCTGTTTCGCAATTCTTACAAGGGAAGGATACTTGGTCGAAGTGGTGTTTCCAAATGAGGTATATACCATCTTATGGAGCATGAAACGCTAATTTCGAATCTGCTTTCGATGTCTGCAAAGCGTTTCTGGTTGAGGTTCAATTTTTTGCGTTGAGGTTCAATTTTTGTACATCAATACGTATATTAAACTGAATTCGTGTCTAACAAACTGTATTAAAAGGTCCACAAGATGTGTTTTACACACAGGTCTATCACACATTGCTCGGAGCCAACATGCAGAGAATTAAAAATTTCGAAATGAAGTTCTTCTACCAGTGCACGACTTTTGCAAAGGGTGCAAAGTGTGTACGAGTGGGGAGAAAGTAGAAAGCCCATTGGAGCGCAATGAGGGCATTTGGACTTTTTGAGCACTAAGCTTATTTTCCTTTGCCACTGCGATGCAAGTTTGAATATAGGCAGCTTGGAAAGTTCGCAATAAGTCCATTGTAGTTGCTCCTTTTTGCAAAAAAGTACTGCATTCGTGAATATTGCTCTTGTAGTACGCGTGCCATTGAGTGGACATTTAATGATAGTGTTTTCAAGGAGACTGAACCCTGTTAGCTGAGAAAAATGGACAATTGAGCGAAGTAATAGCGTCATGCGTGATCCTTAGCACGTTGACGACCTTGTGTATCCGCATGTATGCACCCCCTGACTCCCGTTTAGCATTTTCGTGCATCCGCGCATATGCACGCTAGTTTTTTAGGTGGGAACGAAAAGTTTTAAGGTAACTTCTATGCAGTAATATTATTAGTGGCCTGATTGTCTTACAGAACACAGGGCATCGAGGCAGCTGTTCAGAAGTTTCGGCCGCAAATTGGGTAACCAGTCCGTTTGTGATGTAGTCAATACATGCTAATTACGTTTTCTCGAAATGGTGAAAACTCTGTATACCTGTTCTGAAATCAAACAAAGATGAATCAGGCAAAAAATACCTGGTTTTACAACCCTTTTCTCGAAGAGCGATCTTCAGATATAGCCATTGCATGGATTATTGGAGGGAAAATTGATGCAAAAATTTCGATTTGTGTAAGTTCCTCGTAAGGCTCTGTGATATACCTGTATGTCTGAACAAAGTTCGCATGTTTTATTAATAAGTGACAAAAAGACTCCCATATAATGTTTTCGTGCATTCGCGCGTATGCACGGGCCAATGGGTGAAGGATGTTAGTGGGAGTTTCGCCCAAAATGGCGCAGTCGTCAACGTGTTAAACAATCTCAAACTTGTTTGGCACTTGAAAACATCTACAGGGCTTTACAACCTGAGCAGGGCCCGGCACGAGTCGGTTTCTAGGGTTTCTGAAAACGAAGTCTCCCCTGACTTACGGAAGTTTTACGAAGTCCCCTCTGACCTACCTGCTTAGAAGAAGATGAAAACAAGAAAAAATTACCAGTCTGAAAGAAAAGACGTAAGATAAGAGCGAAAATCCAAACTGGAGCTGAATACTACGCATGCACAAGACTTTGGCATTAGAGCGCGATATCTAACAAAGCGAGAATAAATGAAGGCAAAAAACAAAGGAAAGGCAATGATATGAAAATGTCTTCATGCTCAGGGATAGATTTTTGACCGGGAATCCGTCCATGCTAAAAAGATCCGAAACTTATGTGAAGTGACGAAAATATATGCTCCAGACGATCTCAGATCGTCTGGTGGCCGTCTGGAGACGATCTAATTTTGGAAAAGGTATTACTTCACATAAGTTTTCAAATCTTTTTACATAATTCTTCCGCAAATAATTTTCTATGTATACAGTTCAATTTTGGTGTCATATGCTTCTGTGTGCGTTGTAAACAAGCAATTTGTTTATTTTAGCGTTGCTTTCAAATCGCGCGCACTTTCCGCCGTACACGATAGAGCATGTCAATCGTGCGATAACCTGTCCGAAAAGCTTGTTTTCGACTAAATGGCGCTCATTCTTGGTGCTTAGCCCCTATCCGTCAGAAACGATATCTCCTTTGCTGTTTGCTTCAAAAACGAAGTCCAGCCTGCTTCCAGACGATCTGTGCCGGGCCCTGAACCTGAGTGTCCCACCCGCCCCGCTAGGACGCCACGCTTAGGTCCGCGCAGCGTTCGTGGCGCTGGCTGCGCGTCGACTGAAGCTTGGCGAAATCCGGGCGATACGCAGCAAACGCCGCGCGCGGCCTGAGCGAGGCGGCCGCGTTGGAGGGGCCGCGCAAGCGAAACTTGCGACTCTCAGGTTGAAAAGCTCTGTATCTCATTGCTTTGGCCATATAGATTTTAGAAAAAGAAACAAGAAATGAATTTAGTGTTTCTTAGGGCATCGTGCACTAAAATCCCGTCGGAAGGGAATCAGTGCCTAAAAGAAAGCATATTCTGAAGCTCCAGATTGCATTTCACTTTGTGTACCTATCCGTAAGTATTTCCTGTCCTTCACTATGAACACATTGAACACTGTAATAACCACGCTCCTTTGGCGCATCAATGAATGCATTTAATAAATATTTAAACATTTAATCTCTATTTCTCTTATTCTCACATTCTAGAAGCTCCTTTCGTCAAATAATTTTGGAAAATTTTTCAGGTAACGTTTAAAGTAGAATTGGCAATCACTTATGATTTTATATGAAAGAGGATCTCTAAACAACCATTACAATTCTAATTTCGCTTACCAACTGTTCGTGATAATTGGCCATCTTGTTGTTGAAAATTTCATTCGCTTCTTTCCTTCTATCCTCTTCAATTTTCTTAAGTTGGAATTCGTTCAATATTTTTTCCATAAGAGCTTCCGGCTGCTGAAACAGAAATGTTAGTACTAGTAACATTTTTCCTAAAAAAATCTGATACTAACCACTTGCGAATTTTTGTTCTCGATTTCTTGAAGACGCCTGCTTTTTTCTCGCAATTGTTTGTCCTTTTCCTTCAACTCGATTGATAATGTTGTGCACCTTTCGGTGAGAGCGCGAATTGACTAAAAAAAGTTTTGGCAAGGAAAAATAACACGATGGGCAGACAATCTGGTTAACTGTTTTATACTATTGAAATATATCTTGCTTTATGCAGATGAGTATCAAAGATAATCAGACGCTTACACTCACTTCTTCCATAGCAGCGACCTGCTGATCGTGCTGCTTTTTCCTATGCTCAGCCAGTTCTTTTTGATCTTTGGCTTGATGTTCGTTTCGGAGGTTTTCTAGTGTCTAAATCGAATTTAGATTCTCTCATGAACTGAACATTCGAAAAAGTGTAACTACCAATCGATCAGTGACAGCTTGTAATTCGACAATAGTTTGATTCAACTGCTCTTTTTCTCTTTCTGCTCGTTCCATCTCGGATGTCTAAAAGAAAAAATTGATTACATTTGCTACAACTGCGTCAGGTTGATCTATAACTTATGCACAAACATTCTCTAAAAGTCGCATTTTTTTATTTTTGACTCTTTGTAGCTTACAAAGAGTACATTATATACATTCTAAATGCACTTTAAGCACCCATGTAAGGAATGTCACGAAGATGCAAGATGATAATAAGAAACGTCAGATAATAGATTTTTATTCGAATTTTGGTTCCTAAAAATCCTAAAAGGTTCGACAAAAAACAATCACATTTTTCGATCCTAATTTTGGGACTTCTTTCTATGTGATATTCGTGCTGATCGGATGTGTCTACGAATGGCTATAATTTTCATATCCAACTGACATTTCAATTTGGTTCCTACATTACTCTACACATAGCAAAAGAGATAGTTAGTTTTTAGCCCATTTACATTGTAAAATAGATCTTTCATACGTTACAAGATTTATGTGTACAAAATGGATCACTTTTTAAAGACTCTAATTACGAATTCCAGGACACATGGAACTAGCAAAATGTATGGATACTTAATATTAACTACCCAAAAATTGCTTACCAAAAACTCGTTTCGACTTTGCAATTCGTGCAGACGATCTTGCATTTCTCGTTCGTTCTGCTTGAGCTTCTCCGTGTCTCTCTCCAGATCGTGAATCCGAGTCTAAACGGTCAATTTTTTTAAATTCAAATGCCAAAGGACATCTCAGTTTACCTTAAGTCTAGCAATACGACTTTCGGCTGCTTCTTTGTCCTTCAAATTCTCCCTCTCGAACGTCCGCAGCAGTTGAGACAGATTTTCGCCTCGACTGGTTGTGGGCGATCGTACATGGAAGGACGAGGAACGAAGCGCTATCCGCGGAGATGGACGACCGATCCTCTGATCGCTAATCAATGAATCATTTCTATTGTACCAGAGCAGATAACTGACAAAAAAGTTCTCAAATAAAAGGAGGAACCATGAAATGGCCTCTACGATCTCTACTGAGCGGTTCAAAAATCAAAAATATTTTTTGTAGAAAACTCACTTATGATCACTTCGGTCACCGACAACTCCGTTGTGTGATGACCAGTCTACACGAGCTGAGGTACGGTTCAGTACGTCCAGCATTGCATTCGTGCTTTCGAATGGCGTGTAGAACTGAAACAGACTCGAATATAAGTGAAATGGGACCCCTGTGGGAGTGAACATACCCCTTCCTCATCTTTTTTCTGAGTTTCTAAAGCTGCAAAAATAACGTCTTCAGCGTAGCCCATGTCTCGAGCTAGCTTCAGCTGATTCTGGAAAATTTTAAGCCTATTGCTTTGCGGTCTGGATAGTTTGAAACAAACCTGCAATGACTTCGAAGCTTGCTCGGCCATGTCAGCGCTCCAGTGCAACGACGACGACGAATGTGCTGGAAAAATAGTTTTCATTACAAATGAAATGAATCGCCCCGAGCCTACGAGACATTTGAACAACTGATTCTACATTACGCGAAACTAACTACCAGCACAAAAACGGAGATTGATGAGCTACAATTTGGAAATTCTGGCTATTTATGAAGCGAAGCGTAGTGCAATGTAAATTTGAATAGGGCTATTGAAAGCGTACATCACATAGAAAGGCTGAATAAAATATGCGTGTGCACTTCAGTAGATTAGTCATGGCCACGATCGAAGTGCATCAGAAACTAGATTCTCTGCAGACATCGGAATTAGCGAATTCCTCTGGTCTTCCGACTTTTAGTGAGTGCGAAGTTTTGAGAGACGGAGAGTATCTTGATAATGACTAAAGTAGCTTCTTTCTTTAGAAAAAAAACGACCTCGATCAAATGATTTGATTCGCAATTTTATCCGCACTGTCAACTATTTTTTAGCAAGCTGCCAATCGTAATTGAGAGGTATTGAAAATTGCCTACACAGTTATTTTGGACATCTCTTCAAAATTGCAACGACTTTACACTGAAACAAAATAAATCGAATTAATCGCTTTTTGACACTATCCGGTTTGTGGGTGTATGTCAAGAGTTTTTTATTGCCAGATGAACACTAATTAGCGCATTTTTAGTACTTTATGATATTCTAAGAGCAATTCAAGTTTCTAACAAGGCTAAAAGGGATTCTTTCAGATTTCATCCATTTAACTACAACAAATTGATAGTGTACTGTACCGTGATGGTAAGAATTATACGTGAAATACAAGTCTCGATCCACTTTTAGTCATCGAAATTATACACTGAAACAGGGAGTAAGTGAGTAAGTACTTATGCCTTGGAAAAAGTGCAAAGTTATTATGCAGATAATTTTTTTCTGTACGCAAGGCTAAATCGCAAAGAACGAACTTGATAGAGTGAAACATGGGTCTTGCACCAAAAATCACTCATGCACTGCAAAAGCACTCATTCAAAAATGCTTGAACCTGTACGATAAATCCTTGTATTACATAATATATGTGTTCATTTCCTAAGCAAAATATAAATTCGAAGAATGTAAATTTGAAAATTACAAGCCTTCAAAGACTTATACAAAAAATATTCTGAAAACTCAAACCAGACTCAAAAATAGAACTTGTATGACTTTGAAGCATTTCTAGCAACCAAGTCAAAAGATACGATTCGAGTGCATAACTTAGTCGCTATGTGCTAATGATTTTTACTTTGAGCGCTGGTCTACAGCAGAGTCTTGCAATCCATAGAAACGTACATGTTTTTGAGAATTTTGGTGCAAGCTTGCGTTTCAACCAATGCCAAACTAGGATTGTTGGCAAGTAAATCAGAGCTGGTTCTAAAGCTGCGGTAACTTCCATGCTGATATCATCCATAACATTAGCAGAACGGAATCGAAAATGATGAAAAGCGAGAATATGATTCTAGTACTCCATGAGAGTATGTCGAAAGCCAATAGGTGACGAACACATCTCTGGTGTTCGCAGTTCTGCACAAGTTTACGATGTAAATCCGCTTAAAAACAATATCGTACGAAAAACTGGTTGGCAACGCAATGCGGCGAGCGTTTGCTTCGAACTAATTTGCAACCACTGGTAGGCGGATACGCGCAATTCAGGGGGCAATGTTCTGTTTCCATCGTTGGTCAACTTTCAAAAATTTCTATTGCACTATCGGAACTGAACTTTGTGGATTAGTAGAATCGTTGACGAAAGCCTCGGTCAAGGAGTTCTAGAAGAGTCTCTAGGACAGAAATGACGTAAATTGAATTTTTCTTGTATTTCAAAATTTACAACATTTCGCCAAAACCAAGGCACAAAGAGGTAGCTTTTTGCGGGCACAATTATTATTTTTAAAATCAATCTTCAAAACTTCCGAGTCAGGACTGGGCACGGCTGGCATCGGGTCATGCTGGATATCGTTTCTGGGACAAAAAGGAAAGGGATATCGTTTTGATGGCCGAAAACTCAAAAGTTGTGACGTTTTTTAGCCCAATTTTCGTTTTTTAACGGTTTTTTACGTTCAGGGCTAAGGTAAGAGAGAACTTCGTACGAAATTTTCAAGATCAAAAGGTGACTCCGCCTTGAAGTTTCCTTGGTGCCAGCTCGTGCCGACCTCTGCTCCGAGTATAAGAAAGCATAAAATTAAACAGTGAATAGTTTGTCGATTTCTTGGATGTACAAATCTCAGTAGTGGAGAGATTGCAGATTATAGGACAGAAAAGGCTGAAGCGCTTGTAGAAGCCTAGACCTGTACAGTTACTGATGTTTTGAGTCATTGAATCACTTGCAATGTATACCGAGCTACTGAGCAGCATACTATTTTTTTTCTGAAAAAAAAACACATGGAATTCTTACATCGTCTTAACGTTTCCGGTTCGCAAAGCGTTTCGTGGCTGCTCATCGATGACACTGATCCCTTTGCATTGTTTGAATACCGCTTCTTTGCCTGAAATCTTCCAAAAAAGATAACGAGCACAGCGAATGCAGACAGACCTCATCCCTAGCTGCTTTCTTCTGAAATCGTGATGGTGTATGAGAAACGCTTTTCGGGGTCACGGCTAAGGCGGTAACTGAAGGTGATGCAGATGACGAAGATGCCGCAGATCCCTCAGAAACAAATATTTATGATGGTGATGCCAAAATTTGGAGAGATCATTGTTATTCTTGAGAGTTTTGTGCTACTAAAGCTTGCATAAACACAGCCAGGAATACTATGGTTTTTGCAGTCAAAATCTTATGCTCTAGTTCACTATCAACAAACTCCGTAAACAACGAATGAACTTAGCTGGAATTGTCTTGTCGAAAAGCAACCAAAAGTTCTGCGGATTGGGAAGCATGCTTTAATGAAGAATGTGATACATTCCGAGTCGATAAATATTTTGTCAAGGCGTTTCAGTCACCAACAGATAACACTGCTCCTTGATTGTGCCCTATTCTTATCGCTTAGAAAAACAAAAATACGAAATGAAAGAAGAATCAGTTTGCTCTGTTCGTTATCTTTTGATGCTGGACACAATTTCAGTCTATAAGATTTTTGAAAAGAAATTTCTTTTGATACGAATAATTTATCATTGATGTGATATACGCAACTATTTAACGCCATCGTAAGGCATTTCAGAAGATATCGGCATTCTTTTTGCTCATGTATCATAGGCGGTCCGAGAATTTTTTTTTGATTTAAGGGACGACACATATTTCCTCAAAGAGGCGTGACACTAGTCATAAAATTTTTTGAGTCAGCTTCTCAGCAAATAAAGCCATTGATCATCTATCTATCAACCAATAATTAAGCTTTTTCGTCATTAAATTTGATTGCTTTCTAAAAAAGACGAACATTATTCCTTAAAGGAATTTGGGGTATTTTTCAAAATGGATGCTGCGGCTTACGAAAGTCATAGATAATCAGCTAGAAAACTAACGGTCGAGTGAATCGAGCTCCTCTTGCCGTCATCGAAAATGGAGAATTCGGAGCAACGATTCAAAGCATTCAGAGATTTCGATCTTCTTTTTTGGATAAGAAGAGCCTGAAAGTCATCCTGAATGCAATGACATTTTTGTGGAGCAGTAAAGCTTATATTGAATGCAAAAGTTAAATTCTTACAAAATTTCACCATCACACATTCTATTTCCTCCTGGCTTCAGCAACGGATGAGTCGAACTCTTTACTACAGAAAAAAATTGTGCTCTTTACTCACTGAAAGCGGTGCGACGTCAATCTGATAGAGGTGCGTTCGTTCGATGCAGTTGGACAAGTTGCAATTTCCATGTAAGTAGACCACATCTTCGCCACACTTTTGTAAGGAGATATTTCCGTTTGGAAAATGATGTGAAAGCATTAGGTTGAGAGGATACCAATTAAGATTTCTAAACGGTAATTTTGGTGTTCGTTTTGGATAACTAATTCGAGAACATACGTTAGATTCAGTAAGTAGAAGTTGGGCCTGAGGTTCCGAACATTTTGGTTTGCGTAGATGAGTGCAAAGTCCTCGAAACACTGCACAGTCTTGCCGACGTAGGCGTCCGGGGGACACAACCCTTGCGTTCGCCTGATTTCACATTTACCGCACGACGTTCCTAAATTCGACTGTAGATCATTGATGAAGAAACATGGCTCCTTCTGATTATCTGCTTTGATTTTGTGAAGACATTTTGTGAAGCCAACCAAAATTTGCAGGAATCGCTGTGAATGAGGCTAATTTTTGAACTATAGTTTATCACCAGTCTAAGCGGACAGCACAAATTTATTGAATTTTAAAAAAGGTACTTTATCTTGAAGCAACAAACCCTGAATATGTGTTACAGCTGCGCCAACATACCTGTAAGAGGAATAAGCAAGAACCTTGAATAATCGTGAGCATAGAAGAGGTAGAGATGATTCCTTGAGATAAATGGACTCGCAAAGTTTACTGAAAGGCATTAGTATGAGTAAGGTGACATGGGCAGCTTTAGAAAGAATAAGTGCTCTTCTGCTTCTAGAAAGTTGCTTTAACTCGAAAACACGAAAATCTTTATGACACGCCAATACTCATAAAAATAGATTAACGCAAAATCAAGCCTTTTTAGAATGAGAACATGAGCCACATTTGTACGAGGTTCTCGTCAAGAAAGAACATTTCAGATATAGAAGAAGTTATTAAAGTGTATGTGTGGCAAAAAATTGTCTACTTTTCCGTCATAATTGCCTAACGTTTCAGGAACTCAGCCAACTTCGAAATTTCCTAATTGGGTACGGCAGATTTTTGTCGAGCTATGGCAATGTAAATGAAAGGAAAAATTGCGATAGTAGTTTTGCCTTGAAAAAAAAGGCAAACTTGATTTCTAGATAAATCTTGGAGATTATCTCTGGAGCGCAGAAATTGCTTATCTGATTACTCTACTAAAATTTCTGCTGGTTATTTTTGGACACTGACTTACGTATATTTGAGGATGCAAAATTGATTCTGATAAAATGAATGTTGCTAATCTTAAGAGCTGCTAAAATGTTTACATTCTTTTTCAGAAGCTCGCATTGTAAAGTCTTTTATAAACTTCAGTTGTTTGTGACTTTCCAAGATACTCAACTAACTACTTTGCGATTTTTGTGCCATCAAACATACATTGCTGCTATTCTTAATGAGTTCTAGAGTTCTGAGTTTTCCTGAATACTTGAGATTCTCTTGCACTCGTGTAGGTTTCATGAACACGCACCTATGCAGTCAAAACTGCATTGGATGGGTGTCTCAGCAGGTGGTAGGTAACTGTCCAATAATCTTGTGAGGGTCTCTAGTCATAGCTGAACAAATTTCCATAATCATTCAGAAGCGAAGCACTAAGAAATTAACTGAGGGAAAGAACTCTCAGGGCATCATTTATTAGTTTGTAATGCAACTATAACCAATGTAACTTTTCGATAACTTTTGTTTTTTAAACGTAGCGCATTCATTTTCTGGCAGTATAAAGTTTATGACGTAGACTGCAAAAATCAGACATTTTTGCCGAATTCTGCCACCTTATGTAAGGGTTACGGTAGATTTACGGTATAATGAGAAAAATTTGTGATTGCGCCTAATTTTGCTGAATTGGCCTAAGGGGGCATTCAACATCCCGATCACAAACATGAGACCCGTTTTACATGAAAAGGCCTCTTTCATAAGGCAGGCGCTATACTCCTCGAAAAGTATAGCATGGCGACTGGCCAATATCGGCGACAAAAATCGCCGGTTTTACACGTATTTGATGCATGATCGTCGTCATGCTATACTCCTCGAGGAGTATAGTGCCTACCTAAGAAAACAAGAAACGAATTTTATCTTAGCGAAAAATAAATATAATCATCGCGTTCACAGTATTAGATTACCCTAGTGTGCAAAGTTTCAACAAATTCTGAGGTTCCGCAGCTTAAAATTAGTTATCAGAGATTGCCCAAATTTGACAAATTTGACTTGTTCTACTTTTCAAATGCGCCTTATCTTAATTTATCCCTGATTCGCTTCTTTTTAACTGATTTGTGTCAACTTCTAGCTACATGCTGCCTATGATTCTTTTTTGATATGTTTGATTCAGGTTTTGTACGGCTTCGTGCTTGCCAAAAACCGTGAAACCTCGATCTTTAAGCTTTTCGAAAACTGCTCAGATTTTCTACTACCTTGTCAAAAATTAAACGGTTTGTGCAAACTTGTAGCTTACATCAGAAACTACAAAATGCCGGAGAATGAGAGTGCTACATTGAATAAGAAAATGCTATGGGAAAATTTACAAAACTTATGTGTCAATCTACTTCTTGGTCAGTAACTTGTGTAACCTATGGACGCTTTGAGCTATGTAGTTGTTGACATTGAGATACAACAAGATTTTTTACCATCAAAAAATTCCCTGCTCTGCAGCGTTATGGTGTACTTGTCGCCGACCGAGTTTGCGAGAAAGTTCGACACGTGAAACAATTCGATGACATTGCCCGCAGACTGCCAACGAATCGGATGCGAAAGCAGCACGACGCCGGCCTCATCTCGAATCAGCACCACACTTTTGCCCTTCCTGAAAGGTCAACGGCTCATCAAGTGCAGAAGATGCGATTTAGAGTGCGAAACACTCACGCTGCGACGATGTTCGTTCGGTGCACCGGCCCGGTGACATCCACGACACGGGCCGTGCAGTCGATCGTGCCCTCGCAGATGAAGAACTCGCCGTTCGCCATTCGTTGCAGGCAGATCAGCAAGCTGCCACGCCGGCAAAACGCCAGGTCGTAGATCTGAATTTATTCAATGTAAATAATTGTGACTTTCAATTTTGCGCCCACGGGCTTTCAAGTGAAGCAAGCACCAGTACCTTTGTCCAAGACAAACATTTGCTGAACTATGCTTTGCGACATGTAGTGGAGGAGGTTTTTCTTGTTAACGTGTGCAATTGCGCATTCCCAATGAGCTTGGCAACGTGGCCTTTAAAGGCAGCGTCTTGGCAGAGTTTCGCTCTTCAGTTTTTCACCTATTCGGAGCCTTCTCGCCATGAGGACCCCATATCAGGCATTTTAGCATAAAAATGCCGGATGATCTTTTTCCGAAGCTTTCCAGGTCCGCATTCCGTAAAAACACGTCGGAAGTGTGCCACGCCCCGCCTTTCGTTTCAGACTTCGCCCATTTACGAGTATTTTCTAATGAATGCTGACCTGAGAAGCTTCGAAAAAAGCTCATTTCCGCCATTTTCATGCTCAGAAAAGCCCAAATATGGGTTTCTCATGGCTGGCGGGAAGTACGAAAAGGTTAAAGAGTGGAAAACGAAATTTTATCAGTGTTGTTTTTTTCTGCTTTTACTGCAAACAGTTATCTCCCTTGTTTGGACGCTGTCGTATGTATAGTTCATTTTTGAATTCGTGACGACGAGTTGACTGCGGCCTTTTCGCACACAGAAGGATAAAACATTCGTACAAACAGGCAATGCCTCAACGCTAAGCTCAGTCACTTCCAGAACTATTATATATAAGCAGAAGAACATTTGAGTAGAGGTAGATACCAAGAATTGGGACCGCGTGCGTGTTGCGCGCGGTTGCGCCATCGTCACGATTTCTCAAATGCCCTACACATATAAATCTTGGGTATTAATTTTCCTGAGATTCCATGGTGGTATGGTAACATCTCGCACAATGTGCGGCCGCACACATTAGCAAAGAAACCCACTCTAAAATATATAGTTTAGCGGAATGGACGGCTGTCAAAGTGCCTTGCGGTGTTTGCAACATATGCGCGCCAAAAATATCATGGAACGACATATCCAGAATTTTTTACGCTCAACTCCCGCCAGCAACGTATAGTCCAGTCACTTGTAGCTTCATGGGTGCATCGTACAAAACTCGCGGCATCCGACATATGTGCTTATAATTGCCAGATTCCAAAAAAGTCGCTTCTTTTCGTTTCTTTGTTCAAAATACTCTCAATGATCTTCTGGTTTTTATACAAACTTTATCAAAAGGCTTGTAAGCCAACCTACAAGCGCACAAATCTATCCCATGCCCTAAAAATTTGCGGAAGCACTTTCGATTCCAAATGAGAGTCTCAGTTGATGGATGAATAAGCCTGGCTCTTCAAAACATTGAATCATCACGTCATGAACAATGATGATTCTCATTAGAATGAGCCTATCAAGGGCAAAGCAAAATAGGAGCAATCAATGATGATGATTTGAAGAAAATTTGTACGAAGCTAAAGCATTAGGTCTATTTGTCTGCCGAATGAGGGGTCTTGAGATTTCATGCTTCTTGCAAAGATTAATTGGAGGATTTACTAGGTAATGTTCCTGTACTTTTTTTTACAACTCGGCGATTTCAGAGATTCTTAACAGGGTGCATGTGATTCAACACAAACCTTGATAGACTGGTCCAATTTTTTGCAGTTTTGGAACCTTCTCACAAACGTTTAACCTCTTTCTTGAACTGATGTGCGCGAGACCTGTTCCGTATAATGCATTTAACAGAATTTTTTTGATAAAAAAGTGTCAAGGATTGGAATGCACATTCCATCAACGCTTTATTAAAGTATTGTGGCTGGCTATAACAAGATTAAAAGATATGCAGACGATAATTAACGTCATTGCAGGGCGGGGGGGCTAAAAAGCACGAAAAAGGCCAAAAACTGAATTTTTCAAGACCTCATCGCATTTTATGTTGAACCATCTTTTAATTTCTGTCTATCTGAAGTCTTCGACATTCGGGAAGTTCTCATAACGACTGTTTTATGCAAATTCTGGGTACTTAATTTGAAAATTAGCGCGAGCTTTAGTTCAGCTGCAAATTTGCACTCATCGCATGCTGCTGTTTCAATTTGAAATTCTTACTAAAAGCAAGAACTGTAGTGGTATCTTTAGTTATAATGATTCTTGCTCGCAAAGTGCAAGCAAACTTCACTATGCTTTGGCTATTTCATATTTTAGCCTAGCAGGAAGTGACTTGCTCTAAAAGTCAACACTAGTTTGTTTGTGCAGTCACACAACAATCCATGAGTCACGGCTCCCACGGATAGGAGCCAGCCTCTCCACAATAGTATAGAAAAGCGATTTTTATCGCGGCGCACCTGACAGTCTTGATATAGGGGATCCATATGAGACAAATGAAGCGTATACGAGGACATTTCGTGCACATCACAGTAGTATAACGTGTGAGCGGATTTTCTGAAAGAAGTAAAGTAGTTTGAAGGTCATGAGAGGTAGAACGAAGTCTGACACTCACTTAAAAACGAGTTGTCCATTTGGTCCAGCTGCTATGGATTTAACAGGTGAATCTACTCCAGTAACCGATAAGCAGTCTCGCAGTGTGTGGTAATCCATTTCTGAAAAACAAGAAAAAGAATTTGCAGAATGTGGACTGTAGAGAGGACTTAAAAAGGTGTCAGAGGGTAATGGCAAGCTTGTAATGCTATGGATGGAAGTATGGTAAGGATGTTACATTCGCTTCTTGAAATCGAAGTAAACTGACTTCGAAGTCATAATTTTTTTAGCTGAATTCTTGAAAATCGGCAAAATCTGCGGCAATGTTGACCATTCTTTCATTTAACAAACTATAAGACATACATGGTATAAACAGCACTGTCAGATAAAAGGTTGTTCAAAAAGGTTAAGAAAATAGACATTGTGGAAATTTGTTAAAAAAAGGGTAAAGGGTAGTACTAGGACAAATACTGAAAGTGAAATATTTTATAAGTTTTGTTAAAATGATAAAATAGTGAAAGAGAAATAATGACAATAAGAACTACATCCCATTCAGTTATTTTTTCTCACTTTGTCCTTTCTTTTGGACGATTGCGCGGTCGACTTTTAGGATCTTCAGAATCCGAGGGGGCCCTGCAAGTCTGAGTTGCAATTTTTGAAGTCATGTACAATGACCAAGAATTTTCTCATTGCCAGAAAAAAACTATAACTTAGTTTCAGCTGTTCAAATTTAAAGAATAAGGCGCTACGACTGCAAACTATAGTTGAATAGCATAATTAATGTTTTCTCAAATAAATGAAATTCCTTGCGCAAATGAAGAATTCGGGAGAAATTTTTTGTTCAAATGGAAATGCCATGGAAAAACCATAAATAACAGATCACGCAAGCTGCACTCTGCACAAGTATTATACGACCCTGCAAAGTATCCACTATTGTGCTCAAAAAGAGGATTCACGGCGGATTAACACATGTCGACACCATTGAGGCTTTTCAAAAATTTATCTGTAGTGTGACAGACATGTTGATCGTACGGAAAAAATCTAGTACGATGTCTCACGAGCAGTCACACACATCTATTTTCAGAAGATGAATAGCCAGGGTGGAATATATTTGTAGAAAAGCAGCAAAGTGCAAAGGCGTAAACGGCAAACATTAGCCAATAAAGATTTTCAGAAGAATCTTCGTTTGCATAGCGTATGTTGGGGTGCGTAGTGTTTGGAGGAATGTAGGTCTCACATAACTTCTTGAACACATGCAGTAAAGGCGAAGAATTTTAGAATGGAATCGCATCAAAATAGAATAGATGATATGGAACTTTCTAGGAACTTGCAAGCATGTTTGCAAACAAATTCTGGATAGAGTAAGAAATAGAGACATTTGTGCTTCTGACGATAAGCTCCTCACTCCTGGGAAAAAGGTTTGCAAGAAATTTTTCCATTGCGACGTATCTATCGTGACAAAACCATCGAAACGCTGTGCTTTTCTTGAAGTTATTTTTAGCTTGAGTACATCGTTGAGTGCTGACAATCTAGCCAGTTTAGAATACATCCCGAAATCACGGAAATTTTTCCAGGCTGTCTCAACCTACATTTATCTGTACTTATCGAGACAAAAAGTAGCATTGCTATACCTCCCTTTAAAGAGGTTTTACGGGTTTGCGAATACACTTTCAAATGCATCTGCTTTGAACAAAGTTCCAGAAAAGTAAAAAGAAAACTATTGCATAAAGATTTACTGTGCTCTTGTAGGTTTCATGGTTTGCACATAAATAATTTAAGTGAATCAAGGAAGCTTACGAAAGAATTCGCCACGAAACATCCTGAATCAGTGCAAGAAATATGAAGCAAAAGGGCGCTGGTGTTGGAAGTCGGAACTGCATCGAACAATAACCGTCATGTACGTTTCATCGTTATCAGAAAAACTGTGTACAGCAGTTGATGACATAACGTATGTAAAGTGATTAACAGAGCAAAGTAGTAATTCGTAATTCCTCAGCTAAACAGTTGAAAAAGTGGTTGCAGCTAGATAGAAACTATTCCAAGGATGATAAATCAGATATTTTGTGTATTTTGTAGAACTTTTTCTCACTTCACAACTTAAGTCTCCTTTTGACTTCGTAATTGGTAGTATATGTTTGCATCAAAAAACTCCATGAGAAGAATTCTTCTGGATAGAAAATAATATCCAGCTTTTCAGTGCTTCCGTTAACGATTGAAAAAAAATATTCTCATCGGGGGCAGAATCAACTTCAGGGTTTATGAAGGCTGTCTCACAAGTTTGAATTCAAATCAAGTTATATACTTCACAAGTCTAAAATGCTGACTGAAAATTTTTTTTAGTAATTTTCTGCTAGTTTTCAGAACTATTCTAATATATTCAGGCTATACGAGTCTCTTAGCCATAGATGTATAAATTCCGCATAGCTTGAAAAGGCGCTTTGTTATAAATTTCAGTTTAACACAACACAAGTACAACAGAATAGAGTTGTTATCCGATAGGTTTTTACAGCAAAAACTTGAAATAACAGTGGACAGCTCTAGAAGTATTTTGATGCTATTAAGTCACAAATCAAGCATTTAAGCTTATTTCTCTATCCACTTTTTTGACCAAATCCAAGTTATTTCTACGAAGTCCTTATTAGCAAAAGAAAGACCTAGGCATTTTTGAGATTTAGGAAAGACAAAAGCAGCTTTTGCGAAGAAATGAGAACGAATGAAATTAAGCAGAGAGCAATAGCAAATTCGATTATAACGCAAGGGAAAAACTCAGATGTGAAAAATGCCACCCAGGAAAAAACGAGCGTCTCTTTTGACATCGCGAAACTTGAAACCAGTTCATTTCACTTGCAATAAGAACTCTTTTGTGAGCGGTGAACAAGCTTTGGTGCCTTCATCAAATTCAGTAGTGAGTCTGATTCATCGACGAAAATTCAATGGGGGTGGCAAAGGACTGCAGAAGTGCGAATGCAGCGTACCAGTGAGTGATTATGGAAAACACAATGCATGCACTCTGAAAACTATCGCATTTCAGGGGCAGCTAGGTCTTCGAAGGGGGAAAAGTGGCCAATGTTAAACTTCGCATCGTTTTCGGCTTTCAGGCAAAAAGGAAACGAGAACCTATGAACATCGATCGTCCCTATTCGCTTTCAAAAGAGAATCACTTGAATAGAGATTGCCTCATTGCAAGAACACGCTTAGAAAACTCTTCATAGACAAAAACGGGACACAGAGCGCAGCGAACTAGAATGGGGGGAAACTATAATACAAATGATTGTACTCTGTAAAAAGCAACGTTACAGCATGACAGTGTCAGAGATTATGTAGTACTGTCGACCACGGACGAATAGGCGCACATGCTGAATATGCAAATTTGCCGTGAGAACGAGATCATACGGCTCGAGGTGGTTGAAAAACCGGCCGAATGACACAAAGTGTCAGAAACATCATCGACAGTACGACTCAACTATTATGCCTGAATCAGCAAGCAACGAATAATATGCGAACATCTCGTCTGGCATGCATAATGTGCAGCGAGTACTATGTGGACAACATGATATGATACCATCGGTTGAACTGTTCTTCCAGATAAGGTATGAGCAATCGATGGGGAAGCGCCTACGACCGAATCACTACGCTGACGCATGGTGTGGGTGTTTGTCGTAAGTTTAGCTAGGTGTGAAGCAGGTCACTGCGCATGGCGCATCCTCTCAGTACTCACAAAAAAGGATGCTTAGTCGAAGTGGCCTCTTGAGACGAAATGTATATAGCTTTCCGCGCATGCAACGTTGATTCACGTCTGCTTTCCTTAATTGCAGGTTCCTGGGCAAGAAGTTATACGAGTTTTTGAGAGCAGGGAATGAATGCGCAGTTAAGATAAAGTCAGTCGTAACTATTTCCCTAAGGCCTATATAATTGTTGGGCCACTTTGTGCAATAGATATTGTTAATCCAAATATGTCCACTCGCCGTTGTCTCATCCGAACCCTAGGAAAAAACAACAACTATTTTACAAATGCATTAAAATTTTTGCTCGAACCTTTTATAAATCCAGGCTCAGAAATGGAGCCTGGTATCCGCAGTATACATTTCGTACTAAAAGGTCACGACTAAAAGCGCAGCCTTAGAGGTGATTGGATTGAAGGCTCTTATCAACACCAAAACAGTCTTAAAACTTCGAAGTGGATATATTACAAGAAAATCCAAAGTTTTGAAATTTCGGGATGAATCTGGTAGCGAAGGGAGTTCTATTCAACTTTAGCTGGAAAATCCTTAGCCTACCACTAAAGCTGCGCTTTTTCACCCTATCCGTAAGATCTCCGGAATTCCCCAAACTCAACTAGTTTGCAAACCTTCGTGTCGAGGAAGTCAGCTCTATCGAATGAGCCTACTGCAGTCTCTTAGGTTGCCTGCCGGTCAAGCTACAAGCTTGCAAAGCGGTGCAAGTCAGTGGTGAGGTGCAGATGGGGTCGTGTGCACGCAGTGTCAAGAGCCATTTTCAGCAAGAAAACTCACCAGCACAAGTGCATAAAGGAGCAGAGCAGCCATTCTTTCCGAACAGCTTTGTTGGGATGTCTTGCATAGGTTTCCGTGTGAAGAAATTTGGCTTGAAAATGGTAATTAGAAGTTATTTTGAAAAAAGCGAAATAAAATTCCAGCTTAGGTTTCTTGGAAGTAACCATTACCTGACTATTGTCCTCGATGAGCATTATAATATAGTATGCTTATCTTTCCAGAAAACTTCCGTAAAAAGACCTAAAAGAAAGTTTTCGCGTTCGAAAAATTATTGTCCGCGGCATTGTGACGCGGCTATTCTCGGACTTTTTTAGAAAAAGATTTTCAAAATTCTTAGAACATACGTTTTCGAGAAAATGCGATATGGGTCGTAGTGTTGAAGAGTTCTACGACCTCGTGCAATCCGATCAAATTTTCATTTTTGTTTTTCATCCGAAAATGAGCGATGAAAAAAGGAAGGAGGCTTGTCCGCAACTTCATAGCGGTCACTGTAAGTGGCCTGTTACCCACAAAATCTATCATCTGCAAAGTGAAATAGCTTAAAGGCAGCATCGGGCAAATTTGGACATTTTCGGATAATCATAACCGAGTATTGGGGCCTCGATCTAAAACT